TCTATCTTCCCAATAAATTGATTTCTGTTTATTATTAAGCAAGGAGTGAATGACTTTTTTTAGTAGTTCTTTTTGACTTACAGGGTGTTTTTCCTTTTTTCCCCCAAGCTTTAAATTTTTTATTTTGTATTGGGGTATAGCCGATTATAGTCGAATACTCATTGGAAGTACTGATGCTGAAACTCTAGTATTTTGGTCATCTGATGTGAACAACTGACTCATTGGAAAAGTCTCTGATACTGGGGAAGATGGAGGGCAGAAGGGGAAGAGGGCATCAGAGTATGCGATGGCTGGACGGCATCACCGAAGCAATGCACATGAACTTGGGCAAACCGCGGGAGGTGGTCAGGGACAGGGAGGCCTGGCGTGCTGCAGTCCATGGGGTCGCAAAGAGTCGGACACGAGGGGGCACCTGGACAACACCATAGCCGATTAGCAACGCTGTGGTTTCAAGTGAACAGGGGAGGATAAAGTGTGTTTTCCTGATGTGAAGAGAGTCTCTCCAACATTCTCTGGCCTAGGATTTGCATAAATGCTTCCTTTCTTTTTGTATCTTTATGTCTTAGATGAGTTTCTTACAAATATCAGCTGGATTTTATCCTTCTTACCTGGCCCAAAATCATAAAGTCTCATCACTATAACTTTTAACTATCCTATTAGTTTCTATGTATTGTAATTGCCAATATAGTTGGACTGATTTCTACCATCTTATTAATATTTTGTCTTTTTTATGTTTTGCTTTCTCTCTTTTTGCTGTCTTCCGGACTCTCGAGCTTTTTTGTCCTACTTCCCTCTCCATTGGTTTAGAATTTATGCACTATTTCTATTCTTTGAGTGATTGTTTATTGGAATCGATTCCAAATTAATATTTTTTTTCTCTTTTAGAAACTTTTCATTCCAATTGACCACACACAGCCCGCCCCTGCAGCTTTAAGGCCAGTCTTACCTTGCGTTTTTGCACTGTCTTCACTTAAATCCCACACAGCAGTTTTGCTGCCCCTGTTTATCCCGATGTGCCCACATGCGTAACAATGTCTTTGACTTCCGTCCTCTCTAACATTCCTGTTGTCCATCTGCGGTCTCTCTCCTTCTGCCTGAAGTGTGTCCTTTAAAACTTCCTCTAGCGCAGCTGCTCGTGGGACACTTTCTTGGTTTTCCTTTGCCTGTTGCCGCTTTTCGCTGTTGACTTCTAGGCCAGGAGCCTTCCGCTTGTGGCATTCTGACGATACCACTTCTCTGTTTTCAAGTTCCTGTTGTCGCTACTGAGAAGCTGGCTCTCAACATCAGAGTCCTTGAAGGCGACCTGTGTCTCCTCTCTGACTCTGTCTCAGGGCTTCTTCTGGCCTTGGCACCCTGCATGTTCACTCCGAAGTGAAGAGGTGTGGATCCCGTGTTCTCATGGTGCTTGAGGTTCCTTGGACTTCTTATGCTTGTGGTCAGCTCTCTTTCATTAAATTTGGAACCACTTCAGCCTCAATCCTCTACAAACACCGCCTCTGTCCCTGTCGGCTTCTCTCTTCTTTCTCTGGAGCTCCAGCTAGCAATACACTTACCCTCTCACTCCAGCCTCTGATTGTTTTCTTCGTATTTCCCAGGGGCGATTTTCCTAATTCCTTTCACTTTATCCTTCAGGTCACTAATCTCTCTCCAGTTGTGTCTAAGCTGTTGTTACATTTATCCTTTGATTTTTAACTTCAAGTGTTACGTATTTTTCACTTCTAGGAGTCAGCTTGCTATTTACTGATGTATTCAACTTGCTTTTATTTCCTCTATAAAACACATTCACTTTGTTTTCTGGGTCTGATAGTTCTAATATCTGCAATTTTCTGCCGATCTGACTCTGCATGCATGCTTAGTCACTCAGTCACGTCCAATTCTTTGCGACCCCACGGACTGTAGCCCACCTGGCTCCACTGTCCCTGGGATTTCCCAGGCAAGAGTGCTGGAGTGGGTTGCCATTTCCTTCTTCAGAGGATCTTCCTGACCCAGGGACTGAACCCACATCTCTTGTGTCTCCTGCACTGGCGGTAGACTCTTGACCACTAGCCCGCCTGGGACTCTGAATCTACCGCCTACAAGTTCTGTCTGCTTTCGCTCATGGCGCCTTGTTTTCTTGTTTATGTCAAAGTGAAAGTGTTAGTCTCTCAGCCCTGTCAACTCTGCGACCCCACGTACTGTAGCCTGCCAGGTTCCCCTGTCCCCGGAATTCTCCAGGCAAGAATACTGGAGTGGGTAGCCCTGCCCTTCTCCAGGGCATCTTCCCAACCCAGGGGTCAAACCCAGGCCTCCTGCATCGCAGGTGGATTCTGTACCAGCTGAGCCACCAGGGGAGCTTGCGTACGTAGTGAATCTTTACTCTGAGTTGCTCGTTGGCTCTGGGACTCTGTGAAATGTCTCCGAGGCTTGAGATGAAGGTGGGTTCCTTTAGAAAGTGCTTGCAGGACTTCCCTGGGGATCCAGCGGCTATGGCTCTGCACTCCCAATGCAGGGGGCCCGGGTTTGATCCCTGGTAAGGGAACAAGAGCCCACGCGCCACACCTAAGTGTTCGCATGCCGCCGCTGAACGCGCCCACATGCAGCAGCGCAGAGTGAAGGTCCCGAGTGCTGCAGCTAAGACCGGGGGTGGGAAAGTAAATACACAGCTCTTCTTAAAAAAAGAAAGCACTAGCAGTCTGAGAGCCTTTAAACTAAAATCCCCTGTTTGAAGTTTGGGGATAACTGAGAGGAGATGGAATCAGGCTGCCCAGGCCCCTGAGGGCGATTCTGTGGGGGATGGATTCTTAGAGCCGGGTTCCTCCTCTCCTCAGCCCAAGGCCTGAGACAGCAGAGCCGGCGCGCTACCTGGAGGGCAGACGGGGTCCCAGCACAGCCGGCCGCGAGGTTGAGCCCTCGGGAGCCCTGGACGCATCAAGGGTTCTTCCCTCGTCTTCCCTGGGCCCCCAGCATGCCCCTCTGTGCTCTGTCTTCTGACCCTGAGATCAAAGGGAGTCAGAAAAAAAAACAATAAAACAAAAAACGATGCTCTGGTTTACCTCCAAGGATAGGGACGTTTCGATTCTTCCAATTCAAAATGAGAAGACAGGTTGTTCTTCTCATCATAGCCAGTGAACAACAGAACCAGCTGTTGGTGACCACCAGCTTCGGTCAGCCGGTCAGCGGGGGTCACACCCCAGGAACGGCACCCCCTCGCTGAGGACACCCAGTCCCTACCCGCTCCCCTCTGACAGTCCTCCTGGCCGGATGCCGCACTTCCCTGAAACTCTGTGCCAGGCCGGCAGGCGGCAGCCCTAGACACCTTCTAGGGGTGCCTGGGCTCACGACCTTGGCTCTCTCCATCCTAATGATCAACCCATTCAGCACTTTTGCTCGCATATGGGGGGCAGCAGCCTCGTGTTACCCCCTCGAAGCAGAGCCAGTTTTGGCGTGGCTGCTCCTCTCTGGGCCCCCACTTTTGCCAGCCTGCCCTGAGGACTCCGCACCTCCTAGCCAGCTCAAAGAGTCTCCCAAGTGGCTCAGAGGGCAAGAATCCACCTGCCGAGGCAGAAGCCACAGGAGACACAGGTTCGATCCCTGGGTCCGGAAGAGCCCCGAGAGAAGGGCATGGCGACCCACTGCAGTATCCATGCCTGGATGACTCCATGGACAGAGGGGCCTGGTGAGCTACAGTCCATGGGGTCGCAGAGAGTCAGACACGGCTGAGCGACTGCTCACACACACACACACACACACACGTGCATGCACACACATGCACGTACGCATGCAGCCATCTCAAGACAGCATTCAAGAAGTCCCTCCCTGGTGGCCCAGTGGTGAGGACTCTCTTGTTCTCTGCTTAGGGCCGGGACTCAATCCCTGGTCAGGGAACTAAGATCTCACAAGCTATGTGGCATGTGGCCAAAAAAAAAAGGCAGCTTTCAAGATGAATATCTTATTTTACCCAGAATGTGTAGCTGCTTTTAGTGACAGGGTTTGTACAGGTTCTTAACTGGGTGTTGTGATGGGAACAGACATCTTTTACCTTTATTTTACAGAAGGGAGACTGAGGCTTAGTAAGAGAGTGCATGTGCAGTCCTGTCCGACTCTTTCAACCCCATGGACTGTAGCCCGCCAGGCTCCTCTGTCCGTGGGATTCTCCAGGTAAGAGTACTGGCGTGGGTTGCCATTTCCTCCTCCAGGGGATCTTCCTGATGCAGGGATCGAACCTGAGTCTCCTGCATTGGCAGGCAGATCCTTTATCACCGAGCCATCTCGGAAGCCCAACTGAGGCTTGGGGATACTCATCATTCACAGACCCTAACCTCGGAACCCAGAGAGCCTGCCTCTGGGTCCATGCACTTAACCTCTGCCATTGGCTTGCAGAGGCGCAGGCAAGTGCTCAACAAATGAGTCAGTAATTGGTGAGTTCATTCATTCATGCATCAAATATTCATTGAGCTTCTTCAATTTGCCACGTGGTCTAAGGCCCTGAAGATACAGTAGGGACGGAGAAGGGTGACATCACTGCCCCCAGGGAGTTCGCATTCCACAGGCCGTCAGGGACGGTCAGAGGCTCTGCATCTCCGCGGAGACCTCGGCCCGCACTGGCCACTCCAGCTGGGCCTCAAGTCTGGGACTCCTCCTCTAAGCGCGCATGCCTCTGTGAGGCCGCGGAGGTGACCCCGCTGACTTCGGGAACCCCGAGGCCCAGGCCACCTCTGTGATTTCCCAGGGTTCGTGGCTGAGCTGGCCTTGAACTCAAGCCTGTGGTTTTCCATCCCATCTCCATCAGGGTGAGAGTTCCAACCAGGATTCGGGTGAGCGATTCTGGGCTGACATCTCTGGGCCCAGGGAGGGCAGCGGCCACAGCGGTCGACTGGCCTCCCTCTGCTGGCGACCCTGGTGGTCACGATGCGGGAGTCACCGACCACTGCGTCAGAAGCTGGCGCCACCCCTGGTTTAACAAGCCTGACGCCTTTGCCTGCAGGCGAAGGACACCCCAGGGGCTGGGCTGTAGACAAACCTCAGCTCTGACGCTCCCGGGAGAACTCGGGGGGTCGGCACTCGCCCACAGCTCGGCCAGCCAAGCAGGCCTCGGCCTCCACCCTGTTACCCCCCCAGAGTCTTGGGTCCCCGAAAGGGCCCCCACACCTGTGTCCCTTTGGATGGACGGTGGTGTTCCGGGAACAGCTGGGCACAGCTGCCTCCCGAGGACACTGCCCCCGGGTGCCTGGAACACAGGGTCAGACGCCATTCATTCCCCACACGGGCCCCGCTCCAGCAGGCCAGGCCAAGGGACGGCGTGTCCTGGGGGCGGGCTGGCCCCCGGCCCAGCCTGACAAAGCAGCGGCGGGGTCAGAGCTCCAAACCCGAGGAACGCATGGCCTCCTCTCCACGTCTCCTCTCTGCAGCCGCCACCCCGAGCTGGGAGCTGTCTGTGGGGCAGGGCAGCATGCTGGCCCTGGAGTGGTGGAGGGGATGGGGGGCTGACCTGAGCTTCCAGAGCCCAGGGCTATGGCTCCCACCCTCCTGCTCTGGAGCCAGCACTGGGATCCGGGGGCCTGGTGCGGCTTGTCCCAGAATCCTGCACACAGGCCACCGCAGGCCACGGGGCACTGCCCTCCTAAACCCCCGCCCAGCCAGCCCGGTGCTGGGACCAGGTCACCGTCCGTCTCCAGCTGGAATCCCCGCGTCAAACCCCCTGCCTGCCAGACCTGCAGCCTCAGGGTGGGGGTGGGGCTGACCTCACCCTCTCCCTGGCTCCCTCTGGTCACATGCCCCACCCGCACCCCCAGAGCACTTTATGCCTCCATTGGGAAGTTGGGGGAGGTGAGTGGATATTCGCGTGTAGTTGTGATGTGTGTTGGGGGAAGGGGTGGGTGTGGGGGAAGGGGTGAGGGGGTGGGTGTGGGGGTAAGTAGGTGGGGGTAAGTGGGGGGGTGAGGGTGGAGGTGAGTGGGGTGAGTTGGGGGTGGACGTGGGTGTGAGGGTGAGGAGGTGGGAGTGAAGGGGAGGTGGACGTCATCTTCCCGGCACCTGAACACCCCGCGTGCGCCTCTGCGCCCCCCCACCTGCTTTCATCCTGCCTGACTTCCAAGACCAGCGTCAGCACCTGCCTCTCCTCTGAATGCCTCCCAAACCGCACCTTCTATCACCCCGCCCCCGCCGCTCCTCCCTGGGTTGCTAAGGCAGCTCTTGCATCCAGGTGTGCATCACCCCCTGAGACCCCTACACCCCCGCCCCCACCCCCGCTGACCTGGCCCACCTTCAGCTCCCAGCCCTGAAAGCAGCTGCCGCCCGTCAGCCAGCGATAGATGAGCGCTTCCTGGTGTTTTCATTCATTTTCATTTTACTTTTTTTTTGTTTAACCACGTAAGCAACACACAGGTAGGCACAGGTTTGGTCAAAGCAACCGTTTAGCTCTCTTACAAAATGGGGTTCCCTGCAGTCCAGTGGCTAGGGCTCCGCACTCTCTCCAAGGCCCAGGGCCACTTCCTGGCTGGAGAGCTAAGATTTCACAAGACGTGAGGCCAAAAAAGTATGCATAAATAATAATTCCAGCCGTTGTAGACAAATTCAAACGTGGTGAACAAAAAGACTGTCCAACGTACCTGAGGTCGCAGGCAGTTTTCTCCGCAGACGGGGGCTGGCGTGGTGCCGAGGGGCCAGGTCTGCTCCAGAGAGCTCACTCCATCCCCAGACGAGCCTGAGGGGCAAGGCCGCTCTCATCACAAGTTACAGTGAGGGCACCCAAGTGCGAGGTCAAGGGTCAAGGGCACGGATGGCTGGGAACCCGTAGGAACACCACCTGCGGTGTCTCCTGTGACCACATCCCCTCCCTCTGACCACACCCCCATCTCTCTGACCACACCCCCATCCCTCTGACCACACCCCATTCCTCTGACCACACCCCGTCCCTCTGACCACACCCCATCTCTCTGACCACACCCCATCCCTCTGACCACACCCCCATCCCTCTGACCACACCCCGTCCCTCTGACCACACCCCATCTCTCTGACCACACCCCATCCCTCTGACCACACCCCATCCCTCTGACCACACCCCGTCCCTCTGACCACACCCCATCTCTCTGACCACACCCCATCCCTCTGACCACACCCCGTCCCTCTGACCACACCCCATCTCTCTGACCACACCCCATCCCTCTGACCACACCCCATTCCTCTGACCACACCCCGTCCCTCTGACCACACCCCATCCCTCTGACCACACCCCATCCCTCTGACCACACCCCCATCCCTCTGACCACACCCCGTCCCTCTGACCACACCCCATCTCTCTGACCACACCCCATCCCTCTGACCACACCCCGTCCCTCTGACCACACCCCATGTCTCTGACCACACCCCATCTCTCTGACCACACCCCGTCCCTCTGACCACACCCCATCTCTCTGACCACACCCCATCTCTCTGACCACACCCCGTCCCTCTGACCACACCCCATCTCTCTGACCACACCCCATCCCTCTGACCACACCCCATCCCTCTGACCACACCCCGTCGCTCTGACCACACCCCATCTCTCTGACCACACCCCATCCCTCTGACCACACCCCGTCCCTCTGACCACACCCCATCCCTCTGACCACACCCCATCTCACTGACCACACCCTGTCCGTCTGACCACACCTCGTCATCCCTCTGACCGCACAGTCCCTCTGACCACACCCCCATCTCTCTGAAACAACTTCTAGGTCGGCCGCTGGGTCCTTTCTCAAGTCTATCATCTCATAGGGTGGACAGGCGCTCTGGGGGGGCCCTGTGGGGACATCCCGGCCCCAGGACCCCTTCCCCGAGTCCAGGCCGGCTGAGCCCTCCACTGGCTGAGGCAAGAAATCCAGCTCCCGACAGAGGAGAGGCCAAGTCCACTACAGCGCAGTCTCCCAGAGGCCAGGGGCTGCTTCCAGGTCTCCGAGGCTGCAGTCCAGGTCCGCCAGTGTCGGGGTAGCAACGGAGGGATCCCCGCAGCGAAGGCGCTGCCCCCACCTCAGGCTGAGACCGGGAGGGCTCCAGTCGCAGGACACGCCCCTGCCCTCGCTGGGAGGGGCGTAGGTGAGCTGGACTTCCCACTTGGCAAGTCCCGTCCAACGGACAGTATAAGCATCACGAGACTGTTGCCCCAGCAGAGTCCAGGGGACCGGTGCACTCAGCACACGGAGAAGCCAGGGCCGTGTCTTGCAACCAAGCCATGTCTGGACCCTGCAGAGCAGAGAGGGCCACGGGGCGACAGTCAGAAGACGCGCCTGGACCGTGTCAGTCTCCAGCCTCGGTGGGCAGGCCGCTCCGGGGCCATCCTGCTGTTAATACACTCCTGCAGGGAGCACATTGCTTCTGCCGATGGCGTGCTCCCAGGGCCCCAGGACACAGTCGCTACGGCCCCTGGCGACCTGAATTGGAGGAAGGCCAGTCAGCCACGCACGTAGGCCGCCCACCTGGTGGATGCTGGGGAGGCCCGGGCCTGGCCGGGATTCTGGGCCGTCCAGCCCACTCTCAGCCCCTCCCACAGCCAGGCCTGCTTCTCGAGAATGTTCCAGAGAGAGTGGGAATCCAACCCCAACAACCAGCGGCCCCCTCCTCCTCTGCCACCACCGGACTCCAGACCTTCCACTGCAAGCAAGCCCATGGCGCCATCCCTTTAAGGACCGCGGGGACCCAAGCTCCATCCATCAGGCCTCAGAAAGCAAACCCCGCTCCTCACCTGTGAACCAGAACCCGCTTCTCCAAGAGCCCTCTTCTGGGCGGCTATTCTGTCAGCCCCGAGACCTCAGTCCTGCCACGCCGGACAGCCCCTGAGACCCTGGCCTCCGCCGGGCTCCTGGCTCACAGACCCGCCGAGGGCTGCACTCCCTAGGGTCTGCATCTCCCCAGACGGAGCCTCCAAAGGCTGGGGGCGGCGGAGGGCAGGCCCCCCGGCTGCTTCTTCCCCTGAGATCGCAGCCACGATTCCAAATGCATGGGGCCGTCCAGGCCAACAGACAGGCTGGGAGCCAGGCCCCGTCTGGGGAGACAGTGGACATAAAACACACAGGCGGCACACACGTAGCACCACGAGGTCACACACTCCTGCCTCAGCCCCGATGTCCAAGGTTGTCCCTTGACAGCCCGCTCAGCCTGAGGCTCCAGACACCCCGCATCCCACCCTGGGGCCTCAGGAGCACCCGGCCTGTCCCTGAAACCCAGCACCCGGCCCCCCACTAGTGCGTTTACGCTGAGCTCAGGCGCCCTCCATCTGTGCCAGGAGGCGAGGGTGGCCCCCATGCAGGCTGGGTCCTGGGCCCCTTCCCACGTGCCCTCCCGCCGAGCTTCTGTCTCCCTCAGCAGACCCCGAGCCCCCATGGGGCAGGGATGGTCCGACCCCACCTCCCCGCCCGGAGCCGGGCATGAGCAGCACTACATGATGGAGTGGCCGGTGTCCCAAAGCCCAGGGCCCCCAGCCGGCCTGTCCAAAAGGAGGCGGGGGTGCGCACACACACACACACGCACAAACATACATGTGCATGCATGTCCAGCCACCCGTGCGTGTGCAGTAGGCTTGGCCTCCCGGCCTCCCTTCCCCGGGGGGCAGCGAGCATTCTGGGCACCCTGAGAAGAAGAGCTGGTGGGAAAACAGTGTCGGACACCAGCTCAAGCAGGGAGGACCCCTGCCCCCAGGGTGCCGTCCACGGCGTGCATGTGGCCCCGGTCCCTGGACGTTGGGGTGGTCAGCCTCCAGCCCCCGCTCAGCTCCCACCCCAACTCCTCTCCCCGGAGACTCCCGACCCTTCTGGAAACTCCCTGGTGGTGGTGCTGAGGCTGATAGAGAGATCGGGGTCTGAAGCTCACCCCGAGCCCAGGCAGTGAGCCCGCCCCTGCCTTCTCCCAGATCGGGACCAGGAGACCCCCGGGTCCGGGCCGCCGAGCTCCCAGCACTGGAGCCGCAGCAGCCTTCCTCTGTCTCTCTGCCCTTGGCCAGTGGACATTCCTGAGGGCTGGGCAGGGAGCGGGGTGTGGCCTGGGCCTGGGATGAAGCCCACCGGGCAGAATCTAGCCTCACGCGACCCTGAGGTCCTCCCTGGAACAGCGTGGTGTTCTTGCTGGAGACGCTGGAGTCGAGGAGCCGGGGTGCAGACCCCAGGGCCACACAGCGGAGCCCCTTCAGAGAAGATGGCCAGGCCTGCCTGCTGTCCTGGCCTCTGGTCCGTGGCTCTGAGCGTGGCATGGGGGAAGGGGGAGACCCCTGGGGGCAGATCCGGCCTGTTCTTTGGAGCCCCCGAGCCCTGCCCACTGCAGGACAGGGTGAGCCCACCGCTCACAAACAGGGGGAAGAGCCCGGGCACGAGCCCCGCAGCCACCTCCCAGCATGGGGACGCAGCTGGTTGCAGGGCAGCTCTGAGCCTCGGAAGACAGACCCACCCGCCATCCTGCGTTACCAGGAGCAGGCTGTCAGTGTCTGCACACAGACTCGGGCTCCCGGGCGCCGACGGGCAGCAGCTGCGAGGGACGGCCCTCGCTGGCCCCTCCTCCTCCTCTGCCTCGCCAGGGATGCCAGCGGTCCAGTCTCTGGGGACCCCCGCGGGGCGCCCAAGTCCCCTCCGCACCCCCATCTCGAGGTGCCCTCGGGTCTCCCCGGCGGAACATTGTTGGCATATTCTAAGCCGTCAGCAAAGCAAGATGAAAATTCAGTAATTGCTTTTGGCAGGGAGCCCCTGGGCCAGCACAGGGGCCAAAAATAACCGAGGAGAGGGTTCCCGGGCCACCTGCAGCCACGGGCTCCGCCTGAGCGCTGGAGAGGGGCCCCGCTGCGGGGCAGGGTGGGCGCAGGCTGGGCTGGAGGGACCCGGGAGCGGTGGGGACAGAGTGAGGCTGTCGCTTCCAACACTGCAAAGCAGGGAGCGTCTGGCCGGCCGAAAAAATGTAATGTCATACTCGAGCAGGAGGAGCAGCTGCTGGGCGACTCGGCGGCCCACAAATAGTTGGCCGCGTCCCGGGAGAGGGTGTTGGCTGAGTCCATGAAAAGGCGGAAAAAACGCCAGGCTGGCCAGCCACGCTCAGCCCCAGCCCCACCCTCCCCAGGCCCGGCCAGTGCTGGCCACATGGGAGGGGCGTGAACCCCAGAGTGGTGAGAACCGGGGTCACGGCGCATCTGGCCAGGGCAGAGGGCAGGACTGGGGGGGACCTGGGTCTGACCCTTCCCAGCGCAAAGGCCAGGGCAGGAAGGAACGCGCTTCACCAGTCAGGCCTGACCCAAGTCCACATCGCAGGGCCAAGCAGGGGCAGGCAGCCAGCACGGAGGCCGCTCAGCCTCACCCTGGCCTTCGCTGTTGCCTCGTCGTGCCCCAAGCAAGACACACCTGCCCATGCGGCGTGCCTGGCCAGAACCCCGAGAACGTCCCCAGAAGCATCTGCTGGGGGCTGTCTGGCCGGCTCTGTGGTAAGGAGACCAGAGGGGTCCAGCCAGGGCCGGGCTCTGGGGACGGGACACCCCACACCATGGAGAAGGCTGGCTGCCCCCTCTGCCCACCCGCCTCGGTGCCAGCCCCTCAGACCCCACCCCTTGAGCGGGGAGGGGCTTCCACCATCACCTCGCTCCTGCCTCCTTAACTCTCACCTCGCCAAGGACACAGCACAGGAGCAGGCCTCAGCCGCCGGCCCTGGAGGTCCCACTCCCAGCGGGAGGCGGGCCAGCCGTCCAGGTCCCCTCGTCCTTCTCCCCTGCGAGAGGACCGTCCCCCGGTGCCCGGTGCCCCAGCACAGAGGGAAGAGGGGGTCCGGGTCTGGAGCACACCCACCACCCGCCCCTGCAGTCTCCAGGCCACTTCCACAGGGAAGGAGGAGTTGATGGCCTGTAGCAGTTAGCAGTGCTTGAGGCTGCGACACCCAGAAAACCAGCTCAAACAACAAGGTGCCCAGTCTCCACATCCCCAAAGAACCAGCTCCTGCTTCAACCCAGCTCCTCATCATCCTAGCCTGGGCTCCCAGCTCCTGGTTGCAAGAGGGCTGCTGCATCACCAGGCAACATGACTGAATTCCAGGCAGGAAGAAGGGGATAGGACCGGAAGCCTTGCTAATCAGGAAGGTGGCCCTCCCTGGACACTCCGGACTAACCACCCCCCGGGCCAGAACAGACTCACATGGCCACCCGGCAGCAGCGCGGCTGGAAGACCTGTGAGTTTAGTGGGCATGCTGCCACCACGGACACATCAGGGCCCTCTTGGGAAGGAGGCAGAATGGAGCAGAGGAGCAGTGTGGCCCCACCGGCCCGCGGACTGATGAGGAAAGGAGACTCGGTCTGGGGCTCGCCCACGGCCCCGGAGCTGGAGAGAGCCTGCTGGGGAGGAAACCATGGGAAAGTCTCTCCCCCAGGGCCGGGCCTCCAGGCCTCGGGGGCTGTTTGAACCCTGCCTGGCAAACACCCACAAGCTCACACCCACGCTGCCAGGAAAGAGGCCAGCTCCATGCCATCCCAGGCTCCTGCAGCAGGGCCCCCATAGAGCAAACACACACACACGTGTGCAGGCACATGCACCTGCTTGTATACACACAGGCACATGCATGCATGCATGCTAAGTTGCTTCAGCTGTGTCTGATTCTTCGCAACCCCATGGACTGTAGCCTACCGGCTCCTCCATCCATGGGGATTCTCCAGGCAAGAATAATGGAGTGGGTTGCCAGGCCCTCCACCAGGGGACCTTCCCGACCCAGGGATCGAACCTGGATCCCCTGCACTGCAGGCAGATTTTTTTTACCACTGAGCCACCAGGAAAGCCCACACAAGTACATGCATGCATTCAAACACAAACGTTCATGGTGCACACATATTCACATACATGCATGGATGTGCATACACACATTCACGCATGTGTGCAGGCACACACACACACATACGAGCCTGTGTACGGAGACTCAAATCCACAGATTCATGTGCATTATGTGCATGTACATGTGCAGTGCACGTTTGCAGCCCATGGGCACACATGTACACATACATACTCACACACAAGCTGCCAGCTCCCAGACCCCTCTCTGCCAAAGGCCTCCAGGAGCAGGCCTCCAGCCTCGGCCCGGCCCTTCCTGTCACCCTTGGCAACATCCAGCCCATCAAAAAACCAGACTTCCCCAGCCTCAGGCATCTGGTATGCCCCAGCACCACTGGAAGAGAGGGGAGACAGGGCAGCAAAAACCCCAGAGGGAACCACAGTGTTTATGAAATGGGTCACTGAATCACACAGAGCAATGTTTCTCTCACAGGTGCAATTCCTTTCTGGACCAGCTTCAGACAGACACCTGTGCCAGCCTCAGGCTGGGGGTGGGAGTGCAGAGTGGGCTCTATGGCCTGAAGAACCACAGCAGTGGGCTGGAGGCCGTGAGGCAGCCGCTGAAACCACCATGAAGCCACGTGGCCTTTTCTGGGCGCTGGACAGAAATGCAAGCAAGAGGCCACACACAGCCTGCCCTCGCCCTGTGCGGGGCAGCGGGCAAGGCTGAGGCCTCGGCAAGGCCCGGAGGGGCCGCTTCTCCCTGGAGGATGGACGATTCTGCCTCAGGAGTCTTGACAAGTGCTTGTTCAATGAGAGTCGGGAGGGTCCCGGGTCCTCCAGCCCAGACCTGAAGGTCTCCACAGCCCACCCATCCCCAAAAATGCACATCATCCCCACCAAGGCCCAGGGAGGACCGCTGTGGGGCAGAAAGGCCCCACAACCCTGGGCAGACGCCCCCTTCCTGCCCCCCACCGCCCCCCACCAGACCTTGCACACAGTTCTTCCCCACCCCCTCTGCCTCCTTCCCGATGCTTTTTCAGGAGATCATAGATATGGAAACAGAGGGGAAGAACACAAATAGAAAATGGTAAAAGAGGTTCCCTCTGGGTAATGAGATGTGTGCTTGTCCATAGTCTCAAATTTTTAAAAATAAAACACCTTCACCTCCTGGGCCCTGACGGAAACCTAAAGGGCTCTCAAAGCAAACGGCGTGATTCTCAACTTCAGCCAGCAGGTGGCGGCCAAGCCCAGCGCATCCTGCCTCCGACGCGCCCCAGCGCGGGGAAGCGGGGAGGGCGTGGGACTTCCTCCAGGAGTTTTCTGGGTCCCAGGAGGTAGGCGAGGGCGACTGTCAGCTGCGGAGGCACCCCAGAATACCTCTCTACTGGTGGGCCCTCCCAACGAGGCCCAGGGGCAGGGACTGCCACCCTCTTTGGATGACTGGGAAACAGGTCTGGGATGAAGCAGGGCCTTGTCCACCCTCGCACCGCCCAGCATGGACAGAGTCTGAGCTGCAACTCTCATCTCCCAGCTGGATCTAACCCACTGCACAGACACCCAGGGGTCACCTGGCGGCCTTCTGCAGCCGAGTCCAGGACTCATCGGGGCTCCTGCGCTCCAGTCTTCCAGTAGCGGGTGGCGCTTGGGGGCCTCCTGGGGTCCCACTGGGGCTGCCACAGGCAAGGGCTGAGCCTGTGGGTGCAGAGTTTGGCCCAGGACGTGGCTGGGAGGCTGGGCCACGCCCGGCCCAGGGATAGATACCCTGACCCCCGCTCAGGAACCCACATCAGCGGGAGTCTCAGAGGGGCCGGTCCCATACCAGCCAGAAGGAGAACAGAAGGAACAAGAGGACCAGGGCTGCAGCCAGGGTCAGAGAGGGCACCAGGTCCGAGTCCTCGGGGCCGGGAATGACGTCAGCTGGGGCATGGTCGGGGGCGGCCAGAGCACCAGACAGCTGAGTGTCAGAGACCTTGTCCCCGGGGGGCCCGGGCTGGCCCATCTGAGAGGAGATGAGGGACAGGACTTCCTGTGGGAGAGGCCCACCTCACACCCACCGCCCCTCCCAGCTGTCTCCCTGGGGAAGCCCCCATCACCACAGCAGGGGCCAGGGGCCAGGAGGTGCCCCCGGGCAGTGAGTCTCTGAGCCTCAAGGTTTCCCTTTGTGAAATGGGGACCCGGAAGACCACAGAGGGAGGACAAGGACCAGATGCAACCGCCCCGGGGGCCACCTGCGGTCCCGCCAAGCTTCCCACCTTCTCCCTCAAGATGACTGGGCTGGAGGTCAGGTTCAGCCCCACTGCTCCCCTCCTCAGAGACCTTTCCCCCTGTGCCAGGGAGTCTGCAATGCAGCTCGGTTAGTTTCTTGGGCAACTGGAAGCCAGCAGACTCGTCTGGAAGGCCCTTGTCACACTGCAGAAGGATTCGCAACAAGACTGCCAGCTGCTCTCCGCCCACGGGGCAGCAACGAGGGACAGGAGCACCAGGTTATGTCCATCTCACAGATAAGATAAATGAGGCTCGGTAAAGACAGCGCCTCCGGGAGCAGGGTCCCCGAGAAGCCCGAGTTTGGCAGAGAGGGCCGCGAGACCCCGCCCTCAGCCTCTCACACAGGGAGCACTGGCCTTGGGCTAGGTCGCCGTTCAGCCGCAGACCCTAGGTCAGCCAGCGAGGTCCAGGAGACGCGGCTCGTCTCTGCCCAGCCCCTCCCAAACCCCCAGCCCCGCAGTTCAGCAGGACGGTTACCTTCCGGCCGTCGGGGCTCCCGGCTCCTGGGAGAAGCCTGCCCCGGAGCTGCCGTGTTCCCCAGGGACGGGGCCAGTGGGTGGCAGCCTGAATGATCACCTCAGCGGCCTCCTCTCTCCTCTAAGGAAAGCACCCACTCCGGGGCTTCCCCCAGGGCATGGCTGGAGCTGGGAGCGGGAGTGAGCCGCCCCACCCCCACTGCCACCTGGGTGTGTCCAGGGCCCTCCCGGGAGCTGCGGAGCCAGGTGCCTTCTCCCCCCAGAAGTGCTTTCTGCTCCCTCTAAGCTGAGGCTTCTGCCTGGGGGCTGGGGGAGCTGAGGGAAGAGGGGCTCCGTCCGACTCTTTGCGACCCCGTGGACTGTAGCCCGCCAGGCTCCTCCATCCATGGGATTCTCCAGGCAAGAATACTGGAGTGGGTAACCACTTCCTCCTCCAAGGAGAAGGGGCAGACTCTAAATTCCAGTCGGCAAGGGGCTTCTGGGCACTGGCTGTGTGTCCGTACTGTACCAGGCAGGGGGGTGAGTGGAAGAGGGGGCATAGGCCCACCCCAGCACCAGGGCCAGGCTCTGGAGCAGCCTGTCTGGGGCAGACCCGGGGCGGTGGGGAGCAGGAGGAGATAAGATGGGAGGGTTCGGAGGCCAAAGGACCACAGAAGTGATCTTTGCTGAAGGAAGTTATCCCTTACGGGCAAAGATGTGCATCCCGTTGCTAATTTTAAAAGCAAAGAAAGCTAAGGACTTCCCTGGTGGTCCAGTAGCTAAGATTCCATTTTCCCAGTGCCGGAGGCCTGGGTTTGAACCCTGGTCAGGGAACTAGTTCCCACGTGCCGCAACTAAAGATCCCACATGCCACAACTAAGATCCAGTGCATTCAAATAAATAAATATTTTTATAAACATATTAGTTTAGGGGAAAAAAAGCAAAAAGGTGTGAAATAACCTTAATGCCCACGAAAAAAGGTTAATGAGCAATTCCAGCTTCATCCACTTAAGAACCTTAAAAACCCCAGAAGAGGGGTCTGTGAACAAGGAGAGTCATACAAGATTTATCCTTTAGCCCAAAACTGAAAATAGCCTGTCCAGGAGGGGGACCTTGCCCCCTACCCTTCTTCGTTATTTCAGCTGATCTAATAATTAAATGGACACAAGACAGATCAACAGGAGGAAAACCAAACAGACAAATTGAATTTCACACATACGGCGCTTTCATAGACATAGGACCCAAAGAAATGACCAAAGGCAGGAAGCCTTTATGTTATTTAGACAAAGAAACGACAAATCTGTCAAGAACTGACAAGACAAAGACACTTAGGCTTGGGTACCAGTTAGTGAAGAAACTCAGCCGGGTTTGTTACCAGCCTTCAGGCCCTGATTTCCCCATCTCTGGGGATAAGTCTGACTCTGCCTCCTGGTGCAAGAAGGCTAGCTTCCACATGGGAAATTTATTTCCTACTTTCAAGGGGACAGAGAGGAGGGTCAGAGTCTCTTTCTTGCATCCACTGCTTTTCTCAAGTAGCTTAAATTCAGAGTAATCAGTGTCTGCCACTTTGGCATATTTTAGGGTGGCTTGCCCTGAGCCCCGTGAAACCCAACCACCCATAAAAGAATGGAACTCACTCAGAGCAATAAGAGGGGAGTAAGCCACCACAGCACGCAGCACAGATGAGTCTCAAGGATGTGGTTGTAAAGGCAGCCAGAGGAAGCACTTACCATACAGGTCTCTTTCTATGAAACTCTAGGAAAGATGAGTGGAATCAACAGTCAGAGATGGATGATCAGTAGTTGCTTAGGGATGGGGGAGCCGTATTGACCGGGAAGGGGGATTCTGGAGGATGGCAAGTTTGTGTTGACTGAGGGGCCACGGGGTGATACAGTTGTCAACCACTCATTGACCTACACACTTAAAATGAGTTCATTTTCCTGTGTGTAGATTGTCCCTCAATAAAGCTGACTGTAAAAGGAAAACAAACAAACAAAACAAAACTGGGGACTTCCCTGGTAGTCCAGTGGTCAAGAACCTGCCTGCGAAGGCAGGGGACGCAGGTTTAACCCCTGATCTGGGAAGATCCCACATTAAAAAAATTTTTAATGGGAAAAAATTGGGGGGGAAAGAGCCAAAAACAAGAGCAGGAGTCCATTCAAGAGGTTCAAGAGTAGGAAAATCTAATCCACAAGGACAGAAGTCAGTGATGGGACCTCAGGAGGGTGCACATGACTGGAAAGAGGTACTTGGGACTCTCTGAGGGTGACCAGAAGCTTCTTTTTAAAAATGTATGTATTTGGCTGCACTGAACCTTAGTTGGAGCATGCAGGATCTTCAATCTTCACTGACGCACATGGGATCTAGTCCCCCAACTAAGGATCGAAGCCAGGCCTCCTGCGTTAGGAGCCCAGAGTCTCAGCCACTGGACCACCAAGGAAGTCCCAGAAGCTTCTTTCGTGCTCTGAGCTGCAATTCCTGGGGGGCACACAGAGGTTTATTCATTGAGCTTATGTCTGAGATGTTGCTACTGAGCTCAGATTTGGCTGCTCGAAGCTTGAGATACAATACTCAAGAAACAAGTACTGGTAAGAAAGGAAAGCTTGCTTTCTATAGGAGGCCAGCAACCTGGGGGAGAAGGGCGACTCGGGTCCAAAAGCCGACTCTGCTTGCTACTCGGGATGTTCAGCGTTCTCGTAGGTGAAGGAGGGCTTCCCAAGTGGCGCTGTGCTGTGCTGAGTCACTCAGTCGTGTCCGACTCTTTGCGGCCCCGTGGACTGTAGCCCGCCAGGCTCCTCTGTCCGTGGGGATTCTCCAGGCAAGAATGCTGGAGTGGGTTGCCATGCCCTCCTCCAGGGGATCTTCCACACCCAGGGACCAAACCCAGGTCTCCCGCATTGCAGGCGGATTCTTTACCATCTGAGCCACCGGTGAAGCCCAAGTGGTAAAGAACTGGCCTGCCAAGAAGAAGGCCTAAGAGACACAGGTTTGATTCCTCGTTCACCACTCCAGTACTTTTGCCTGGAGAATCCAACGGACAGAGAAGCCTGGCGGGTTACAGTCCGTAAGGTCACAAAGATTCGGACACAACTGAAGCGACTTGGCACGCGCACACAGGTGGAGGGAGGGGGCTACATACAGAAACAGCACAGTCAGCTCCAGTGATCCTCTAGAACTTGGTCACGCAGTGGTCTCAGCAGCAGCATCGTAAGTACAGTTAATTTTCAGTTCCACAGTTGGCTTGGGTCCATTTCTTTGAGGCCAGTTCTTGGAACTGTGTGTGATGGAGCACCTCATGTCATGCCTACGGTCTGGTCATCAAACAGTTAACTCCTTCCACCTGATGGGAGTTTCAGTATCAGCCAACAGCTCATAGGAGATGACTCAGAGTATTATCTATAGCCTTTGAGGAGGAACTAAGAGGTCCTTGACTTTGTTTAATGACTAAACTTTATTATTTTTCCTGTTTGCTTTGCTCTGCTTCTGCATTTTTTCCCCCTTTCTCTGAATAAGTTCATTCTATGGCTAACATTTTTCTACAGACAAAAGGCAGTGAAGGACATCAGGGTGGTGTTCTGTCCTGGGAAAGCCCCATCGGGTCCTGCTCAGGGTCAGTGTCTTCCATCTCAATTTTCAAACTACGGTCATGAGGACTACGCAGGACTGTAGCAGGAATCACCACTTACTGGATGTGCTGAGCCCACAGACGAGGTCCTTGACAGCAAGAAGAAAATGCTTAAAAGGCGGTGTGAAGTATCACACGATCTGAGGCACATTCAGTATGCAAACAGATACGTGGAGAAAAGAGGGGAAGGTGAGGCTGTTGGCAGAGAGCGTGGTTTTCCCACGTCTCTTTCCTCTATTCTAATATATACGGCTATACTTCGATGAGTATAAAAGAGAATTGTAACTTTTAAAAACTCTTCGCTATTTTGACAGATAAAATTTGGAAATAACCCAAATGCTCAACAACAAAGGATCGGTTTTTAAAATATATGTGGGTGTCCATTCAATACAATAAGGTCTGATTCATCTTCCTCTCTCCTCTCTGAAAAAGTCCAAAGGGAGAGTTGCCACTAGTAACTCAAGATTTTTTGTCGCTGTTGTGTGGTGTGTGGTGTGTGTGTTTGTGTGCGGGTTGGGTTGGTTTTTTTGTTTGGTTGGTTGGGGGGTTTTTAGGTTGGACTTCCAGGGAATTTTCAGTTTCTGCTTTTCCTATTTGTAAATTGTATCTTATTACCTGGATAATTTGCTACAAGCCCAGGTTACTCCCCCAATCAGAAATGGGAAAACATACAAGTCTCGCCCAGGGGAACCGCCACCCCCTCCTCCCTCTGCCTTCACGCCACACCCCCTGGCTGAGGCGCCCTGGATCTGGCGAGCCAGCTGGGTCTCAGCCCATTAGGGGACTGCGGTGACTCCAGACGTACTGTGGCAGGGAGGGGGGCAGTCGAGCGCAAGGCGGAGCCCACGGCCTTCCTTCGAAGGCGCACAAATGTCCCCTGGGTGACCCTGGCGCCTTGCGGCCCCTCTCTGCGTTTCAGCTTCCTCCCGCTTATACCAAATGGGCCCCGGGTGGGATGCAGGGATGCGGTCTACGCCCCCAGGGCTGGTACCCAGCTTGGACCAGTCCCCGCATGACTTCCAAGAGCCTCCCCCCGTGAGGTGCTCCTATCCGCCTAGCGAGCCCTGCCGCCTCCAGGGGCGCACGAGGGGCCTGCGGCGTCCAGGGAAAACCCTGCCTTCCGGTTTGGGTTACTCCGGCCGCGACGCGAGACGGCTCCCGGGGAAAGCCCGGCCGCCCCACCCAGCTCGGCGCCAGCATCCTCAGCATCCGCACCACTCGCGGCCGCCCCATTGGCCGACGCCCGCTCTGCAGGGCCGCCCAGCAGCCAATCGCGGGCTGGGGGCGGGGCTCCGGGCTCCGCCGGATGATCCCATCCGCTGCGGCCCGACGCGCCTCGGGACAGAGCTGCCCCGGCCCCTTGCGGCGCGCCCGGGCGGGAGGAGCCGGTCATGCAGGAGCCGCTGCTGGGAGCCGAAGGCCGGGACTATGACACCTTCCCCGAGAAGCCGCCCCCGTCACCAGGGGAGAGGACGCGGGTCGGGTGAGAGTCTGGGCGTAGGGTCTGCGGGTGGAGGATGCGGATGGCCTGGTAACCTCCAGCGGACAGCTGGCTCCCCGACCTTGGGGCGCCACTGACTGCGGGGGAGTGGCCACCAAGGGGCCGCCTAGCTCAGACACGCTAGTCCTGGTCCCCCCTGAGCACTAGGCCCAGCCCCAAGCTGGCAGAGACAGGGCCATGGGCGTCCAGAGGAGGCGAGGGGTTTGCCTGAGGTCAGGCAGCAAGCCTTCCTGGCAAAGCCGGGGGGCAGCCGCCAGGGGTCCTGTTCTGGGAGCGGCGCCCTCCCCCGTGTCCCAGCCCCAGCAATGGGCTGGCCTCATGCCCTGGGGCTTTCCCCAGGGAGCCGGTGCTCAGGCCCGGGAGGTGCCAGTCTGAGCAGCTCTTGACCCATCTGTCCCCAGCGCTGCCCTCTGAGCGGGCAGCCATTGTGCTCAGGCCAGGCAGCAGTTGGTGGGGAGTGGGGGGGGGGGGGTGGACTCAAAGATCCTGACGGCTCTGCACCGCCCCCACACACACCAGGGTCCTGCAGAACAAGAGAGTGTTCCTGGCTACCTTCGCTGCTGTGCTGGGCAATTTCAGCTTCGGGTACGCCCTTGTCTACACGTCCCCCGTCATTCCTGCCCTGGAGCGCTCCTCAGATCCAAACCTGAATCTGACCAAAACCCAGGCATCCTGGTTCGGGGTAAGAGCCACGCTCTGAGCTGACAAGGGACAGGGCAGGGGGAGCAGGGACCCACTGAGCTCTGTCCCCAGCTAGGAACCCCCCCCTGCAAGCTCAGCCACGGGACCCCCACCACGGCCCTGGTCTGCCCCTCCCCTATCCACTCCAGGTGGGCAATAGGGGTGAGGGGTAGTGAGGCCAGATAGTGGCTCTGAAATGAAAGGGGGAAGTGAAAGCTGATGGAGGAGGCGTGGGAAGGAGCAGGTGGGAGGTGTCCCTTAAGACCTCCACCCAGTGGCGCTGAGGTTCCCCAGATCACCCCCACACCTGGAGCTGGGCCGTCACAACAGAGCAGGCGCCTCCCTGGACAAGGGGAGGCAGGGCACTCTGGTACTAACGGAAAGAGCACTGCTGGGCCACGAGGGTGCCAGGAGAGATGGCGGGCGTGTGGGCAGGAGGAGCACAGGGCCTCGGAGTCCCAAGATTCTGGAGCTGCCATCTTAGCACTGTTATATTTGCAACCACAGCATATTAGCTAAGATAATAACACCCAACACACGCTGTGCACCTAGTCTGTGCCGGGCCTGCTTGGCACCTCCCACGTGAGCTGGTTCACTCCAGGGCCAACGCTATGAGGTGGGTGCTACTGCTATCCCCATAACGCAGCTGCAGAAAATGAGGCTCAGACAGGCTCAGCAGGATGCCCAGGTCGTTGACTGGATCTAACTCCCCATATATGCAGCAGGGAGTCTGAGAACCCCCAAACCTTAAAATCCCAAGGGCTTCAAGTCACAGAACCCTCCTGTCTACTATATGACAGTACTAGGCGTTTAAACACCAGTCTGGACAGAAGCACGGCAGACACCTGTTGTGGCTTCCCTCACAAACAGCTGTCGGTGTGCTGCTTGTACCCCTCTGGGGACAGGAGGCTCACTACCATCAAGAGCCCCAGTCCTGCAGCCCAGGCTCCCAGGACAGCCTGGGAGAGCAGCTGTCTCTAGGCCCTGATGGGGCGGGGGGGGGGGGGGTGCTAGGTGCCCAGGCATGCCTGCCCTGCATCCTTCCTCTGCAGTCTGTGTTCACCCTGGGTGCAGCTGCCGGGGGACTCAGCGCCATGGTCCTCAATGACCTCCTGGGCCGGAAGCTCAGCATCATGTTCTCAGCTGTGCCTTCAGCAGCCGGCTATGCGCTGATGGCGGGCGCCCACGGCCTCTGGATGCTGCTTCTGGGAAGGATGCTGACGGGCTTCGCAGGGGGTCTCACAGCTGCCTGCATCCCGGTAAGGCCAGGACTGCCCAGCCCGGGCTCCTCACTGCCTCAGTGTTTGCACTGACCACCACGAGCTTCGGGCCCGCCCCCCCTGCACAATCTGTGGGGATGTGTTTGCCAGGGAGCCTCAGCTCAGCACCCCCAGGGCAGCTAACTTGGGGGAAATGTGACACTATGCCCCAAGCTGCCCCCACTCTGGACTCCCCAAACTTCCTGTCTCAAAGCCTGGCAGACCCGTTGCTCAATCAGAGAAAATCCACATTGAGCAATGTAACGGGAAGTAAAGCGAAGTCCCTGCCCTGCACCCCTCCTAGGACCCCGCCATGTTGCCCACCACTCCCACATTGGGGCTGGGCAGGCCCAGCTAGGCACGAAGCCCTGGGTCGGGGGAGCGGAGGCCAGAGTCTGGGTGCTTTTGGGCCTCCACCCCCAGCCTCGTGTCCCCATGTCAGGGCTGAGTGGTTCTGCCCACTTCACCATTCAGGCAGCTGAGGTCCTGCTGAGATCATGACCAGGGCGAGAACCCACAGAAGCCCCCACTCCCCGCTCCCCGGGCTCACTGGGCCACTCCGCTCACCCCAGCCGGGCCCAGCACCTGTGCTCAGCAAAGGCCGGGCGGCCTATGTCTTGCAGGTGTATGTGTCCGAGATTGCTCCCCCCAGCGTCCGCGGGGCCCTGGGCGCCACCCCCCAGCTCATGGCGGTGTTCGGGTCACTATCCCTCTATGCCCTCGGCAAGTATCATCCAGATGCACACAGAACACCTCCTGTGTGCAGGCTGCGGGGGTTGGGGGACGGGGCCGCTGAGCAGCAGGGGCTGGAAGGGACAAAAGAAAGTGAAAGCGTGAGTCACTCAATCGCGTCCAACTCTTGGTGGCCCCGTGGACCGCGGCCCGCCAGGGTCCTCCGTCCCTGGGATTCTGCAGGCAAGAATACTGGGGTGGGCTGCCACGCCCTCCTCCAGGGGACTCGTCCAGACTCAGGGGTCAAGCCCAGGTCTCCTGCATTGTAGGTAGACAATTGCAGGTGTCTGAGCCACCCAGGGAAGCCCAACCCGAGGAAGGGACAAACCTGCCCACAAGGATCCCCTGCTGGGAGGCCAGGGGTGGGGGCCGCCGTGGTGGTGTGTGCCTCCGGGCAGTTCCCTGCGCCTCTCTGGTCATGAGGCCTCACCCCTAACTGGGCCGTGAGGGTTCTCCTAGGCTGGCAGTCTTGTAAATTGTCTTTTAATAGCAGAATGGTTTCTGGCAAATAGTCTCAGGTGGGAAGTCCATACATAAAAGTGATCAGATCTACGGCCATAGCACCCAGAATGCTCCTGACCTTGTCAGATCTCAGAAGCTAAGCTTGGCCGGTCCTGGTTTGTACTTGGATGGGAGAAAAGTGATCGGAGTACGGCCGGCGTGTGGGGGGTGGTCAGTGTTTGCTGGTAGAGGCCCCCAGGGCCTTGCTGCTCAGCCTACTCCTCCGTCACTCTGCTATGACCCTTGGGGCCCTCCAAGGACCTGGGCCCTGTGATCAGAGTGCAGCCCAGCTTGGAGAAACCAGGGTAGGCTTCCTGTAGGAGGCGGCCCTGGGACTAACCCTTGAAGGCGAGTGAGGCTGCTCAGAGGCCCCCGGTGGGAGGGGTTGTGTCCGGCCCTGCCCCAGCCCCTCACAGCTCCTGTCCACAGGCCTGCTGCTGCCCTGGCGTTGGCTGGCCGTGGCCGGGGAGGGGCCGGTGCTCGTCATGGTCCTGCTGCTCAGCTGTATGCCCAACTCCCCTCGCTTCCTGCTCTCCAAGGGCAGGGACGCGGAGGCGCTGCAGGCGCTGGCCTGGCTGAGAGGGGCCGATGCCGACACCCGCTGGGAGTTCGAGCAGATCCAGGACACCGTCCGGAGACAGGTGTGTGCAGGGTGGGTGTCCTGCAGCGCTGTGGGAGATGGGCCATTCACACCACTGCCGTGAGCCTTGGTTACCTTTCCTGGAAAGCAGGGATGAGAGCAGTTCCCACCTCCAGGAACGAGGGGTTGGGGCGGGACATCTCAGGGCCTGGCCCAGGGTGTGTATGCGCCACGTGGTGGAGGCCCGGGGCCAGCCATGTTGCCATCGGGGGGCCTGCCTCAGCCCACCTGCTGACCCGGGAGCCTGGGTCCCTTGGGGGGTCCCCAGAGGTAGGGCTGCCCCAGGGGCAGGGACCTTTCCCGGAAGAGGGAAGAAGGGAGCCTCCTGCCTAGCGTCGGGCACCCCAGGCCAGGGTGGCTCCAGTCGGAGGGGCCGGCACAGCCCCCTGCAGCGGCAGCCTCGTGTCTCCAGAGCAGCCACCTGTCGTGGGCCGAGGCCCGGGACCCCCACATGTACCGCCCCATCGTCATCGCCTTGCTGATGCGCTTCCTGCAGCAGCTGACGGGCATCACACCCATCCTCGTCTACCTGCAGTCCATCTTCGACAGCACCGCGGTCCTGCTGGTGAGAGCCCGCCCACGCTGCCCCCGGGCCCAGGGAGGCCGTGCCCACTGAGTGCCCGCCCTGTCCAGGGCCGGGGGTGCACCCACGTCTCCTGTTTCCGCGCTGCCCGCCTGTCCTCAGAGTAATGTTTGTGAGTAAAGCTCGCGTGCTTTATAAATAAGATACCCGGAATTACAAAGGAGACCAGTCTTCTAGAAGAACAGACCCCTGGGAGCTGCAGATCCCAGGCTCAGAGCATCTGTCACTTGCTGAGGAAGTCAGTCCCCATGCCCCAAACCTCAGCTTCCTCCTCTGTGAACTGGAGATAATAGCCAGCAGGCCTTCACCCGCCTACCCTGGGCTCAGAGATGAGATGAGATGTGAAGATTAGGAGCAGTGGTGCCAGGATCCCGTACCAGCCCCGGGCTTAGTGGTGGGCACGGCGGTTGTACCCCCTGCCAGCGAGGCCCCGCGGGCTGGGCTGGACGACCGGTGCCACTGCCTGGCACAAAGCAGCTGAGCTGGGGCCTGCCCCTGTGGATCCTTGGGGACTGGGGTCCTCTGCCTTAGGGCCCCCTCCTTGCAGCCCCCCAAGGATGACGCCGCCATCGTGGGCGCCGTGAGGCTCCTGTCCGTGCTGATCGCAGCCCTCACCATGGACTTGGCCGGCCGCAAGGTCCTGCTCTTCATCTCGGGTGAGTGCGGGTGGGTCGCCTGCGCTTGCTTTTGCTCCTTCAGCTGCTGCCCTCGCGGTGGGAGCATCAGAGGGGGGCCTGGGTCACAGCTGCCCTGCCGGGTGGACTTGGGTCTCCCCAGTGCCTGGCGCAGCAGGGCTGGACATCCAGAAAGGCCTGCTGGGGCTCACGGGAGCGAGCACGCCGACTGTGACACACGCTGGGTGTGACGGCCCAGACGCCGGCAGGGCAAGAGCGGCCTGGAGGGCAGTGGGCGGCGCAGGGCACCGAGGGGCTCGGGCTCACGGTGTCCTGGCCCCCCGAGGGCGGCCGGTCTGTCCACAGCGGCCGGCATGTTTGCCGCCAACCTGACCCTGGGGCTGTACGTGCATTTCGGTCCCAAGTCTCTGGCCCCCAACAGCACCGTGGGCCTGGAGCGTGCAGCCCTGGCGGGCACGGAGCAGCCCCTGGCCACGCCCACCAGCTACCTCACCCTGGTGCCCCTGCTGGCCACCATGCTCTTCATCATGGGTAGGTGCGGCCGTGGAGGGGTGGGGGTGGGCCAGCGTCATGCACTCGGACGGGCTGGGGTGCTGTCTGGGTGGTTGGGGAGGGTCTCCCAGCAGCTCCAGGGAGACACTGAGGCCCCCCCCTGGCCCCCAGATGGGGTTTGAGCACGCCCTCCCGCCCCACCCCCGGCAGGCTACGCCATGGGCTGGGGGCCCATCACCTGGCTCCTCATGTCAGAGATCCTGCCCCTGCGGGCCCGCGGCGTGGCCTCGGGGCTCTGCGTGCTGGTCAGCTGGCTCACTGCCTTTGCCCTCACCAAGTCCTTCCTGCTGGTGACGGTGAGTACTCGGCCCATGGGCCCGGGGGCCCCCCAGCCGGGCGTCTCCTTGTGTCCCCTCAGCCTCAGCACACGCTCCCTTCACACCAGGCCAAGGACCAAGTGACAGCGTAGTGAAGGCTCCTTCAGTTCAGCAAACACTCGGCTCAGGGAACCGTTGGGAGAAGTCAGGCAGCTGACCCCCAGACCGGGGTGGGACCACAGAGCCACGCCCACCCGCCCTGCCGCACCCTCCCGGGCAGCGAGCATGATCTTCCCGCCAGTGGGCAGCTCGGGTCTCTCGGCCGAGCACTTCCCCGTCCTAACTTCACTCTTGGCTCAGACTCCCAGCAGGCCCTGAAGCCAGCCGCAGTCCCCAGTGCCCAGGTGGGAGGCTCTGATGCAGACAGCTTGGGCAGGGCCTGTCCTGGTGCAGTCAGTGGGTCAGGGCAGGGTGGGGGCACCCAGAGAGGTGCCAGCAGGAGGCAGAGCGATGGTGGGGAGGAGGGGGCGGCAGGCAGAGTAGGCGCATGCCCCCAGCCATGCCGTGGTGGCAGGCCTGCTGCAGGCAGGTGCGTGGGAAGGCTGAAAGGTAAGGTGGGCTTTGGAACCAGGAGAGGCTGGTGTCTGGGGCCAGGGTGGGCTCCAGCTCAGAGGAGGAGGTCAGTCCCAGGGCCCAGCACCAGAAGGGGGCTGCCTGCAGCCCTGGAGGGCCTCGAACACCCTGCTAAAGCGGCTGGATTTCCTGCGGGTGGTGGGGAGCCCCAGGGTGTCTGACGGGTAATGAGATAGAGCGCCGCATCCCAGGCTGGCTAGCACAAGCTGAGGCAGAAACTGACGCTGGCTCCCCATGACCCGTGCGCTCTCCCCGCCAGAACGCCTTCGGCCTGCAGGCCCCCTTCTTCTTCTTCGCTGCCGTGTGCCTCGTGAACCTGGCCTTCACCGGCTGCTGCGTGCCCGAGACCAAGGGCCGGTCGCTGGAGCAGATAGAGTCCTTCTTCCGCACCGGGAGGAGGTCCTTCCTGCACTAGGGAGGGTCCCCGCCGGAGAGGGCCACACCCCTGGGCGGTGGAGCTGGGCTCTGGCCCTGAACCTGCACCCTGCATCCGGGAGGCAGCAGCAACCCGCCGCCGACAACCCGGGCACAGGAGGGCGGCCCTGAGGCCTGACAGCCCTTGGAACACGTGCAGGCCCTGGGCAGGCAGCACCGCCAGCCAGCGGTGTCACACACCCATCCGCCGGACCTGCCGGCAGAGGCGGCCATCACACAGCCCCAGGCCAGGGACAAGGCCTCACTAGGAGACCCCGTGCTGAGGACAGACGGGCCAGCGCTGGTGGACTGGCTCTGCACAGGGACGCCGCCCCCACCCGGCTGCTCCCATCGCCTGGCGGCCGTGCAGGGACCAGGGCAGGAAGCTGCACCTGTGAGGCCTGTGGACACCACAGGGGACGCGCTGGACGCCCACCGGTCAGGGCACAGGACCCAGCATGGACTCTGCCTCCTACACCCGCCCCGCTTCCGGAACAGGAAGTGCTTGAGGGTGAGCTGTGTTCACCGTATTTATACCAATAAATGAGAGGAGGGCATGGGGAGTACTCCCGGTGGGGGAGCCCCCCAGCAGCCAGGTCAGACCCAAGACTCAGCGGAGGTCGCCAGGGCCTGCTGCCCCAGGCCACCGCAGTCTGCCCACAGCGAGGCAGAAGGAAGGGGTGAGAGCTGGGGGTCCCAGGCCGTGAGGTCCCAGCTCCTCCTGGCTGTGTGCTCGGAAGAGCCACCTGCGCCATCTCAGATGCTGGGAGCAGGCCGCACGGCACCCCGAGGACACGGCGGGTTCCCCCGGGGCTGGGGGCCCCTGCTCAGCTGCTCTGGGGTCGGGGCGTCCCTTCCGGACCAGAGGGGAAAGGTAACGAGCAGAGCGCGGGAGCGAGCACACAGACCGCCATCAGGCTTTATTGCTCAAGACTCGAGGCAGACACGGAGAGTCGACAAGGGCCGCGGGGGACAGAGCCCAGACCCCAGGGCGGGCGAGCTCCGGCCACCTCGGCAGGTGACCTGCCCACTCTGGCCTGTGACCCGGGAGCTGGACGGCCTGCCCAACACCCACCAGCTTCCTCAGAGGCCAGAGACACAACCCTGCTCCACACACAGCCAGCTCTTCCCTCCTGCAGCTGGGAGACCCCATCTGCAGAGAGGACCCTGGTCAGCAGGGAGACCCTGTCAACAGGGAGACCCTGGTCAGCAGGAGACTACCCCCATCAGCAGGGAGACCCAGCAGAGGCAGGAGTGACTCCAGAGCCCCACCTGCTGGGGAAGGATGAGCCAGGAAGGATGGGCAGGGCCCTCGCTCCTCCAGGGAGGTAGACAGTCTGACCCGCGGCACACACAGGAGACACACGCACACCCTGCCGGCCTGGAGAGGCCTACAGCCCACAGCCCTCTGACCCCGGCGCTGGCCTAAGGAAGGTGGTCCCGGAGGACCCCTGAAGGCACATGTCCCGTGGGGCCAGCCGCACTGTAGGCCCTGCCACCCCGGAGCTCAGCCTGGCCAGGCTCCCAGGAGAGCTGCTGGGTGGGGGGCGCGCTATCCCCGGGACAGGGCCTGCCTCCCAGCCACCAACCCTAGCGAACCCCAGAGATGAAAGTCCATCTGGAAGCAAAGATCGGGTGCCGCCCTGGGGCTGGCTCCAGAAGGCGGGAGCAGCCCTCCAGGCTCCTGGGAGGGGCAGAGGCAGAGCCCCAGAGCCGCACACGGCTGGCCCCGGCCAGCCAGGCCCGGGGGAGAGGCCTGCTCATGCGCTCGTCCACGGTGACGCGACCAGGGGCCAGAGCACGCCCTGGCCAGCGGTCAGGCTGCCAGGGCTACCAGCAGAGGCACTGGAGGGGCATCTGGGGGTCCCCGCGGAGGAGACTGGTGGGGCCTGGGCAGTGGTGGGAGGCCGGGGCGGCCAGGCAGAAGCGGCCCAGGAAGCTCAGCTCATGGAGTACGCTCCTGCCTGGGGGGCCAGGAGGCCCGAGTGGACGTGCCCCCACCTGGAGAAGGGACCGACGTCCCCAGGAGCAGCTCCTCCCAGGCCTCCGGCCGGTCACAATGGGTGGTCCCGCCAGCCACATGAAGTCTCGAAACCCACCCCATGGCCTGCGGTCGGCCAAGCCGGGCCAGCTGGGAACAGCGGGGCCAGGGGGCTGTCTGTGCGGAGCCCTGCAGCTGGTCACCCGAGGCTCCCTCTGCTTGCCCTGCGGCCTCTGGTGAGGCCCTCACCCTGCCCCTCGGTGCTTGGCTCGGGGCGATGCCAAGGGCGGGGCAAGGGGGGGCAGAGAGAGGAGGACTCCAGGCGTGGGGACAAGTGAGAGGGGCTGAGAGAACCAGACACGGGCTCCTCCCCAGACCCCTCGGGGTCCACGCTCACACAGACCAGGGGGCGAGCGGGGGCAGGAGCGCCCCCCGACGCCCTCACAGCTCCCCCTCCAGGGCGTCTGTGAGCTTCTCCTCATCCACCTGCTGCCTCTGCTGCTGGATCCTGGCGTAGGAGATCGCATCGCCCCTGGGGAGCCAGGGCAGTCAGCGCCACACGGGGGACAGACCCCAGACATGCAGCCGCCTGGCCTCTGCCCCGTTCCTGGCCTGGGGCCCTGGGGGTGCCTGCCTAGCACCTGACGACACCCCCTGGTTTCCCGAGATGAGACCCTGTCACTGAGGATGGCAAAGACCCATCCTGTCCCTTCTGAGAGTGGCCTGGGCTGCCAGGGACATGAATTGAGGAGGACTGGGACCCTCGGGCTGGGCTCTGCGGGATTGGGGGGGCATGGGAACACCGAGCCAGGCGCGGGCCCTCTGGGCAGAGGCTCTCCAGGAGCTGTGCCCCTGCATCCCTGCCATCTTCACGCGCCAAGGGTCGCGTGAGTTCTCCTGCCTCCACCCCTTAGAGCTCAGACGCCTGGGAGACGCTGACGAGGGTCACTGATGGCGGGAAACAGGGCCGCTCCCAGACCTATGTCCGAGAGGCTCCGGAGGGAGAGACCACCCCCACCCACACCGCAGCCGGGCCGGGGCCAGCAAACGCACCTTTTGCCCAGCGCGGACAGCCCATACAGCACTCCGGTGGCGAAGGCGATGGCGTTGCCCAGCAGTGTGGTCAGGGTCAGGCTGATGACGATGGGAACAACCGCCATCCTAGGGGAGAAGCAGAAATCAAGGGGCATGCCCACCCACCCGTGGCCACGACACCACTTCCTGCTGCCCAGGCTCACCCAGCCCCTTCCCGGACAGCGGGCACAGGAAGGGTGCCCCGGCATCAGCCGGGACACAGGCTCACAATCGGGCTTCACAGAGTCCTCAAACACCATGAGCCTGTCTGCAAAGTTCTGCGCGCTGGGGAGAGAGCCCAAAGCTTTCATCGGATTTTGGGGAGACCACCCTGGTGGCTCAGTGGTAAAGAACCCACCGGCCGATGAAGCAGACACGGGTTTGATCCCCAATCACCCCCATGCCACTGAGCAACGGAACCCGTGGGCCCCAACTCCTGCGCTCTCGCTCAGAGAGCCCGCGGTCTGCAGCAGGAGCCACACGACGGGAAGCCTGCAGACCACGGCCCAAGAGCAGGCCCACCTGCTGCGACCAGAAAAGCCTGGACAAAGCAGCAAGGGCCTGGCACAACCGAAACACAGATAAAATTATTAAAAAAAAAAAAAAAAAAGGTTTTTGAAAGGGTCCATGATCCAAAAAGGCTGAAACAGCACTGAGATGGTTCAAGCCCTCAATGTGCATAGATACAGGCAGAGGAGAAAAATCCGGTCGTCAGGTCAAGCCCGCGCTGGCCTTGTGACTCACAGCATGTTATTCATCTGAGGCTCAATCTCGCTATGGTGAGGTGGGATCAAATCTCAGAGGTTTGTGAGATGAAGCAGGCAAGGCGTGTTGACTACTTAACGCCTGGAACAGCATAAGCAGTAAATAAACTAAGGCTCTTAGTGGCGCAGTAAAATCAGCCACATCTCAACAAGGAAGGTTCCAAAGGTTAAACTGCACGGGGCTTCCCTGTGGCGAGGCGCACGCGGGGTGCTTCACCGGTGAGGCAGCCCCCGCTCTGTCTGGTCCTGCTAGCGTCCCCGGGAGGAAGGTGGCCGCTCTGGCTTACGTGTCCACAGGGTCAGTGCCGGGTCCTGGCTGGGACGTCCAGACCAGTGGCAGCGATCTGCGTTAACACACACACCCTGTACGCAATGAGGACAAGACTGCAGCCTCTCCCTGGGCTTGACCAACTGAATTCTACCTGCATTTGCATTCTGGCGGGATGTGTGGTCATGAGGTTTTACTCGAGTTATAAAATTTCCCAGTGATAAAATAATAATAGAAACTGTGAAGGAGAAAAGAGACCATGGGGAAAAAATCTTCTGTCAAAACAAAATTAAAGGCAAACAACGGGCTGGAAATATTTTTACAGGAAACAAAATAAAAGATGATGGAATCTTTAATATAGAAAACACATGCAACTTACTAAGTAAGACATTATGATGTCAGTGGGTAAAAAGGAAACTAGACCATTAATTACCAAAAAGCAAAATGCAATTAGTAAAAGCATAGAGAAAAAGACTTCACCTCTTGGCTAACAGATACAAACATGAAAATGGCACATGGCCCAGGGCCAGGGGCAAGGAGGAAGAGACCCAGGGAACCTCTGCAAATTGTGGAAAACAATTTAGTCACACGTTGGAATCATTTAAACGATCATAATCTTTGACCGAGTAACTCCACACCTGGAAACAGATCCTAAGGAAATCATCAGAAACACAGACATTTTTAGCACCAAGATGTTCACTGCAGCTTGATCTGTACTTCAGTTTACAAATTAAGAGAAACACGACACATCTAGTGGAATAAATATTTCTATCATTAAAAGTCATCTTATGAAGCCTTTGTGGTAAAACTGAAAACATTTTTACCATGATGTTAAGGGGGAAAAACCAGGACACAAATTTACTTGCAATGGTTAAAACTGGGTGAGAAACGGGTTTTTAAAAATGCCTACAGACAGACTGAAAGAACACATAACAAAATGTAACAGGTAGTGGGGCTTTGAGTAACAACTTTCTCTTTTCCAGGTTATCTTTAACAAACATGTTACTGTTAGCATTTTAAAATACATTTAAAAAATAAAGATCAAGGCAAAGGACACGCCTACAGGTATTTCATATTCCTCTGTGATCAGACACAGGGGGAAGCAGCTCTAGAACCGAACACATATCTTGTGCTCAGACTGTCACAACCACTGGCCTCCAGGAAGGGAAGAAATCTTTGAAATAAAAACCTCCATGTTGACGCCTAAGGATAATCCAGATAACCACTCCTCCTGCAGCTGCCAGGAGCTGTTAACAGCCTCCCAGATACCAGGCGCTATTCTAGCAGCTGCATGAGACACATCCTGAAGTTAGTTCAACCTCGGGGTTCAGACGCGAGGACTCAGATGCTGAACTTGTCGCTAGAAGCGGGAAAATCCGAGAAAAGCATGTTTGGAGGCCCTATCTCCTGTTCTTCCCCCTTCCGTGTCAGGACACCTAGGTCGGCCCCTCTCCTGAAAGGCTGCACAGAGGGACACAAGAATCCACCAGAATCCGCCTAACAACTCCGAACAGATGGGCCAGCAGCCCAGGCGAGTCTCCTTTCTGCTATTACCCACAATGCTGCAAGGCGTACGGACCTCACGTCTGAAGCCTGTGGAGAAGCTGAGGCTTCTAGATGCAGAACCGCTGGATCACATCATACAGTGGGCCCACCGTGTGACTCGGCACAAAGGCCATCCCCGTTTAAACCTCCACGGGGAGGACGCCGTAGTGGTCAGCCGTCCCCTCCCCGCTCCCGGGCAACACCGCCGCGTGGGGCAGAGGCAGGGTCTGGGGGAGCCGACTCACGCCCGGCCCGCGGCCCCTCACCCGCAGTAGAAGACGGCCTTCTGCCAGGAGCGCAGCCGGTCCGCCTTGGCCGCCACGGCGTTCGCAAACTCCATGAACTGGCAGCAGAAAGGCGCCTCGCACAGCAGCAGGACAGAGGCGTTCATGCTGGAGGGCCGGGGAGAGGAGAAGGCTGACACCGGGCCAGGCTGGCGGGTCCTGGCGCCCATGTCCCCGGGATGCCACCCCTCCCGCTCCTGGCTGCTCACCCCAGCAGGCTCCGAGACGAGCCAGAACAGGGCGGCTGGAGCAGGGCGCCCAGTGCAGAGCCATGGCTGGGGGCTGCCACGGCCCCCTCGGGGCTCCCAAGGAGGAGCCCAGGGCCCAATCGCAGTGACCAGACCCTGGGCCCTTCCAGCAGGCCCGGCCCTTCCATCCACCCCCAGCCTGGAGGGAAAGGGTCCCCATTTGTCCCAAGAACCCCCTGAGCCCCGGAGCAGGAACTGTTCTGCACAACTCACACCCCCACAGGTGCCCGAGTCCCCGGCACACCACCAGCATCCGCCAACCCTCATGGACCAGCGCTCCCAGCTCGACCCCCGGGGGCTCCCCCCAGCCCTCCTGGGAGGTGAGGCTCTGCACACACCCCCAACCCCCCAGGCAGGACCGTCACACGCTTACTCACATCATCCACACGCCGGCCGCGATGTTCAGAGGGTGGATGGTGATGCAGTTGAAGAGGCCCGAGATCGCACAAGCTGTAAAGAGAGACACACGAGCGAGAGTTGGCCAGGGGAGGCTGCCAGGGGAGATGGCTCGAGTCGGCGCAAGAAGCCCTTCTAACCCAGCCCCAGGTTCTCCTCACAGCGCCCAGACATCTCCCCTCGGACAGCTGACCCAAGCGAGGCCAGCACACGGCTCCACGGACCGGTGAGGACAGCCTCAGGCAGGTGAAGCAGCTTGCCCAGACCCCACAGCCAGAGTGCAGCTGGATCCCGGAACTGGCCTGCTCGAGGGCTCAGCGAGGGCTTACCGAGGGCATCCCACCCTCTCTCTGTTCCGGGCCTGGGGGAGCCTGCCTTCTGAGCCCCAGCTGTCCCGACACCCACCTGGCAAGGTGCACAGCATCAAAGAGAGACCATCTCTCAAGGGCTCGGGGCAGGGCAGGCGGCACCACTCAGCGCAGGCCGCGAGGGAAACCCTCTGGGTGTGGGTACGGACAGGGCCGCCCCTCTTGGAACAGAAACTGGGGCCAGGTCAGCCTGGGTCACAATCCCCGCTCTGACCACAGCCCAGCCCAGTGACTCCGGGTGCGGTCTTTTCACCTTTCCAGGCCTGTTTTCCCTCCTGCAGCCCAGCCCGCCCACCCGGAAACACCCAGGGCCTGCGGCGGGGAGGGGACATCCTCTGCTACCCCGGAAAGTGGCTTCCCTGGGGCCCCAAATGTGGAGCCAGCTCACCCCTCCCAACGGCCTCCCACGGCAGGGTCTGTGCACTCGCCTCCCTCCATCCCCAGGGACAGCCCGCTTCACCAAGAACTCCAGGAGCCTGCCAGGCTGGGCCAGGAAGCCAGTTGCTGGGCAGGAAGCTGCCCCCTCCACCAAGGCAGCAATGAGCAACCAGTTCATTAAATTTGCAGCAGCTCCCTCCATACCTGATCCCTGAGAAGGCCTGGAACCCTCCTGATGTGTTCCCATGTAACCCTACACAGACAGCAAGCGATGGAAGACGAAACCTCGTGAAGTGAAGGGGACCGCCCTATGCGCCGCCCCCACCCCCCAAGGTCTCCTGCAGCGACAGACGCACTCTGCCCTACTAAAGGTGGCACCTGTCCTGGATCGTCACACTCATTCAGGCAGCGGGGCTCCCCAGGGCCACAGATATGAGTGCCCACGACATGACACTGCTTCTGCCCGACGGTCCGCTGTGCCTGGTCTCACCTGACAGAGGCCCATACGTCCTGCCTTCCACCTCCACCCCCGTGTCTACCAAAAGCCAACCTTCCGGAAGGACCCAGTGTCAACCCAGCCAGGAGCCCTTTAACCATCAAGGGCTGGAAGATGTCCCCTCAGGGGCCTCCGATGCTCTTGCCAAGTGAGGGAGGTGTCCAGGGCCAGCCTGTCTCCTCCAGATGACAATCAAGACCCCGAGGAAACGCCTCTCCAAGTCCCCTGACCTGCGGAAGGTGGTACTCCCGCACAGCGACCACACAGAAGCAGGAGCTCTGTCTGAACTCGAGTCTCATCTCTGAGACTCCTCTGTGCTTTGCAATCTACCCTGTGTTATATGCTGTTGGCGATCCACACGACAATCACATTCCCAAATCTGCAGGTGAAAGTGACATTTCAGGGTGAAGCCACAGGTCTCTCTTCATCTTCACGGGTCAGTACCCCAACACCGTGAACTCCTGGAGCGGCCCAGGTATCCTACTTCAAAAGCACAGAGCTGGATGGAATGCCAGGGTTAACAAGGGACTCAGCCTCATGGCTCAGCTGGTAAAGCGTCTGCCCGCCCGCGATACAGGAGACCCGGGCTCGACTCCTGGGTTGGAAAGATCCCCTGGAAAAGGAAATGGCAACCCACTCCAGTATTCTTGCCTGGAGAATCCCATGGACAGAGGAGTCTGGCAGGCTACAGTCCACAGTCCATAGGGTCGCAAGAGTCAGACAAGACTTGGTGACTAAACCACCACCACCAGCAGGGCTGAGGACCCCAAGACAGAGGGAGAAGGGTGAAGGCCCACAGGACACAGTCAGGCCCTCCCCTCCCCACCCCACGCCTCATCAGTGTCAGCCCCACAGCAGCCTCACTTTGATCTGCAAGGGAAACAGCTACCCAAACTCTGAAGGATCATACCTAAGACCTGACCAGTCTCTCCTGCAAAGTCAAAAGCACGCTTCCTCTGAGTAGTAGTGACAGGGACTCGGAGGCCCTTTGGTGGCTGGCGGAGGGCCTGTCCCACTCTGGTCCCTGGAGAGCAGCACGCTCCTAACCTGCACTGCTGGGCTTTCTTCGGGCCTCCACCCACCCGGGAGGGACCCTGAAGAGGGGCTCCTTCTGGCATATCTGATCAGGGTCCGCCTGGCCCTGGTCCTCTGTGCCAGGCACTCACTGTTCAAATCCTGAGAACGCCTGGACAAACAGACACTCCCTTTCTAAGACCTCGGGCTGTGCCCGCCCCAGTCCAGTAATTCACAAGGTTGTGGGTAGCAGCACCACTCAACCAGACTGAGGCTTGCCTCAGAAGACCTGCCACGAGATCTTTCTCTCACTGAGTAGCAGGTCCGCCTTCCTATACCTGCTCTTTTGGGGGTGGCTGTGCTAAAAGAGCCTGGCTTCCCGGAAAACGTGAGGTTGGGGGTGTGTCCGGGACGAGCCTGTGTCCCGGGAACAGGAGGAGGGCGACGCTGAGGCGCTGCTGCGGCTGAGTTGACAGCCGGAGGCAGAGCTGACATCAGAGGAAGCGCACCGTCTCCAAGTGGACAGCGAGGACCCAGAGGAGGGGCCACCTCCCTTCCTCGGGGATCACCTGCTCCCTGACACCGCCACCCGCCCCTCGGGAAACCTGGCCAGACCTGCACCCGCCCCACGTGTAAACAACCTTCGCCCAGAGAAGAAGGCGACCGCCGTCCGCACGCGCAGCAGTCAGCAGGCGGCTCTGCCCTCCGGCCAGGCGCGTCGGCGGGGGGGCGGTGAGGCCACGTCGGGCCGGCAGCTCCCCGGGCGGGTCACGCTCCTCGCCCCGGACCCCGGGCCGCCGGCCGGTGACCATGGCAACCACAGAAGCGCCCGCTTCCCGCGCGCCCCGCAGACTGCATCCCGAGCGGGTCCCTTCCCGGTGGCACGCGGGGTGGGGGGCGCGGGGCCGAGCCGGGTACTCACAGACTGCCCCTAACACTCCCGACAGGCGACACAGCCAGCGGTACCACCACGTCATGCCCTCCTCCTGCGCGGGCTGCGCCGAGCTCGCGGGCGCCACCGCCGCTCCGCCCGCGCCGCTCATGGTGCCGCCGTCCGACGCTGCCCGCCGCGCGCACAAAGGGCCGCGGAGCCGGCCGCGTCTTCCCGGCGCGCGGCCTTGTGGGAGAGGCGGCCGCTTATTAGCATAGGGGGCGGGGCTGGCGGGGCCGGGCGGAGGGAGGGCGCCCAGGAGGCCCGGACTTATTAGCGTAGGGGGCGTGGCCCTCCGGAACCTGGACGGAGAGCGCCCGGGGACTTCACGCTTATTAGCATAGAGGCGGGGCTTTGTGTTTATTAGCATCGAGGGCGTGGCCCGCTGAGACGTAAACAGAGAGCGCCCCGGGGCCTCGTGCTTATTAGCTCGGGGGCGGGGCCGCGGCGAGGTGCGCCCGAGAGGCCCGGGCTTATTAGCATAGAGGCGGGGCGTCGTTACATTAGCATAGGGGCGTGGCCGCGGGTACCTGGACTGAGCGCGCCCGGCCCCCTCGCGCTTACTATCGCAGGGCTGGGCCCTGCCCCGCGGGACTCTCCGGCGCTCAGCATCCAGACCCAGACTAGCAGAGGGGTGGGGCGTCGCAGGGAAGCGACTGGCGCGCGGGCATCAGGGCCTCGGGGCTCCAGCCTCCCTCCCCGGGTAGACCGACGACCGCTAGCGGTAGCCGGGGGTTTCCTGGAATCTGGTGTGGACGTGGAGCCCGACCGCGGCCAGGGAATTCCCGTCGTGCGGTGGGCCGGGTTTTCAAACCGTGTTTGGGCAGGCTGGATAAAGAAAACGCCACTCAGACTGAACGCTCCGTTTATTTGTACCCGAGGGGCTGGGAGCCGGCTTTCAGGGAGGGTCCCGCCTCCCACCCTCTAGTGTTCTGCCTATTGGAGGAGGCACTCAAACACCAGAGTCAGCTCTCCAGGGCTGGATGGACACCTGCCAGATGTTCATAAATGTCAGGCGCCTTCCTTTCCCTACCGGGCCTGGGAGGAAGCGTTCCACTGTGTCCACTGGGCAACTTAGGGATGCACTTGGAGAGGAAGCTGAGGCAGGGGATCGGCCGGCTAAGGAGCTCTCGTGTGGAGGGTCCAGTACTGGCCCCGAAGGCTGGCCTGCGCTTCCAGGAAGCCCTGGCTAAACTCCATCTCTGCCTGGCTGCCCTCTGACTCCCAGTAGAGCGTCTGCTGCCCACGAAATGCCGTTGTCCTCAGGCTGTGGATGTCCCGGATCTGGGAGGAAAGGGGCAGCCCAAAGGACCAACCACAAGTAATAATTAGCATAAGCCCTTAATGTACAAAGTAGCATACACCCAGGTCACACAACAGCCCATCATGAAGATGCTGTTATTCTACCTGAGCAACTGAAGCTCAGAGAGGTGGTACTCCTTCCTCAAGGACACACAGCCAGAACGCCAGAGCTGGGGTCTGAGCCCAGATTTGTACAGAGGCCAGACAGCCTCCTGCAGGGAGCTGATACCTTACAGAGGCCAGTTCTTCCAGAACACACAAAAGTTCATCGAGGAAGGGCTTGGCCTACTCTTCTAGTAAAATTATCTGAGGGTCTAAAATTATGCTGCTTCAGTCCTGGGTGAACCGGCTGTCTACATCAGCCAGCTCCTGTATTTCTTTCTTGTAGGGAGCTCAAGAAACATTTGTTGGTGAATAAGTGGAAGAAACTTATCTCCCATTCATTCACTGATTTTGAGGATTTTGGTCTGAAGTAGGCTCAGTGGGCCCAGCAACCCTCCAGTCCAGTCCCTGCCCCCTGTCCCCAGGGACGGCTGTCCAGAATGATAGCAGAAGTCAGCCCCTTCCTGTCCCCATCCCAGCAGCCTCACCAAGATGTAGCTTGCATCAGTTCCCTCGGCTCTGGTGCCCCTGTCCACGGTCAGGGCGTGGATGGCAATCCGGGCCTGCGGGGCCACGTCGATGAAGATGCGACAGCCCCCCACGTTCCTCCCACCCGGACTCATCAATGGGCTCGAGATTTCACCCCGGGGTCCGAAGAGCTGTGTGTCACATCCTGCAGGGGAGAGCAGGTGGAAAAACTGGGTGTGGACCGTCTCACAAACAGAGGATGCCCCAGGAATGGCTGCTCTTGCCAGAGGCCAGGGGGGATCAGTGCAGCACCACACTCAGGATCAGGGCCCCCAGCAGAAGACCCCACTGAACCCCATCTCTACCACTTCCTGGCTGGGTGACCCTAATGAAGGCCTTAAATGCTCTGGGCTTCAGTTCCTTCTGTAAAGTGAAGAGGACAACAGCACACACTGGGCAGGGCAGACTTTAAGAGGACTCAGCGCAGTCACGTGCAAAAGGGCTTCACACTGAACCCGGCCCAGGGGCAGCCCTCCTAAGCCTCCCCCGAGGCAGGCGCCTGTGCATGGGGAGCCTGGGAAGTGAGGAGCGATGACCAGGCCAGCAGCCAGGGCCTGTGCTCCTTGCTGAGGGGCCAAGGAAGGAGTGGTCCAGGGTCCCACTTCCTACCTGAGGTCTAGGGAACCCAGAAGTGCCTGGAACCCTGGGGGAAGCAACCTTCCAGCAGCTTGGGCTGCAGGAAGAGGGCAAGACCCCCAAAGCAAGCCAGAGGGCTATCCATGGATGCACTGGGGGCCCAGGCTTGCAGGGCTCCCGGCCACTGTCCTGCACACGAGGTGTATGTGCACACACACCCCGCTCTGTGGAGGATGAGCCGAGAGGATAGTGCACTAAGTGGGGCTGGGCAAAGCAGCTTGCAGAAGGCCCTTAAAGGATCCTGAGGGACCTGAGTGCCAGGCCAGGGTGTGGGGCCGCGGTGGCCTGAAGGAGGGTGTGCGCCCATGTGCCGTGGGGCCCAGAGAGGAAGGGAGGCCACACAGCTCAGGACCCCGTGCCGGCCACACGTGCAGGGAGCGGGTGTCGGGGGCCCGGAAGGCACTGCATTTCATTCGCAGTCAGCTCATTACTTTGCCGACAAAGGTCCGTCTGGTCAAAGCTACAGTTTTTCCAGTAGTCATGTATGGATGTGAGAGTTGGGCTATAAAGAAAGCCGAGCACCAAAGAATTGATGGTTTCAAACTGCAGTGTTGGAGAAGACTCTTTAGAGTCCCTTGGACTGCAAGGAGATCAAACCAGTCAAGTCTAAATGAAATCAACCCTGAATATTCATTGGAAGGACTGATGCTGAAACTAAAGCTCCAATACTCTGGCCACCTGATGCAAAGAGCCGACTCAGTGGAAAAGACCCTGAGGTGGGGAAAGATTCAGGGCAAGGGGAGAAGGGGACAACAGAGGATGAGATGGTTGGATGGCATCACAGACTCAGTGGATATGAGTTTTGAGCAAACTCGAAAATAATGAAGGACAGGGAAGCCTGGCGTACTGCAGTCCACGGGGTCGCAGAGTCGGACACAAATGAGAAATTGAACAACAGCAGCTCAGTTCTCTGTCTGCCTGGCCCACCAGCCCATAAGGACTGGCCCCGTTGGCAGGTTCTGGGCAGGTGGGGAGGCTCCATCGCCTCGCCGTACCTCGGGGGAAGGCTCCCGGGGCAAGCTGGCTTGAATACCGCAGCAGCACTCCGCCTCCAACCTGCACGAGACGCTGCCTCACCAGCAGCGTGTTGGCTTGGGAGCTGAAAGCCATGCCAGCCGGCTTCCCGCACATCTTCCTCCACACGAGCCGGCCCCAAAGCAGCAGCATCTCCCCTGGGAAGGGGCAGTGTAGTGAGGACCCAGCACCCCCAGTCCAGTGGCAGCCCAGTGGCCGGGGGCAGACTCAGCTGAGCTCAAGTCCCGATGCTCCCACTTACTGGCCATGCAACACTAAGGAACTCCATGTGTAACTTAATCTCTGCTAGCCTCAGTTTCCTCATCTGTGAAATGGGGACAACCACACCCCAGTCCTGAGTGGGCTAAAGTGATTAACACGTGGGGAGGCACTTGGAGCATGCCCCCAAGCATGGGGCACCCTTGAGTTACCCTCACTGGCATCCCCAGACCCCAGCATTGGCAACAGCTGCTCCCATGGCCCCAGACATACCAGCACTGCAGTTGAGAGAACCCTGCAAGACCCGGAGGGTCACCACTTCACCCAGGGGCCGCCCGATGGCCACCGCACAGTCCGCCCGCACCATGCCTCGCATGTCGATGACTCCTGTTGGCTCAAGGTGCTGCCGGCCACAGACACCTGGCAAGGGAGCAGCAGGAGGGCAGGTGAGCAGGGCTTCCAGGCAGGGCGACCCACAGGGCAGGGCCGCGGGAGGAGCTTGGGAGCTGGGGCGGCTCATGTCCTCCCAGGCCCCATCAGAAGGCTTCTCGGGTGAGAAGGGGGCTGCGTGGGTCAGAGCCTCACCGCCCCAGGCACAGAGCCAGGCCTGATGCGCCAGTGGGTCACACGGGCAGGGCTTCTGACTCTTCTCAACCTTCGGGTCCCTCTCCCCGATGATAATAAAAGTGAGCTTGCGCTTTCCCAGTGAGGCAGAGGGCCCAGCCTCCCAACCCACCCCTCCAGCTCAGCCACGCTCGGCCCAGTGTCTGGAGTGCTGCAACCACTGGTCCACCCCACTCCGGGAGGTCCCCACGAGGAGCGCAGTCTGACTCTCCCTGATTAATATGCCTTTGCCCACCCCTCCTGCAGCCGCCCCACACAGAAAGAAGGAATGAACCTAACTGGTCTCCACTGGGCTTTCCTGGGGCCCAGGCAGGCGTCCTTGAGCTGGGGAGAGGAGGTGGGCATGGGGCTGGGGCCACTCCGGGGACGCAGCTGTGGCAGCTGTGGTCTGACCTTGAGTGGCTGCTTCCTCGTGGGGTGCCGGGCTGGCCGTCCCCTGCCCCGCGCAGGGCCCAGCCCAGCAGCCCCGCACGGTCAGCGGCTTGGGCAGCTGCTGGCAGAAGTCTGCGGGCACAGGCACCCGGGCCCAGGGTCCTAAGCAGGCGTCATGCCGACGCTGGATGCCCTCCCCACACGAGACAGAGCACTGCCAGGGAAGAGGGACAGAGTGAGGCTGACCCTGCTGGGGCAAGACAAACACAGTCGTTGACCAGAGGCCAGGCGGGATCTAATATAATCTCTGCCCAATGCAGGAGGCGAGCATATGCGCCCATTCTCCAGATGAGAAGACTGAGGCTCAGAGAGGTCACCCTGCCAGGGTCATAGAGGGAGGAGGAGCACAGCTTCAAACCCGGGTCTTTCGCTGTCGCCCCCCAGGCCTCGCTGCCCTCCGGGCCCCCTTAGTGGACACCGGTGGCTTCCTCCTGCCCTCCGTCACTCAATGCAGCACAGTGTCCACCCTGCCATCCCGCCCCGTGCCGCCCCTGGTGGCCGTGTGCTCTGCCTCTTCTCCCCTCCGCGCTGTGAACGAGCCCCTCCGGGGGGAGGGACCCAGCCCTGTCTACCTTTGTCTCTCCAGGGTCTTGCAAGGTGCTGGGTGCAGGATGGCAGCTGCTCACCTTCCGGAGTTATCAGTCCTTCATCTTCCGGCGTCTCCAGACCTCGGGGCCTCTGAAGGCCTACCTGTCCCCTGACACCTCTAGGCCTTGCTGTGTCTTCCATCCCTGGGTGCCCTAACAGACCTGTCTCTCCCCACTCCTTTCAGGGGATCACGACGCCCCCCCACCCCAGGTCCCCATGTGTGAGGACCCTCGGCCGACGCACTGGACGGCCAGCCCCAGCTGCAGCGCTTACCTGCGTCCAGGCGCTGACGTGCCACCGGTAAGCACAGTCAGCGACGACGCAAGGGATGCTGGCCTGCGGCCGCACCAGACCTGCACAGGCCGCCCCGTCCACCTCCGTGTCCTTGCCGCTCTCCAGCCGCACACAGGCCACCGAGCGTGTGGCCGTGCCAAGCCCACAGCTGGCTGAGCACGGGCCGAGGGACGTCACTTCCCACCTGCAGCAAGAGAAGACCCCAGAGAGAGGCTCGGCTCCCCCAGAGGTGGCACTGCCCAGGGGAGCTCCTCAGACGGCCAGCCAGGACCGGTTCCAGGGCCCCTGGGGGGGCCCAGCAGCACAGCCCCTGGGCCCCCGCTGGCTGATCACGGGGCTGAGTGGCACGGGGGAGGCTCTGCAGGAAGGAGAGCTCTATTTCCTTAAGAAGGTCCCCCCTTCCATCCCCTTTGTCACAGAACACCCGTGGCACGAGCTGCTGGCTGGGTCAAGAACCGGGACGGGGCAGCGGTGCCCTGGGACGATGGACAGCTGATCTCCGTCCCCATCATTCAATCCAGCCAGTGGTGATTTATCATCTTTCACCAAATGATGACGACTGGTACATTTCAGAGCCGGGGCTGAAGCCAGGCAGGCTGCACTGGGGCCTAGAGTCCTAATCACTAAACTAGGCTGCCCCAGCCCTGAGACCTGAGATGCCCCCTCCCGATCGCGTGCCTTCTGCAGCCTTGGCACTGTTCTAGACGCCGAAATACGGCCATGAACCAGACCCAGTCCTCCCCACCTGTCTCGGAGCAGGTCTCCACCTCGCAACGTTTGGGGCCAGATGGGTCTTTGTCGTGGGGCCGTCGGTACAGTGGAGGGTGTATTTAGCGGCACCGCCGGCCTCCACCCACTAGATGCCAGGAGCATTGCACCCCACACCCACCCCGCGCTGTGACAGTGTCCCTGGGAGGACTCCCTGCCTCCTTGTGATGGCACTTCGAGCAGAGCCTCAGAGTGGGATTTCTGAGAAGACACATACAAGAGCCACAGGAAGGCAGGTGAACAAGCATCGCCTGGAATGTTCCAGAACATCAAGGAGGCCAGGGTGGCCACAGGGACATTCCAGGGGTAAGCAGAGCTCCTGTGTGAACGAAATGCCCATTAAGAAAATCCCAGATCATCCCAAATATGATGCGCAAAAATAAATGGAGTGCACATTTTAGCATGAGCAAAAAAATCAAGAGACACAGGTATGGATAGCAGATGGATCATAAAGTTACAGTGATTAAAACTACTTGATTTCAGGGTGGCAGTAGGTGGGGTAGTAAATCAACAGAGCCCGGTAGGAAGCCCTCAACACAGATCCTACACACAGGAGAGGCCAGGATGCAATAAGCGGGCACCTGGCAGGGTGAGGAGTGGAATGCAGCAAACGTTGCCGCTAGCTAGTGATTTGGAAAAATAGTCTGCTCTCCTACTTTGCACGCGGGCTAAGTTGTTTCAGTTGTGTCTGGCCCTTTGTTACCCTATAGACTGTCACCCTCCAAGTTCCTCTGTCCATGGGATTCTCCAGGTAAGAATACTGAAATGGGTTGCCATGCCCGCCTCCAGGAGATCTTCCCAGCCCAGGGATTGAACCTGAGTCTATTATGTCTTCTGTATTGGCAGGCAGGCTCTTTACCACTAGCACCACCTGGGAAGCCCCCTACTTTGCAAGAGACCCCAGATAAATCACAGATGAGTTTAAAGCTTTAAGTGTAAGGGAAGTCTCTCTGTGGTGGCGTTACTTCTTTAAAACTAAGAAGACAGATGGCAGAAACACAGAGGGTAGCATCTATGAAATCTGATGGTAGGATGTGGGTGACTTACATTCCTTTCTGGATGTTTCTGAGTGACACAGAGGAGCACTGCATTATTTAAAATGCAAAATTACAAAGAGGAAGCCGCGGGCACACTGGGAGGAAGGAGGTGAATGTCTGCGCTTCCCCATGGGGCTCCCACCCGTCTCTGGACCCCCCTGGTGGGACCTGCGCTGTCCCTGTGGCTTCAACGGTGCTGAGCCCCAGGTGGACCGCCCTCAGGCTCTGCTCAGATGCTGCCTCTTCCAGCGGGAAGCCCCCAGCCCCACCCCATCAGGACCAACGCGACTGAGTTTGCTAGAATGACATCAGGTGCAGCCTCCCGGGAGGGGGTGGGGGTCCTATTTCTGTTGCCCCTGAAACACCCTATAACCCCCACGGGCCCAGCCCCACGTTGGCACACACCAGGTGCTCAGGCTGCCTACTGCCCACGCTGGGGCTGCTGACCTGGGTGGGCAGGGCTCCGGGCTGCAGGCCTCCTGCGGCTCCGGGCGGGGCAGCCCCTGGCACTGGGTATCCGGCAGGGTCTCCTCGTCCGCGTCCTCCCCGTGGGCCCGGGCACAGTGCAGGATCCTCCGCGCCACCCCTCCCCCACAGCTCAGGCTGCAGGCCGCCAGCTTGTACCGCCACCTGGGGCAAACGGGAGTCAGGGGGCGCCCGGGGGGAGCCTGGCTTCCCCTCACGTCCACCCCAGACCAGAAAGGGCCTGGAAAAGGTTCTCTCTCCGGGGAGTCACTTTTACATCTCCATCAAGAGGCTCAGCACAGTGGACAGAGAATATTCAGAAGACCCCATTTTACAGAAGGGGAAGTTGAGGGCAGATGTGTCCAGAAAAGCAATGGGGAAGGGGTGGGGCACCCAAGGGGCCCTGCAGAGACATCGGTCTCCAACAGGAATCCCAGCCCCACCATCACCCGGGCCCGCCCCCGCCAAGACTGCCAACCTTCTTTCACACTGTTTCCACGTCACACCAGCACCGTCCCTCAGATTATGCATATATACCCATACACACATATATATCCTCCTCAATCTTATTTGTCATCTGTCCCCCCGCCCCCAGCCCCCAGCGTCTGCCCCGTGAGCCCAGGGCTGCCTGACTGTCTTGTTAGCGGCGGGGTCCGCCTGCGACAGCGCAGCACCAGGGCATAGAAGCCCAGTAAAGAGCAAGTGATGAAAAACGAGCCACCAACCGCAGTGCCTACGGCATTCCAAACCCCCCGCCCCTGTCTTCTCTGCACCAGTATGACCCTCTCCTGCGGGTGAGGACGCAAGGCTTAGGACATGATGACACCACTCTGCAAGGACGCCGGCCGGGGACCACCGGCCTCCTGAGGGAGGCTGACCTGGCGGGACAGGGCTCCGGGCTGCAGGCCTCCAGGGGCCGAGGCCGGGGCGTGGGCCAGCACTTGGAGTGGGGCAGGGAGACGAGGCGGCCCCGGTCCATCCTCACACAGCGAACAGCCAGTGGCACCTGCCCGCCTCCGCAGGTCACCGGGCACGGCGCCAAGGCCCGGGTCTCCCACCCGCAGGGGGGAAAAGCCAACGGTCCGCAGGGAGCCGCAGCCTGGGTGGAGCGCCTTCCCCCCAGGGGGGCCCAGACTGCTGCCCCTCTGCACGGCCTCCCTCCCTCGGACTCACCTGGCCGGGCACGGGGCAGCCTGGCAGGCCTCCCGCCGGCTCCCAGGCTTGCTGGCCGGGTCACACAGCTCTTCCCGGACAGGCGTCCTGAGGGCAGGGTCCATGCACACAAAACGCAGCTCCGCCAGGCCTGCAGGGAGGAAGGGGGGACCCCACGCCCCGAGAAGGGGGTCAGCAAGGACCACGGGTGCCCCGTCCCTGCTCAGCTCTAGCAGATGAGGCCTCCGTGGACTTGAGTCCTAGCCGCCTTCATAACTCAGGTGGTAAAGAATCTGCCTGCAATACAGGAGACCCCGGTTTGATTCCTGGGTCGGGCAGATCCCCTGGAGAAGGAATAGGCTACCCACTCCAGTATTCCTGGGCTTCCCTTGTGGCTCAGCTGGTAGAGAATCCGCCCGCAATGTGGGAGACCTCGGTTTGATCCCTGGGTTGGGAAGATCCCCTGGAGAAGGGAAAGGCTACCCACTCCAGTATTCTGGCCTGGAGAATTCCATGGACTCTGTAGTCCATGGGGTCACAAAGAGTCGGACACAACTGAGTGATTTTTTCACTTTCTGCCACCTACCAGCTGTGTGACCTTGGACAAGTGACTTAACTTCTCTGAGCCTCAGATTTTTTATCTGACTTGGAGCCTGACTTGGAGGGATATTTATCAAGATTTTTCCAGGAGACTAGAAAGTGCTTGATGGGCTTCCCAGGTAGCTCAGTGGTAAAGAATCTGCCTGCCAATTCAGGAGACACAAGAGACATGGGTTCGATCCCTGGGTCAAGAAGATCCCAGGGAGAAGGAAATGGCAACCCACTCCAGGATTCTTAACCTGGAAAATTGCATGGACAGAGGAGCCTGGTGGGCTACAGTCCATGGGGTCACAAAGGGTTGGACATGACGGAGCTACTGAGCATGCACGCACACACAGAAAGTGCTTGGCACATAGTAGGCACTCAAAAATGGTGGCTGATCTTTTTCTGTTGAGGGGCATTATACGAGTGGCTACATTAAAACCTCTCACTGTGTCTACCGCCAAGATGTTATTACAGCCGTGTCCTTGAACCTCTCCTTTAGGAGCATCCACAGAAGAAATCTCTGGCCTTAGTTCTAAACATGCTGGCGTTTAGCTGAGCAAGTGATTAGGGTTTTAGTTTAGTTAGTTATTTTCAACCTTGCCTCGCAGCTTGCAGGGTCTTAGTTCCCTGACCAGGGATTGAACTTGGGCCACAGCAGTGAGTCCTACCCACTGGCCCACCAGGGGATTCCCAGGGTTTTTACTTTAAAACACTCTGTATCTTAACATTAATTTTTGCTTCTCTGGATTGGCCGCCAGAAAGCTCAGAGCTAAGTTTGGGGCCCGCCTTAGACCTTAAGAATACTCTCTTGAGTCCCAGCACGGCTGGGTTTTATGATCACTTCCTACCTCCCAGCCAGTCAACGAGCACGGTCGCCTGGCTGCTGTACCCGGCTGGCCCCAGTCTCCTTGCTTATGACGTCACGTCCCTGGGTACGCCACCTCAAACGCTTTTCTCGAGCTAGCTGACCCTCAGGTGCACCGGGAGCCTCACCTTGACCGCAGGAGGCCGAGCACGGCCCTGCCAGGGGCGTCCACACGTGTGCGGCAAGCGCATCCAGCCTGGGGCTGCCCGCTGGGGACGCAGCCTCCCGCCCCGGGGACCGGACATCCAGCTGCAGGGGGCAAGCACCGAGCTGGTAGGTCTGGGCCTCCCACCTCCAGACCTCGGGCACCTGGCCCTCCACTCCCACCCACCGCACTCCTTCAGGAGAGGACAGAAGTGGTCACCAGCTCCCAAAGGCCACCCGCCTCGCGGCTGCTCTCCCAGGAAGCTGGCTTCCTGGCCCCGGCGGTGCCTTCAGGCCCCACCCTGGCGTCTACACCAGCGTGAGCAGTCACCATGGGGAAGGCGGCGCTGGGCCTTGAAAGCCAGATCCGCAGACATGCCTGGCCCTGAAGTACCCCCGCCTGCTCCAGCCCGGGGGAGTGGGGGGCATTGGCCAGCATGCTTGTCTGAAAGCAACGCCTCCCAGCCTGAGCCCACAGATGCTGGCGGGAGCCTGGCAGCAAAGTGCCGCCGTCCTATCAGGCTCTGGATGCTTCAGGCCGCTCACCAGTGGGGAGGGGGCGTCCCAGCACCCCGAGTTCTGTGTCGAAGCCTGCCCTCTGCCCAGGGGCCTCCCGAGGACAGCATAACCCTAACCCTGCATGAGTGCGGTCTTCCAGCTCTGGCTGGGAGGCCAGTGTAAGCAGAGCTCCCCCTTCTCCCGGGACGCTCACCTGGTCCCAGCCGGGAGGACATGCCACCTTGACACAGGGCTCCGGGGCAGGCGGGTTCTCATCTGTGGAGCAGGGCCCAGCAGTTGCCGGCAGCCCTGTGCCATCTGCCCCCAGCATACACGTCGTGTTCTGCATGGCCAGGTCTGCTCCACAGGCTGACGAGCATGCGTCTGCCTCCCTGAGGATGCGACATGACATCCGTCAGGTCCTGCCTCTGCCTTCGGGCGGTCGGGGCAAGCCAGCTCCTGGCGCAGAGAGGTGGTGAACCTGCTCCCCAGTCTCCAAGAACCCAGAGAGGGACCCCCACAGAGGCAAGGCCAGGGGCTTTTCCCCAAAGCCTGGCTGAATGGCTGCGGGCCTCCGCTCCGCAAATAGGGCGCAGAGACCAGCCCTGACCCTCCCGCCTTCCAGAGGCAAAGACGGGTCCCCAATCAGAGAAGAGGGTGGCTCTGCGCGACCTAGACCCAGCAGTGCTGGGAGACACGTGCCAGATGCAGCGGCTCGCCAGCTAACACGTGTCCTGCGCCGGCCCTGAGAGCTGGAGCCGGCCTGGAGTGCTGTGTGGAGAGGACCCTGGGGCAGGCTCAGCCCTCAGCAGGAGACAGCGGTGACCGCTGTGTCTGCCACAGTCACACGGCGTGCGGGGGAGGGAGAGGGTGCCCAGAGCCACCTGCGGACCACCAGCGGCCTAGGCCACCCCCCTCCCCACTACCCAGGTGACAAATCTGGGACCCAGAGAGGGAGGGGACTGGCTCGGGTCCCCCACACGGCTAGCAGCAAATCAGACTGATAGCCTCCATCAGCTGGAACGCTGCGGGGCGGCAATGACAAAGTGATGTCTGTGGCTGGACACCTGTGGCTTTGCTTGGTCCTCACAAGTTCAGAAAAAAAGTTCAAAGAGAGGGGACTGGCCAGTCCAGGGCCTTCTGGGTGGGAGGGTGGTGGGGCCCGGCCAGAGGCCTCGGGAAGGGCTCAGCGCAGGGACGAGCCCCACCAGGGAGGTTCTGCCTGGATCTGGCCTTGGGGGGGCCCTCCTCACCCTGTGCTCACCTCTGGGGGCAGGGCTGGGAATTGCAGGTGTCCACGGCCGCCGGCTGCGGGGCCAGCGCTCTGCACCGGGAGCGGGGCACGGTCCTCAGCAGGCCGCCCCAGACCTCCACGCAGCGCACCTCCCGCTCCCGCAGGCCACCCCCACACGAGGCGCTGCAGGGGCCGAAGTCTCCAGTCGCCCAGCTAAGGAGAGGAACAGGGCATCGGGCAGAGCCATCTGTGACCCGTCAGGCCACTTCCCCGGCCGGGGCGGGGCCCAGGCTCCCTTCAGGGACCTAGACGCCATGTGGGGGCTGCCGGCCCGGCTCCGCCAGTCTCCAGGTGTCCCCGAGCCGCACCTGAGCCTGAGGACATCCGTCTGAAAGTGCCCATGGCTGGCTGCCCCCACCCCGCACCCAACACAGATGGCCTTGTCCCTAGCGTCGTGCTCCCACCAGGGTGTGGTCCCTCCCAGAGCCAACGCCACAAGCCTCCCAGGCAGCGGTCCTCTCCCCGTGCGGTGGGCGCCTGAGCTCAGCGAGAGAGCGAGCTGCCCATAGATGGGGGCAGCAGGTCCCACCAGGCTGACCAGCCACCCGGGTCTGCCGGAGTCTCAACTGTCCTCACCTGCCACCTGGGGACACTGCCAGGGCTGATCAAGGACATGCCCAGGCCCTGCCAGCTGTGCCACGAGGGCCCCCGAGCCACCCCCACCCCCGGGGGGGCGCGGCCAGCACTCACTGCGGGGGGCAGGGCTCGGGGGCGCAGGTCTCTGACCACGCCGCCGGGGGCCGGCTCCCCGCACAGCGGGCAGCCTCCACCCACTCGCTCCTGGCCTGGTCCCGACAGCTGTAGGTCACCTGTCGCAGCCCTGGAGGGGAACGGGGTGGGCTGGGACACCTCCACGGGGAGGCACGTCAGGCTTCCAGGCGAGCCCCGCCCCGGGCCCCACCTGCCCCGCAGCTCACGGAGCAGGGCCCCCACACCGGGGCCCACGCCCAGGCCTGCCGCTGCTCCGGCTGGAAGTAGGTGAAGGTGATGTCCGGGCGGGCAGCGCTGCCGTACTCCTCGCCGTAGCGCCTGTAAACCTGCGTGGAGAGCAGGGGCTGTCACGGCCACCTCCTTCAGGAAGCCTTCCACCCTGCCTTCCTCCCCCTTACGTTCTTTCACTCAGCAAGCCGCCACTGATGCTGAGTGCAGGCCACACGTCACAGCCAGGACACTGCCCCCAGCTCCGGGAGCTCATGGAGGCTGGGAAAGGGTGGGCTGCAGGCAGGTACAGAGACAGGGGTGTGCCCAGGGGGCTAGGGAGTGCAGAGAAGGGCCCCGAGGAGGCTGAGCAGGGTGGACAGCTGGCAGGAGGCCACGGAAAGGGCCTTCCAGGCCCAGCCCGGGGTGAGAAGCCCACAGCTCTGGCTTCTGCGGCACGAGTGTGGCCCCAGGGAGGGCAAGAATGGGCTGGATCTGGGGCTCTGGCGGGGCGGCGGGGAGCTGGCAGTCTGGGCTTGGCCCTGAGGACACAGGGGGTTAAAGAAGAGGGTCCAGCAGGGAGGCTGGGCTTGTCTGTACTGCAGGAAGGTCCCTGGGTCCCAGGAGGGGCCAGCCTGGCAGGCGGAGGCCAGGAGGAGGCCTCTGGGTCCCAGCACCTGCCCCCACCCACCACAGCCCTCTGCTAACGTGCGTGTTCTCAGCACACACACCACCCCCGCCATCCATCAACAGCAGGTCTTGGGTCAGAGGCCTCAAACAGGGCCTGCGAATCTGTGTTTCTATCCGCACCGCAAAGGATGCCAACAGAACTGCTCAACAGCCAGCATTTGGAAGTAGGCTCCTGGGGGCGGGGAGGGGGTGAACTAGATAGGACTCACGGGGAGGCAGGGAAGGGGTTAGATGCTCCCGGGGGCTCGCTCTGGCCTGGCCTTCTTGGGGGAGCCCCAGCTGTCTCCCCAGCTGTGGGAGCAGGGGGTGGGCTGCTAGACCCAGCCAGGGGCCGTCAAGATGCGGACCACCCCCAGAGGTTCTCTGGGGCTATTTCAGCCTCCACTGCTTTCTGTCCAGCCCTCTGAGCACCCTCCTCAGCAAAGCTCACAGGGGGCCGCCCGCAGGCCAGGTCCTAGCGGGAAGGACCCATGCAGACACAGCCTGGGCTCCGCCTGCCCCAGACAGACAGCAAGACCCACATCCACGCTGAGCTGCCGCGGGCGGGGCCTGCGGCCAGCACTGCCTGGCGCACGCACGCGTCCACCCCCCCGCCCCGGCAGCCCGTGACCCTAGGAGGCAGGATTGCCAGTCGTGTGCACATGGGGGGCGCCAACGCTCTGCCAAGCATGTACTGTGCAGTATTTTGGGGAAAAAAAGATGAATCTTCACAATTACTTTATTTAGGGGTGATCAGTTTTGGTTCGCAGATGGGGGAACCTGAGGCTCGGAAAAGTTAAGTATTTGCCCCAAGTTTCTGCAGAGCCAGAGCTGAACTCCGGGCTGAGCCCCTAGCCGGGCTCTTGACCCCTGGGTCACCCTGCTCCCGCTCTTGGGCTGCCTCTGCTCTTCCTGTAGGGACAACAGACCCCATAGGCGTCGGCCCGGCCTCTCCGGCTGTCTGGAGACCCACGCCCTCCGTCGGCGGGTCCCACGTGGCCCAGTCCCCACTGCACCTGCCCAGGGCCCCCCCTGGCAGCTCCCCAGGCCCCCAGGAGGAAGCCTGGACCCCTCACATGGCCAGCACGGCCCCTCGAGGTCTGCCCAGCCCTCCAGCAGCCTCCTCACTGGAGGGCCCCGTTCCTCCCGCCCCTGAGCGCCCCTCCACTGCAGGCCCGGGTCCCTCTCCCCACCTGCTCGCCCGCAGCCTCAGCTCGCCCTCCCGGACCTCAGCTGCACGGCCCCCTCCTGGGAAGCCCCCGGCCCCTCTGCAGGGCTCTCCCCCGAGCCACTGTCAGGACTCCAGGGGCCCCGGTGGGCTCTGAGCCCTGGGACGCCAGCCCCCCAGCGGCTGCTGAAGGAGCGGGTGTGGGTCTGAGCCGGTGGGCAGGCCGACAGCCGGGGAGGCCCTGCGGTCACCTGGATCTCCATGTCACCCCGGGTGGGGCCCTGGATGCGGATCTCCTCCCGGCGGGGCAGCCGGTCCTCACTCAGGCTCACCCTGTACTCCACGCGGCTGTCCTCCAGGATGGAGGGGTAGGTGGTGCTGGCGGAGATGCTGCCGTTTCCAGCCACGGCGTAGCGCCCACGCACCCTCACTGCTGTGGGGGCAGGGGCCGTCAGCAGCACAGGCCCCCCCCTGAGCCAGAACCGCCCCCTCCCACAGATGGCCCTGTTCAGGGAGAGAGGACAACTGGGCCGACAGGATGCAACCTCCAGGGCTTCACCTGCCACGCCCACCCCAGGGCCCCCCACCCTCCAGGGGAGCAGACCTTCCTGGTACCCCACGTTCCGCTCCGAGACGCACAGGGGTCTGACCGAGGGAGGCTTCCCCACATCCTGACCGAGGGAGGCTTCCCCACATCTTCCCGGAACCCGGGGAGCGCTGTAGACCTGCTCCCTCACCGAGTGCAGGCACAAGGACCTCAGGGTGAGCACCCCAACCCAGATTCAAAGGGTACCCTCTCGGCATAAAAACCCACGGTGTAAAGAGGCCGGCCTCACACAGAGATCCATCTGTGTTTAGGGTGAAAGCTCAGATACGTGATTTAGGGTGGGGGCTGTGAGTCAGCAAGCCTGAGCCAAACGGGAGACTGAGACCGTGATCAGTCAGTCCCCCCACCTCGTCGACATAAGGAAGTCCCCGAGACACCCGGGCAGTGAGCTCCCCGGAGCGCCCAGGGAGGCAGGGCACCGCGGTGTGGCTGCTCTCGAGGCTGGACACAGGCGCTCCCCGCCGCCACCCTAGGCACCTCTTCCTTCAGCTGTCCCTTGGAGTAAGCCGTAACCGTGAGGGCAACAGCACTCAGAGTTCTCGGGGTCCACCCGGTGAGCCCCCCAACAGAGGGCACTGGAGGGACCCTCAGACTTGCAGGTGGCGTCGGAAGTGAGGACGCCTTGGGCGGTGCCCGCACACTTCACGGTGTGGCCAGCTCACCCAGGTGTGTGAAGAGGGGCCTGCGGTTGACGACGTAGATGCTAGTCAGGTTGGGGGTGACGGTCAGGAACGTGACGTACTCTAGGAGGAAGCAGAAGTGGGGGTGGTCTCAGGCCGCTGAGGTCACAGTCAGAGGGAGGAAGCGGTAGCGCCCGAGGGAGCTGGGACTCAGCTCCTCGACTGACTTTGCAAGAGACCTGACTTCTTGCATAAATAGATCAAAGTCAAGGATTGTCCCAAGCATAGCATCCCCCGTGCTCAGATGCCTCCAGCGGGAGAGGAGAGAACAGCCCACCGCAGGCTTCCCAGGTCTATGCTCTTCCTGCGTCACAGGTGCTGAGAGCAACGGTGAGTGATGGGCCACCTCATCACCGGCCTGAGCCTCCTGGGGAGGCTGAGACCCGCTGAGAGGGCCCAGGACCGAGCCAGCACGCGGCCACACCATCCAGGCAGCCGGCACCCGGGCTCTGGGCTGGCGCGTTTTCTTGGGGGCTGGGGGGAACCGGGCCCTTCGCCCCCGGGGAGGCCCTACCTCTGGCCCTTCCGGCCGTGAAGGAGCCGTTCTGCGGCCGGCACGTGCTGTTGTCCCCGCCGCACACCTGGCACATGTCCCGCACCTGCCCGGAGTCCATCCTGCCGTCACAGCCGAACGTCTGTGCAGAGGAGAGCGGCAGGTGAGGCCGGCGGTGTCGTCGGACAGGGCTGGGCTTTGAGGTCCACACAACCAAACCGGCTGTTCTGCCGGTTTCTCGTGTGGGAGGCGAGCTTAGATGACTTGCCCCAGGTCACGGCAAGGCTCTTGACTCCAGGCTCGGCCTGTTCCCCAGCACCACCCAGCACAGACACTGCTGCGGCTCCGTGGGGGCCGCACGCCCAGACCTGACCCCCTCGAAGGCCCCTTCGTGCCCTGGCTTCTCCGGGGAGAGCCCTCGGGGCCACAGAGGGTAGGAGGGCACCTCCGCCGTGCGCACGCCTACCCTGCAGCTGCCCGACACACACAGGCTCAGGGCCCCGTCCTCCTGAGGGTCGCCCGGCACACAGCGCGTGCCGTCCAGGAAACGGTCCCCACGCCGCACCATGAAGCTCTCGCCGACGGCCCGGCACACGTGCCTGCACAAGGCGTTCCCTGGGGAGAAGGAGAAGAACCAGAAGCCCGGTGGGAGGGTGCGGGGAGCCGGGGACAGAGACTCTGCGAAGCCGGATCCGAGTGGGCTCTCGCTGCCCCCCAAGCACCATCTCACTGTGCTCTTTGCATTTGGGGTTGGGGTGGGCTTTATTTCCCACCCACCCCGCCTCCCGAGGCAGTAATTGCATCACCGTGTGATGAGTGTGCCGACTTATGAGGCAGGTGTTTCTCTGGCATCACGCTATGCCTCTTATCTCCATTTTACAGACAGAGACTCAGGGAGGAGAGGTCAGGGCTGACCGGCCGGCCAGGGGCCGAGCCAGGGCAGGTGGGATGCTCAGTGGGATGCAGAGCCCTAGCCTGCTCCCAACGGCATCAGAGTGACGCTGGGCCTCCCCCAGGGACTCTCCCACCCAGGGTCTCGGGCCTGGCCCCCCACCCAGGCCCACCTTCGCTGTACTGCTCCGCGGCCCCCCAGCGGTAGAAGGCGGCGCTGCCCCCCGGGGAGAGGCGCAAGGGCTCGCCGTCAGTCTGCGCGCACTGCTCGGACATGAACTCCAGCTGGGTCTTCTCACAGGCCTGCATGGAGGAGGCGGAGGACGGGCACACGAGGGGCCAGGGCCAGGGGCTCCGGGAGGGAACCCTCGCCCCCGGGAGATAGCAACAGCCCCTGCAGCGCGAGGATGAGGACGCGGGTTTGAGCCTGGCTCCTGGCTGCACCTCGGTTCCCTGCCCTGGAGAGTGGGGGTGTCGAGAGCCCCCCTCTGCTGCAGGAGGATTCTCAAGAATCTGGGAAGGCACGGGGCAGGGCCTGCCCCTGGCAATGAAGAGGAGAGAAAGTAGGCAGAGAGCTCCGCAGAAGGGAGGCCCCGTTTGTGTGTGTCTACCATGTCTGCGCAACGTCTAGTCAGAGCTGCGGTTTCTCCAGTGGTCATGTGAGGATGTGAGGGTTGGACTATAAAGAAAGCTGAGTACCAAAGAATTGATGCTTTTGAACTGTGGTGCTGGAGAAGACTCTTGAGAGTCCTTTAGACTGCAAGGAGATCATCGTGCCTGCACTTTCAGTGTTACTATCACTCCTTTTTAATCAATGACATGGTTTGTCTATTTGGCTGTCATGGGTCTGGTGAAGCAAGGAGATCCAACCCGTCCATCCCAAAGGAGATCAGTCCTGGGTGTTCATCGGAAGGACTGATGCTGAAGCTGAAACTCCAGTACTTTGGCCACCTGATGCGAAGAGCTGACTCATTGGAAAAGACCCTGATGCTGGGAAAGATTGAGGGCAGGAGGAGAAGGGGACAACAGAGGATGAGATGGTTGGATGACATCACTGACTCGATGGACATGAGTCTGGGTAAACTCTGGGAGTTGGTGATGGACAGGGAGGCCTGGTGTGCTGCAGTCCATGGGATCGCAAAGAGTCAGACACGACTGAGCAACTGAACTGAACTGAACTATGTCTGTGCAGGTATCAGTATTGGAAAAGTCACAGGAGTCAAGAGCAAAGGGCCTCTGTACAAGAAGTTGGACGCCGAGGTGGGCTGGTATCCTGACCTGCTCTGCACTGGAGTCTGAGGAAAAGAATCAGAGTGGGCCTGCTGAGTCCGCCTGGGGACACCGGGCAGGGAAGTTCTCACCATGTACAGATCTTAGGTCAAGGCCGGAGGAGTCTCCCTAGCCCTCCACACCCTCTATGACAGCCACGTGGGAAACACAGGTAAGTGCTGGAGGGGATGTGGAGTTAGCGCAACCCTCGCACATTCCTGGTGGGAAGGCCAAACGGCTCAGCTGCCACAGGAAATGGCTTGGAGGTTCTCAAGGAGCTAAATGTAGAATTATCACGTGACCCAGCAATTCCGCTTTTAGGTATACACCCCAAAGAGTGAAAAGCTGGTACTCAAAAAAGTCCACGTACACACATATTCATAGTAGCACTATTCAACAAAAGATGGAAACAGTCCAAGTGGAAACAACCAAAGATGGAAACAGTACAAATGCCTGGACAAATGGACAGCGGATGAACGGGTGAGCAAAATGCGGTCCATCCATCCAATGGAAGGTTATTCAGACACGAGGAGTGGAGTTCAAATACTTGCTACACATGAAAATGCCACGCACCGAGTGGAAGATGCCAGATGCAGAGAGCCACACGTTGTATGATTCCCCTTATGTGAGATGTCCAGCGCAGGTAAACCCCCAGAGATAGAAAGTGGACTCGTGACTGGCAGGGGCTGGGGGGAGGCAGCATGGGAGTGACTGCTTAATGGGCTGTGGTTTTCCTCTGGGGTGACGGGAACTGTTTGGAACTAGAAAAAGGTGGTGGTCGCATGGTGTTGTGAAGATAACACCGAACCGCAAGATTTCACATGGCTGACTTTATGGGTGTGCAGGTCACCTGAACTCATAACTAAAAGAATCACCCATGCTCTCCCAGTATCCGGCCTGGCTGCAGGAAGCAGGGTGTTCTCAGTCCAGGGCAGTGGAATCCGGGTAAGCAGGGGGACACTTCAGGGGCGGGGTGCTGCTTTCAGTGGTCAGACAGGCCTGGGTTGTGCGCTGTGGTCCAGAAAGTGAAAGTCGCTCAGTTGTTTCTGACTTTGCGACCCCTGGACTATACAGTCCATGGACTTCTCCAGGCCAGAATACTGGAGTGGGTAGCCTTTCCCTTCTCCAGGGGATCTTCCCAACCCAGGGAACGAACTGTGAACTCCTGCATTGCACGCGGATTCTTTACCAGCTGAGCCACAAGGAAAGCCCAAGAATACTGGAGTGGGTAGCCTATCCCTTCTCCAGCAGATCTTCCCAACCCAGGAATCAAACCGGGATCTCCTGCATTGCAGGCAGATTCTTTATCAACTGAGCTATCAGGGGCAGGTATTAATAAAACCACTTTTGCTCTCGAAAGTGCCCTGGCCCAAATCACAGCCATCCTGACCCTTGGGCTCTTCCAGGCCAGTGCCGCCTCTGACCGCAGCCCCTCCCCTGCCCAGGGAAGCAGACCTACCTGAGTGTTGCACATCTCAGCCTGGAGGTCAGAACCTAAGCACGCGCGCCCCCCAAAGGCAGGCCTGAAAATGCCCACAAGACAACGGGGTGAGACGTGACCCAGGGCCCCGAGCCTGGGAGCACGGAGAAGCCACCTCCACGCAGTACCTGGGGTTGTTGCACCGCCGCCTCCTGGTGACCACGCCACCTCCGCAGGAGCGGGAGCAAGGACTGGCGGGCCCCCAGCCTGACCAGTGCCCGTGCACCACCCCCACGGGGGCCAGCTCTGCCAGCGAGCGGCAGTGACCCTTGGAGCACCACTGCAAGAGAAGGATGGGACCGTGTTTTGCACCCAGGGCATCCCACACCCACAGGCACCCACACTCACACGTACCGCACACTCAGAGCATCCTATGCCCACAGGTACCCTACACCCAGGACCCCCCACACCCATAGGCACTCCACACCCAGGGCATGCCTGCACCCACAGGATACCCCCTCATACACACACACACACACACACACACACACACATGCTTGCAACCTCCATACTGCTCAGGAGCCAACGCTAAACAGAGGACAGCCTACAGCAGCCTGCAGTGCGGGGACTGCAGGGAAGTTCTGACCACACAAGGCAGAGGGCACGCGCCGGGAGCTGGAGGACAGGTGACCACGGCAGGGCACACGGAGGCGCGTGCCCACTGTGAGGCTGGTGACAACACATCCCTGTCCACAGGCCACCACAGCGGGCCCAGGAGCAGGCATCCCAGGTACACTGCGCTCCCTGGGGGCAGTGAGGAGGTCAAGAGGTGGGCCCTGGACCCGCCTGCTCCAGCAGAGTCGCGAGGGTCCCGTAAACCTGGAATAAAGCCACCGGCAGCGGGGATGGGGTGAGCACTGGGCTCTCCACCTCTCCTGGCCAGGGCACCCAGGACAGCACCAGGGCCCTCCGCCCCCATTTACCGAGGTCCTGCTGTCTCCACCCCCAGAGGAGGGCTGCAGGGTGCAGGTCTGGGTGAGCACGTGTGAGCACGCACACACACACACACACACACACACACACACACACACACTTGCACATGCTCCTCCACTCCCCGCTGACCTTCCCCACGCCACACTCTGTCCCGTCCAGGAGAGGAATAAGTAGGCGGCTACAGCTGCTTGGGTCCAGGGGGTCTGTGTGGCAGGAGAGAGCCTGGCACATGTCCTAAGAGGGGGGACACACGGGCAGTTGAGGGGCCCCCAGGGCCTGTGGGGTACGTGTCCAGCCGCACCTGTCCCTCCCAGACCACAGGACAGTGACACAGCCAGCACCCCGGGCAGTGGAGGGGGCCCTGGCTGACCCCTTTATCGGGAACAGGAACACTGGCCGGGGCCCACAAAAGTGTCTTCATTTCTTTTAAAATCGGAAGGAAAAAAGATGGTCTTTTAGATCAAATAGAATGTCCTAATATAGAGCATGAATATATTTGTGTTTATAACAACACCTGTAATATCACATATTTTACAAAAACACTAAGCTGTAATTCCAAGTAGTCTGTAAGCAGGAAGGGACTCACAGAAGCAAAAATGCCTGCAAGTCCTGTGCAGCCCTGAGAGGAAATATGTCTTCAGGGTAGCTCCCCCACCCCGGACTCCTGCTTGTAAGGGTCAGCTTGGAGGTCACTTCCTCCAGGAAGCCCTCCAGCTCCCATTGGTTGGAAGCTGTTGGTAACCACCTGCGCAGGACCAAGGTCCATGGGCTCAGGGGCTCTATCAGAGCCAGCTCTACATAATTTGCGGGGCTTCCTCAGAAGGAAAAGGTGAGGGCCCTTGTTCAGAAATTGAGAACTTCCAGGGGCACCTGAGGGTCTGGGCCGGTGGGCAGAAGGGCGGAGAAGGGCGGTGGGGGCATGAGCCGGCAGGGGGAGGCCCTGGTGCGGAGGGGCGTGTGGTGGGGCGCGTCCCCCACGGCCAGACTCACCAGGTGCTCCCCGCGGAAGGTGCAAGCGACTGCCGTAGGGCCGAAGGCGATCCGACACTGCTCGTCCGCGCCGTAGTAGAGGCCGGGCTGCGCCTCCAGAGGCCGCCCCGCAGGCCCGGACCGCGGCCCCGGAGGGTCCCACACGCAGCGCGCCCGTCCTGCGCTGCGACAAGGCCGCGGTTCAGGCCGGGGGTGGGCCCCGGGAGGGGGCGGGATGGAGGAGTGGGCACCGGAGGTGAGGGCGAGGGAAGCCGAGACGGAGGGGTGCCCCCCCCCAGACGGGCTGCGAGCCCAAGGAGAGGTGGACAGGGGTGGGGGTGGGGGGTGGCGACGGGAGCGGACACCGGGCGGAGGGCCGCGGGAGGGCTGGGGCCGGGCGGAGGAGCAGGGCGCGCGGAGTGGAGATGGGGGCATAGGAAGGGGCGCGGCGGGGCGGGGGCGCGGCTACCTGAGCAGACTCAGCAGCTGCCGGCGGCTGCAGGGGGACCACGCCGGGCCCCCGAGGGCGAGGGCGGGCGCCGCGCCGTCCGAGGCCATCACGTGCCCGCTGGGCCCGCAGCCGCTGCCTGGCACGCCGTCGTGCTCCAGGCCGAAGCTGCGGAGGAAGCAGCTCTGAGGGCGGTCTTGACCCGGGGTAACCCCCCCACCCTCGACTCCCGCAGGCCCGCCCGCCTGGCCACCTGCTAAACCCGGGTGGAGCACCCAGCCTCCGTTCCCCCACCGAGGGAGGGAGCGCTGGGCCGGCCAGGTAACTCTGGCCTCTTTTAGCCGATACACATCTAAAGGCTTTAGAAACGTGCAGGCCACACTCTTCACCAGGTTTGAAATCTGGGAGGATGGCGCTCCAGGGAAGGCCGTTGAGGCCCTGCTGCTGTTCGCCTTCTTGACACCCCAGGGGTGGATCGGTGGGGTGAACACAGTAAAAACAGCGCATTCTGGAGAAGTGGAGAGGTGAGCCTCTGGCCAGGATTTCTGCTCCCAGTGGAAGGCAGTGGTTTGCAATTCCTGTTTGTTTCTCCAAACAAGATAGATGGAGGAGGGACTTCCCTGGCGGTCCAGTGGTTGAGAATTATTCATTTTCCAATGCAGTGGAGGGTTGAATCCCAGCACCAGGGAACTGAGATTGCACATGGGGGGGGGGAGGGCAACTAAGACCCCATGCAACCAAATAAATGAATAAATATTTTTTACAAAAAAGATAGATGGAGGAATTGTAATGGCTGGGTGGGGGGAGAAGTCAGACAGAGATAGAGAGCTAGGGTAAAAGTGGCAGCTGTGGGTAGGAGCCCAGCCTTGTCCTGGAGGTGGGGGTGGGAACTCTCTGCGCTCGCAGGGGGCTAACAGGCAGAGTGTGGGCGTGGGGGCCAGCGAGCGAGGAAGTTAGACACTCACTTTTCACTTTAGGACTCTCCGGTACTATTTGAATTTTCACAGAAAGCAGATATTTGCTTTCGTAATGAAAAGACTAGAAGTCAAAAGAGCAAGATGCCCTCCACGCTTGGTAAACAGCACAGAGGAGCAGAGTCGCCCAAAGAACGTGTTAACAGTCACACGAGGAAAAGTCTGAAAGTAATCTAAGTATATAACACTAGGGAATGGATTAGGTAAAATATGTGCATACCAAAAAAGTCAACACACATTGTAAAAGGACTTTTGAGAGAAATCTTTGGGATGTATTCTTACATAAAAAGGCAGTTAACTTGGCTTCCCTGGTGGTCCAGTGACTAGGAATCCACCTGCCGATTCAGGGGACATAGGTTCAATCCCTGGTCCAGGAAGATCCCACACGCCTCAGAGCAACTAAGCGTGTACACCACAACTACTGAAGCCCACGACCCCCAGAGCCTGCGCGCCGCTGCAGCGAGAAGCCGCCGCAGTGAGGAACGCTGCGCCGGCTGGAGGGGAGCCCCCAGTCGTAGAAAGGAGAGCACGCCCGAGAGAAGCAATGAAGACCCAGCGCAGCCAGAGATAATTAATTAAAAAATGGTTACGTGGAAAAAATTTTTTAAAAGGCAGTTAACCAACATACAGCATAATTCCAATTTTGTGGATAAAGATGATGTATGTGTGTGTGTAAATAAAGATGGATGTTTTCTCCAAGTGGTGGGATTTTTACAGCCTTGTTTTCCTTTACATGAGTTTCCTACAATAATCACTTTTTAACTCCTAAGTTTGTTTTGCTTATATTTTGGGGGGGGGGAAATGTTTTGTTTTAATTATTCGGTAATGAAGAAATATCAGGTTTCCCAGCCCTTGCCCCTCACCCTCCCGAGTCCAGTGGGGTCAAGAGTAGCGGCTCCTCCCACCTAGCTCTTCCTGGGACCACCGCCAGTCATGACCTCCCCTCCTGGGGGCCCCAGGTCACATCCTTGCCTGGAGCTTGGGGCCAGGGCATGGGGCCCCTTACCTGTGCCCAATCTCGTGGGCGATGGTGAGCCCCAGGTCGAAGCCGGTATCCTCAGTGATAAGGCAGCTCCAGGAGGAGGAGCAGGCGCCCCCCAGCTGGGTGACCCCCCGAACCTGCCGGTTACCATCGGGCAATTCCAGGTCAAACCTCAGGAGGAGAGAACAGACACCCGGGGGCGCTGAGGTGCCTGCCCGCCAGCGGGCCACCTTGGCAGAGAACGGGAGCGACTCCTGGGCAGGCTGGCAGGCCACGGGGGTCTCGGCTACCTGGTGATGTACAGGACCAGGTCAGCATGCGCAGGGTCTGTGTCGTCCTCGGGGTTGACCGTCCTGCTCCACTCACAGACGCTCAGCAGTGACGCGGTGATGTTGGCTGTGATCTTCGGAGCATCCTGAGAGGCCGGTAACAGAGCACATATTTAGGGGCTCCACCCCAAGCAGGGCGCTGACTGCTGCTGCAGCCTCCATCCTCAGGACGACGCTACTACCATCTCAGGGCACAGAGGAGGGGCCCGAGGCCCAGCAGGGCAGAGCTGGAGCTCGGGGCCAGGGCCAGCGGACAGGAAAACATTCCCCTGCTGTGCATCCACTGGCGAAGTGAAGTGCGAGTCACTCACTTGTGTCTGACTCTGCGACCCCGTGGACTATACAGTCCATGGGATTCTCCAGGCCAGAATACTGGAGTGGGTGGCCTTTCCCTTCTCCAGGGATCTTCCCAACCCAGGGATCGAACCCAGGTCTCCCGCATTGCAGGTGGATTCTTTACCAGCTGAGTTACCAGGGAAGCCCAAGAATCCTGGAGTGGGTAGCCTATCCCTTCTCCAGCTGATCTTATGGACGGAGGTTAAAGACTGCAGAAACAGGTTTCCCAGGGACTGGGCTCCCGGCTCAGCACCTACCTCAAGCTGGGTGAGGATGACCATCTTCACCAGGTGAACTCGGAACTGAGCCCCCAGGGATGGATCCCTCAGCAGCTCTGACCCCTGCGGAAGGGCGGGCAGGAGAGGTGACACGTGAGGGCGGGCGTGGCCGACTTCAGGGATCCAGGGGCGGGGGTGGGCTGCCTGGAGAGGGTGCTCCATCAGCGTGGCGGGAACCGGAGGTGCTAGTCCTCCAGCTGGGAGCCAGCCAGAGGGACAGTCAGTCCTCTGGCCCTCCCTCTGCTCACGGCTCAGGAAGGCCAGCCAACATAGAGACCCCCAGAACCACAGGATGCGAATAACTGCCATCCATCTAGAATGTTCCTTCAAACACAGGATTCCCTGGTGGTTCAGACAGTAGAGAGTCTGCCTGCGATGCCAGAGACCTGGGTTCAATCCTAGGGTCAGGAAGATCCGCTAGAGAAAGAGATGGCAACCCACTCCAGTATTCTTGCCTGGAAAATTCCATGGGCAGAGGAGCCTAGTGGGCTCCAGTCCAGGGGGTCGCAAAGAGTCGGACACGACTGAGCGACTGAGCCCTACTAAACCCGGTTCCCAGCTCTCCCAGTGCATCTGCCGGGATGCCGACTGTCAACTTGCACGGCGGCTATTCACATGAGCTCGTCCTCTAGAGACGTGGCGTCCGGCAGAGAGGATGTGGCCGCCACTGGCCTCGGCTGACCTGAGTCTGAACCAGGCTCTCCCCCCACCTACCTGTGTCCTCAGGATCCTGTTAAATAACCTCAGGGCCCCGATTCCCTCCTCTGTAAGAGGCAGAGAAACACATCCATAGCTGTTGGCAGACTTAGTAACAATGCAGTCGGCACAGGTGGGTGCCCGGCATGATGCTGACTGCTATCACGACCAGCACCATCTGGGAAGGAGCCAGTCTGCAGTCTACCACCTGACCATCACTGGGCCTCATAAAACACGTTGAATGGCCAGAGGGAGTGTGGTTTGATTATCATATTTCAGTATATTCAAGGTGGAGGGCCCCCCACCCCGCCCCGCCCAAAGCTTGAAAACAGAGCTTTCAAGTGACTTAGAGGGAATACTTTTCACCTCTGGGGCTGGCAGGTGGAAACCCAAGCTGGCTTGTCCTGGACTTGAGCCAGCTTCTCCGGGGGTCGGGACCCCAGGGGTATGACCCCTGGGACCCAGCCTCCATGCAGGGTGGGAACCCCAGAGAACATCTGAGAGAGGGCTCAGAGGGCCTGGGGCTCTGAGAGTGGGAGAATCCTTTCCTTTGGTCCAAGACAGCCGGGCACACCTGAGGCTGGGAACACGGTGGTGCCAAGGACCCCACCTTCTGAGGCCGCCCGCCCCCCACGGCCTGCTCAGCAGGGGAGCAGCTCGGGCCCTGGTGCTGCCACCAGGGGTACTGGTCTCCTGAGGTTTGTGGGAACGTACCTGGCTGCCGAGAACACGTGTGTTTCTGTGTGTTTACAAGCAAATGCGCTCCGGCGTGGCCCAGCCCCAGCGGGAATGTCATCACCAGCTTTGGGCCACCTGTTTCTATGCTGCCTCTTTGTCTCCGAGATAATAGTCAGTGGGAGCTGTGCGTCCTGCCCCCACTGTTATCCCAGAAGTCAAGTGAAGGGGAGCCCGTCCCACACGGGGGTGTCTGCAAGAGGGGCGCCCCACTACTAGGCAATGTGAGCTGAGGTGCCCCCAGGTCAAAGGGACATGGGGGGAGAGGCCAGGCTTGAGGGTCCCGGAGCACAGGGACCCAGAAGCAAGAGGCTGGAGGTTGTACTCCCCAGCTGAGGAAGGGATAAGAACAGATCACACCTCTCCCCACCCCAGGACCCTGAGCCTCAAATGTGACCCCAGCCTCAGGCTTACACCGAGTTCGACCCACAAGATAAGCCAGCCCACGGACATTGTGCACAAGCCCGGGTGTGGGACGCTGTGTCCACAGGCTCCCATGGACGGGCCAGCGGTGCTCTCCAAGGACCGCCGCTGTCCCCCAGGCCCCCGGGCCCGCCCCCGGTCAGCACTGCCCACAGCGCCCGCTGCCCCCCGGGCCCCCAAGCCCACCCCCGGGCCCGCCCCCGGTCAGCACTGCCCGCGGCGCCCGCTGCCCCGCAAGCTCTCACCATGTTGAGGTTGGTGAGCACGTAACGCTCTGTGTCCTCCCCGTGGGCCTGGTGGACGTCGGGACCCGCGGCCACCAGCAGCTCCAGGTTCAGGACGTCCCCGGCAGCCCGTCTCCGGAGGCGAGGGGCAGCGGGGCGGCCTGGCGAAGGAGTGGGCAGGGCTGAGAGCCAGGGTCCCGGAAAGCGGGTGAAATGGGGCTCTGGTCAGCTGACCTCAGGGCCCCCCATGGCCAGGCCTCGCCGCCCCCTGGGCTCCCGGGCTCGGAGACGCGGTGGTGGGAAGCCCCCCTGGGCCATCCACTGTGGGGAGGGGGAGCTGGCGGGCCCCGGCCTCAGCTTTCTCGCGGGGGGCTGCCTCTGGCACAGGGAGACTGAGTGAGCCTAGTTCTTTTCTAATCATTAATTTGCTAAGCATTTTTTCAGTTAGTTAATTAACTGACGTATAGTAACTTACAATGTGGTAGTTTCAGGTGCACCCCACGGTGACGCAGTTAAGTGTGTGTGTGAGCGTGTGTGTGCACGCTCAGTTGCTAAGCCTTGCCTGACTCTGCAGCCCCACGGACTGTAGCCCGCCAGGCTCCTCTGTCCATGGCATTCTCCAGGCAAGATCACAGGAGTGGGTTGCTGTGCCCTCCTCCAGGGGATCTTCCCGACCCCGTGATCGAACTGGAGTGTCCTGCTTGGCAGGGGGATTCTTCAGCACTGCACCACCTGGGAAGCCCATTTATAAACACACACACATGTGTATGTGTCCTTTTTCGGATTCTTTTCCCTTTTAGGTTGTTACAAAAAAATTTAGCAGTTGAGTAGAGTTCCCTGTGCTCTAAGTAGGACCTTGTTTATCTAGTGTGCATGTGTGTGTCTGTATTCAGTCATGTCTGACCCTTCGCAACCCCACAGACTGCAGCCTGCCAGGTTTCTCTGTCCATGATATTTTCCAGGCAAGCATATTGGAATGAGTTGCCATTTCCTCCTCCAGATCTTCCCAACCCAGGGATAGAACCCAAGTCTCTTGCATCTCCTGCACTGGCAGGCGGATTCTTTACCACTATAGCATTTTATATATAGTAGTGTGTATATACTAACCCCAAACTCCTGACCTACGCCTCCCCTCCCCTCCTTTGCTAGCTGTAAGGCTGTCTGCAGGGCTGAGTGAGCAGTTCCACACTGGCCCTCCTAGAGCTGGCTTCTCAGCGCCCGTGGTTTTGTGCCCTCGGACAGGCACTGACTGAGTTAGGACATCTCTGCCCTCCTCGGGCAGGGAGTGGGCGGTCCCAAGCTCTCACACGTCACTCACGCTGTGGCTGTTAGAACAGACGGCTTGGCCGGCTCACAGGAAAGAGGTGGCCAGGTCTTGGGAGGACAGCTGTCTCGGGTGGAGATACTTCATTCCCCTCCTCTGGGCTGACCGGGCATGCAGGGCAGTGCAAGACCCAGGAGTCAGCTACAGTGTGGATTCTACGTTCTTCTGGTCACCCCAAAGCCCCATGGTGGGCGCACTGGAGAACGAGGTCACCCCGGGATGGTAAGAAAAGCACAGGACCCCACCCTGCTTGCAGCAGATGCAGCCTGGGGAAGGCATGAGCGGGCCTGGGGGCAACAGGGCCAACTCCCGCCCCGGCTGTGCCCGGCAGCTGTTGCGCAGGCTTGCAGCGGCCACTTCTCATCTTTGGGCCTCTGGGTTCCCATCTGCAGCGTGGGAACTACCAGTGACCTAGGGCCCAAAGCTCCAAGGCCCACGCCAGTGAACGCGCTTTGCAGACGGTGAACGGCTGTTCAGAGGCAGGAGGTCTATGTGTCCGCCGAGCAGATGGTCTGAGGGCAGGGCTGGTGACCATACACTCCCCTGGGTTGGCACACCCCGCATGCTCACGAAGGTGGTGCGTGGAGCTCGGCCGTTCCGCACGACCCCAGGCATCAGGAGAGCTGGTCCCTCCCCTAGAGCCGACCCTGCCCACAGCCCCCTCCTCCTTCCAGGAGCTGTACCTGCAGTGTGGGGGCCCCGGGGGTGGGCCTGTGGATCAGGTGGGGCTGTGCTCCCCCCCAGGGATGCACCAGCGCCCAGTGCTGCCTCCTCTATGGCTGAATGTAGAACCTGTCTGCACCCAGCAGGATATCACCCTCCTGGAGGACAGACAGCCTTCTGGTCTACCAGCCTTTCTCCTGCCCATTCAGGGAAGGCCCTCGCTGGGCCGTCCCAGCACCGGGCACGGGCTGGCCCTGGGTCTCCCCAGGACTCCTCTCCCAGTCCAAGGCCCAAGAGCCCATCTGTGGGGGACAGCGGGGGGCCCGTGCCCTCTGGGGCTGCACCCGCTGACTGCCACCTGCCGCCAGCCCCCACGGCCAGGTACCCGTTCCCCGTCACGTGCTCAGGCTTCAGGCCCCAGGCTGCAGGGCCTGGTGAAGACCACGGGCAAGGAGGGAGGGCGTCTCGAGGGCTGCGCTAGGCCTGCGCCAATGGACAGCGCTGCCTGTCACCAGGGGGACCGTGAGTGCCCGCTGTCTCGGCCCAGGCTGGACCGCCCATCCCGGGAACCTGGCGGCGGGGGGCAGGGGGTGGGGGTTGTAGTGATATCAGTGGCTCTGCTCACTGAGGGACACTTCGTGACAATGCACGACACCAGTCCCCACAGCCCCCCAGGAGGCTGGTGCCGCCTTCACCACGCCTCAGTGACAACACAGGTTGAGCGGAGGGGCTGGCCGCGGGTGAGCTGCACGAAGGGGCACAGCTGAGCCTGAACTCAGCTCTGACTGCAAAGCCCATGTCTTTCCGTTCCCCGTGCCCCGGCCTGCACTCAGCTCTGTCCCCTGCTCACTGGGTGGCCCGAGGGAACTCAGCGGCGTCTCTGAGCCTCCGAGGAGCAGGGCCTCAACTGGGTCAGAGTCTGGCTAAGATCCAAGTGGTCTTGCTCTTGCATCTGGGGGCTGGGGGACACGTTTGCCCCATGGTGTCCCCCCAGCCAGCCCGGGCGCCCACTCACCACGAGGCCCGAGTAGTAGGTGAGCCTGATTGCTGCATCCGGGGGCAGCAGGGCCCGGCCTCCCGTGAGGCAGGGGAGGGGAGGCCCCCTCAGCAGCCGCAGGGAGGCACTGACCACGCGCTAGCTGGTGAAGGAGGCGGCCAGCAGGCCCAGCTCAGGCCGGCAACGGAAGGAGAAGAGCCGGCCCAGGGCTGCTAGGGAGCAGCGTGGGGCCCTGCAGGGCAGCCCCGCTGGCCCACCCTTGTCCTTGTGCTCGCAGACGCAGGCCGGGGGGCCACGTCGAACGGGGGCACTGCGGGAGACAGGAGGCCCCACGCTCACCCCTGCTCGGCTGTCCGGGTCCTCTTAGGGGTCCCCACTGGCCCACCAGCCCGGCGCCAGGCACCTGACCCCGATCCCAGAGCAGTCACGAGCGGACACCCCTCACTCTCTGCCCCCCCCGACCACTCGCCCGCCCTGCCCCTGATCCCCATCAGCCTCTGGATCAAAGTCCCCAGTGGTCCTCATCGGAAAGGGGGCTGGCACCACAGAGATGCCCACAGTCACGGCCCAGGAAGAACAGGAAAAGTCTCTGGCCGGAGTGCGACCCAGTGCCCATCTTGCTTCTCACAGAAAACATAAATGTTTACATCCTGGCCAGAAACCCGCAAGACTTCCTGAGCCGGTCGGCCCAGGCAAGGCTCGGGGGTGGAAGAGACCCACTAATGAGTGACCGTTGCCTCGAGATACTGAATAGAATCCCAGGGTCAGAACCCCAGCTCTCCCAGAACACCCGGACCAGTCTTTATCAACTTGGCAGAGAGGACCAGAATTAATTAAGAGCGACAGCGGCGCCTGTGACTTCCTCCCAGCAGAGCCTCCAAAGAGCCGGCCCCCTGCTTCAATGGTGAGATGCCCCTGCCTCCCCCGACCCCCGCCGCCGTGGGCCCTGAGAAACCCCCGTTGCAAGGGGGCCAGCAGGGAGCGTACCTTCAAAGGCAGCGTCGGGGCCAAAGAAAGAGGTCACGTCCCCTGGCTCCAGGACCTGCAGAAACTGCTGTGAGGAGTGAGGGGACACGGGGGGGGGGAGGTGGGGGCTGGGCAAGACAAGGCGCAGGCTGAGCGGGGAGAGAGGGGCCCTGGATGGAGGGGGGACAAGCCCCTCAGCCCGGCGTGGGCGGCGTCCGCCCCTCACCATCGTGCACACAGCACTGAGGCCAACTCCATCTCCAGGGAGCCCAATTTGTCCCCTGAACCCTGAGTTCAGACTTCCTCCCCCTCTGCCCAAGCGCTGTTGGGCACACCCTCGCCCCCCAGGGAACCCAGCCCTCAGCCCCAGAAGAGTCTGGATTCCCAGCTGCCGGGCTCCCCCAGCACTGCGGCCCCACGGGCCCACCCACCTGCCGGGGATCAGGGAGCGCCCAGCAGCTCAGGAGGAAGATCACAGAAGTGAGGGTCCCCCGTGCGGAGGGAGCCATGCTGCCTGCGATGATCTGCGGGAATCCTGGAGTGCCGGGCAGGCGGGCCCGCGGGGCTGGACCAGGAGGTTGGGTTTACTTGAGGGCGCTTCCTCCCAGGGCCGGCGCTGGGGGGACAGGGTGGCCTGCTGGCTCCTCCTGGCCGTGCGTGCGTGGGGCTGGGCCCTGACCCAGAGGACTGCCACCCGGCCTGCCCCTGGAACACCGGGCTGGGGTCGGGGATCGGGGGTGGGGGGGGCAGTGGGATTCATCTCCCAGCAGTGTGACTGCCACGCCCCTAGGGACACCCTGCTTTCCCTGACCTGTCTCTGCTCGCCCATCCGCATCCCATTCCCTCCCTCTCGGCCACTGCCTGGCCTGTGTCTGCACCCGGCGGCGGCGGCGGCGGCTCACAGCACCAGGCTGGGGACACCGGGCCCACAGGCTCCCTGGGAGGTTCTCGGGAACGTGTGCCCCACTCCCTCCCGTCTCCAGGACGCCTTCCCCGGCTGAGCTGGAGGCTAACGAGGGAGGGGGGGTCCCAGGTCCCACCCAGTCCGTGTCCACCTCAGCCCCTCTGAGTCCCACTACACTGGGGGCACCTACCCATCCATCTGGGCCGATCTGCTTCCTGTCACAGGCGTCAGGAGTGGTCTGAGCCTCCCCCCTTTATCTGCCACGGGCATCCCACCCCAGTGGGTGGCGCGCACGCCTGACTCCATCTCTGGGAGTGCATCCCGAGACCCAAACTGACACAGGGAGCTCCTCCAACCATCTCATCAACCTGGACTGGGGTCTGGACCGGGCTCCCCACCTGGCCCCTCAGCTCGCCCCCTCCCCGGTCCATGCCACGTCCTCAGGCCCCAGCTCTGCCCTGAGGACCACGTGCCCACCGAGCCTCCAGGCCTTGTGATTCGCAGTCTGGCCCCTGCCAGCCTCTGCCTGCCTCCCCAGCCCTCCCCCTGTGCTCACAGACTTCTAACTACACGCAACCCCCCCCACCCCCCCAGCTTGCCTTCCATCCCTCAAACAGTTCCAGAGTTCTGCTCCTCCCTCTCACCTCTGGGCTTCCCAGTCCAGTTTCAGCTAAAACGCCACCTTCCTTAAGGCACCATCTAAATACCCCTTCCCCCACAAGGGGTGCCACATTTAGAAAAAAAAAACATCAGGACAGCAACGGAATTTGAATTTCAGATAAACAATGAATTTTTTTTTTTTCCTGGTGTAAGGGTGACAGTAAATGCAAGATGGCAAAGTGGTTGTCCAAGGATGTCTTACAGATAGCTGAGAAAAGAGAAGCAAAAGGCAAGGGAGAAAGGGAAAAATCTATCCAAATGAATGCAGAGTTCCAGAGAAGAGCAAGGAGAGATAAGAAAGCCTTCTTAAGTGAACAATGCAAAGTAATAAAAGAAAACGGTAAAATGGGAAAGACTAGAGATCTCCTCAAGAAAATGAGCTACCAAAGGGACATTTCATGCAAAGATGGGCTCAATAAACAACAGAAACAGCAAGGACCTAACAAAAGCAGAAGAAATTAAGAAGAGGTGACAAAAATACACAGAATAACTATACAAAAAAGGTCTTCAGTTCAGTTCATTCGCTCGGTAGTCTGACTCTTTGAGACCCCATCGACCACAGCATGCCAGGCCTCCCTGTTCATCACAAACTCCCGGAGTTTACTCAAACTCATGTCCATTGAGTCGGAGATGCCATCCAACCATCTCATCCTCTGTCATCCCCTTCTCCTCCTGCCTTCAATCTTTCCCAGCATCAGGGTCTTTTCAAATGAGTCAGTTCTTCCCATCAGGAGGCCAAAGTATTGGAGTTTCAGCTTCAGCATCAGTCCTTCCAATGAACACCCAGGACTGATCTCCTTTAGGATGGACTGGTTGGATCTCCTTGCAGTCCAAGGGACTCTCAAGAGTCTTCTCCAACACCACAGTTCAAAAGCATCAATTCTTCAGCACTCAGCTTTCTTTGTAGTCCAACTCTCACATCCATACATGACTCCTAGAAAAACCACAGCCTTGACTAGGCAGATCTTTGTTGACAAATTAATGTCTCTGCTTTTTAATATGCTGTCTAGGTTGCTCATAACTTTCCGTCCAAGGAATAAGCGTCTTTTAATTTCATGGCTGCAGTCACCATCTGCACTGATTTTGGAGTCCCCAAAAATAAAGTCAGCCACTGTTTCCACTGTTTCCCCATCTATTTGCCAGGAAGTGATGGGACTGGATGCCATGATCTTAGTTTTCTGAATGTTGAGCTTTAAGCCAACTTTTTCACTCTCTTCTTTCACTTTCATCAAGAGGCTCTTTAGTTCTTATTCACTTTCTGCCACAAGGGTGGTGTCATCTGTATATTTGAAGTTATTGATATTTCTCCTGGCAATCTTGATTCCAGCTTGTGCTTCATCCAGCCCAGCGTTTATCATGATGTACTCTGCATATAAGTTAAATAAGCAGGGTGACAGTATACAGCCTTGACGTACTCCTTTTCCTATTTGGAACCAGTCTGTTGTTCCATGTCCAGTTCTAACTGTTGCTTCCTGACCTGCATACCGGTTTCTCCGGTATTCCCATCTCTTTCAGAATTTTCCACAGTCTGTTGTGATCCACACAGTCAAAGGCTTTGGCATAGTCAATAAAGCAGAAATAGATGTTTTTCTGGAACTCTCTTGCTTTTTCAATGATCCAGTGGATGTTGGCAATTTGATCTCTGGTTCCTCTGCCTTTTCTAAAACCAGCTTGAACATCTGAAAGTTCATGGTTCACGTATTGCTGAAGCCTGGCTTGGAGAATTTTGAGCATTACTTTAGTAGCGTGTGAGATGAGTGCAATTGTGCGGTAGTTAGAGCATTCTTTGGCATTGCCTTTCTTTGGGATTGGAATGAAAATGGACCTTTTCTAGTCCTGTGGCCACTAGTGAGTTTTCCAAATTTGTTGGCATATTGAGTGCAGCACTTTCACAGCATCATCTTTTAGGATTTGAAATAGCTCAACTGGAATTCCACCACCTCCACTAGCTTTGTTTGCAGTGATGCTTCCTAAGACCCACTTGACTTCTCACTCCAGGATGTCTGGGTCTAGGTGAGTGATCACACCATCATGATTATCTGGGTCGTGAAGATCTTTTTTGTGTAGTTCTGTGTATTCTTGCCACCTCTTCTTAATATCTTCTGCTTCTGTTAAGTCCATACCATTTCTGTCCTTTATTGAGCCCATCTTTGCATGAAATATTCCCTTGCTATCTCTAATTTTCTTGAAGAGATCTCTAGTCTTTCCCATTCTATTGTTTTCCTCTTTCTTTGCACTGATCACTGAGGAAGGCTTTCTTATCTCTCCTTGCTATTCTCTGGAACTCTGTATTCAAATGGGTGTATCTTTCCTTTTCTCCTTTGCTTTTCACTTCTCTTCTTTTCGCAGCTATTTGTAAGGCCTCCTCAGACAACCATTTTGCCTTTTTGCATTTCTTTTTCACGGGGATGGTCTTGATCCCTGTCTCCTGTACAACGTCACGAACCTCTGTCCATAGTTCATCAGTCTCTCTGTCTGTCAGATCTAGTCCCTTAAATCTATTTCTCACTTCCACTGTATGAAAGTTCTGTAAATAAGGTCTTAATGACCCAGATAACCACGATGGTGTAATCACCCACCTAGAACCAGACATCCTGGAATGCAAAATCAAGTGGGCCTTAGGAAGCATCACTATGAACAAATCTAGTGGAGGTGATGAATTCCAGTTGAGCTATTTCAAATGGTAAAAGAGGATGCTGTGAAAGTGCTGCACTCTATATGCCAACAAGTTTGGAAAACTCAGCAGTGGCCACAGGACTAGGAAAGGTCAGTTTTCATTCCAATCCCAAAGAAAGGCAATGCCAAAGAATGCTCAAACTACCGCACAATTGCACTCATCTCACACACCAGCAAGGTAAAACTCAAAATCCCTCAAGCTAGGCTTCAGCAATACGTGAACTGAGAACTCCAGATGTTCAAGCTGAGTTTCGAAGAGGCAGAGAAACCAGAGATCAAACTGCCAACATCTGCTGGATCATCGAAAAAGCAAGAGAGTTCTGCTTTATTGACTACACTACAGTCTTAGACTGTGTGGGCCCACAAAAAACTGTGGAAAATCTGTAAAGAGATGAGAATACCAGGCCACCTGACCTGCCTCCTGAGAAACTGGTATGTAAGACAAGAAGCAACAGTTAGAACCAGACATGAAACAACGGACTGGGTCAAAATCAGGAAAGGAGTACAACAAGGCTGTATATTGTCACCCTGCTAATTTAACTTACATGCAGAGTACATCATGGAAAATGCTGGGCTGGATGAGTCACAACCTGGAATCAAGATTGCTGGGAGAAACATCAACAACCTCAGATATACAGATGATATACCATTCTAACAGCAGAAAACATGAGGAACTAAAGGACCTGTTGATGAAGGTGAATGAGGAGAGTGAAAAAATGACTTGAAATCCAACATTCAAAAAACTAAAATTAAAAACACACATGTACCCCATTGCTCATTGCAGCACTGTTTACAACAGCCAGAACATGAAAGCAACCTAGATGCCCATCGACAGATGAATGGATAAAGAAATTGTGGTGCATACACACAACGGAATATTACCCAGCCATAAAAAGGAACACATTTGAGTCAGTTCTGATGCAGGGGATGAACCTAGAACCTATTAAACAGGTGAAGTGAGTCAGAAAGAGAAAGATAAATATTGTATTCTAACACACATATACAGAATCTATAAAAATGGTTCTGAATGATTTATTTGCAGGGCAGCAACGGAGAAACAGCCAAAGAGAATAGACTTATGGACATGGGGAGGGGGCAGGAGAGGGTGAGATGTGTGGAGAGAGTAATATGGAAACTTACAATCACCATATGGAAAATAGAGAGCCAACGGGAATTTGCTGTCTGGCTCAGGAAACTCAAACAGGGGCTGTGTGTCAACCTAGAGGGGTGGGGTGGGGAGGGAGATGGGAGGGAGGTTCAAAAGGGAGGGGATAGATGTATACCTATGGCTGATTCATGTTGAGGTTTGACAGAAAACAACAAAATTCTGTAAAGCAATCATTCTTCAATTAAAAAATAAATTAAAAAATAAAACTAAGATTATGGCATCCAGTCCCATCACTCCATGGCAAATAGAAGGGGAAAAAGTGGAAGCAGTGACAGATTTTATTTTCTTGGGCTCCAAAATCACTGTGGATGGTAACTGCAGTCATGAAATTAAAAGACGCTTATCCTTGGAAGGAAAGATATGACAAACCTAGACAGTGTATTAAAAAGCAGAGACATCACTTTGCTGACAAAGGTCCATAGAGTCAAAGCTGTGGTTTTTCCAGTCGTCATGTACAGGATGCGAGAGTTGGACCATAAAGAAGTCTGAGCACCAAAGAATTGATGGTTTCAAACTGTGGTGTTGGAGAAGACTCTTAAGAGTCCCTTGGACAGCAAGGAGATCCAACCAATCCGTCCCAAAGGAGATCAGTCCAGGGTGTTCATTGGAAGGACTGATGCTGAAGCTGAAGCTCCAATAATTTGGCCACCTGATGCAAAGAGCCAACTCCTTGGAAAAGACCCTGATGTTGGGAAAAATTGAGGGCAAGAGGAGAAGGGGACGACAGAGGATGAGATGGTCAGATGGCATCATCAACTCAATAGATATGAGTTTGAGCAAACACTGGGAGATGGTGTAGGACAGGGCAGCCTGGTGTGCTGCAATCCATGGGGTTGAAAAAAGTTGGACCGACTTAGCAACTGAACAACAACGATGCCCTCAGGGCTTCCCAGGTGGCTCAATGATAAAGAATCTGCCTGCCAGGCAGGAGATGTGGGTGGATCCCTGGGTCAGGAAGATCCTCTGGAGAAAGAAATGGCAACCCACTCCAGTATTCTTTTTTTTTTTTTTTTTTCATTTATTTTTATTAGTTGGAGGCTAATTACTTTACATCATTGCAGTGGGTTTTGTCATACATTGAAATGAATTAGCCATGGTTTTACATGTATTCCCCATCCCGGTCCCCCCTCCCACCTCCCTCTCCACCCGATCCCTCTGGGTCTTCCCAGTGCACCAGGCCCGAGCACTTGTCTCATGCACCCAACCTGGGCTGGTGATCTGTTTCACCCTAGATAATATACGTGTTTCGATGCTGTTCTCTTGAAACATCCCACCCTCGCCTTCTCCCAGAGTCCACAAGTCTGTTCTATACATCGGAGTCTCTTTTTCTGTTTTGCATATAGGGTTATCGTTACCATCTTTCTAAATTCCATATATATGTGTTAGTATACTGTAATGGTCTTTATCTTTCTGGCTTACTTCGCTCTGTATAATGGGCTCCAGTTTCATCCATCTCATTAGAACTGATTCAAATGAATTCTTTTTAATGGCTGAGTAATATTCCATGGTGTATATGTACCACAGCTTCCTCATCCATTCGTCTGCTGATGGGCATCTAGGTTGCTTCCATGTCCTGGCTATTATAAACAGTGCTGCGATGAACATTGGGGTGTACGTGTCTCTTTCAGATCTGGTTTCCTCGGTGTGTATGCCCAGAAGTGGGATTGCTGGGTCATATGGCAGTTCTATTTCCAGCTTTTTAAGAAATCTCCACACTGTTTTCCATAGTGGCTGTACTAATTTGCATTCCCACCAACAGTGTAAGAGGGTTCCCTTTTCTCCACACCCTCTCCAGCATTTATTGCTTGTAGACTTTTGGATAGCAGCCATCCTGACTGGTGTGTAATGGTACCTCATTGTGGTTTTGATTTGCATTTCTCTGATAATGAGTGATGTTGAGCATCTTTTCATGTGTTTGTTAGCCATCTGTATGTCTTCCTTGGAGAAATGTCTGTTCAGTTCTTTGGCCCATTTTTTGATTGGGTCATTTATTTTTCTGGAGTTGAGCTGGAGGAGTTGCTTGTATATTTTTGAGATTAATCCTTTGTCTGTTGCTTCGTTTGCTATTATTTTCTCCCAATCTGAGGGCTGTCTTTTCATCTTGCTTATAGTTTCCTTTGTTGTGCAAAAGCTTTTAAGTTTCATTAGGTCCCATTTGTTTATTTTTGCTTTTATTTCTAAAATTCTGGGATGTGGGTCATAGAGGATCCTGCTGTGATTTATGTCGGAGAGTGTTTTGCCTATGTTCTCCTCTAGGAGTTTTATAGTTTCTGGTCTTACATTTAGATCTTTAATCCATTTTGAGTTTATTTTTGTGTATGGTGTTAGAAAGTGTTCTAGTTTCATTCTTTTACAGATGGTTGACCAGTTTTCCCAGCACCACTTGTTAAAGAGGTTGTCTTTTTTCCATTGTATATCCTTGCCTCCTTTGTCAAAGATAAGGTGACCATAGGTTCGTGGATTTATCTCTGGGCTTTCTATTCTGTTCCATTGATCTATATTTCTGTCTTTGTGCCAGTACCATACTGTCTTGATGACTGTGGCTTTGTAGTATAGTCTGAAGTCAGGCAGATTGATTCCTCCAGTTCCATTCTTCTTTCTCAGGATTACTTTGGCTATTCGAGGTTTTTTGTATTTCCATACAAATTGTGAAATTATTCGTTCTAGTTCTGTGAAAAATACCGTTGGTAGTTTGATAGGGATTGCATTGAATCTGTAGATTGCTTTGGGTAGTATAGCCATTTTGACAATATTGATTCTTCCAATCCATGAACACGGTATATTTCTCCATCTGTTTGTGTCCTCTTTGATTTCTTTCATCAGTGTTTTATAGTTTTCTATGTATAGGTCTTTTGTTTCTTTAGGTAGATATACTCCTAAGTATTTTATTCTTTTTGTTGCAATGGTGAATGGTATTGTTTCCTTAATTTCTCTTTCTGTTTTCTCATTGTTAGTGTATAGGAATGCAAGAGATTTCTGTGTGTTAATTTTATATCCTGCAACTTTACTGTATTCGTTGATTAGCTCTAGTAATTTTCTGGTAGAGTCTTTAGGATTTTCTATGTAGAGGATCATGTCATCTGCAAACAGCGAGAGTTTCACTTCTTCTTTTCCTATCTGGATTCCTTTTACTTCTTTTTCTGCTCTGATTGCTGTGGCCAAAACTTCCAAAAATATGTTGAATAGTAGTGGTGAGAGTGGGCACCCTTGTCTTGTTCCTGATTTCAGGGGAAATGCTTTCAATTTTTCACCATTGAGGGTGATGCTTGCTGTGGGTTTGTCATATATAGCTTTTATTATGTTGCCACTCCAGTATTCTTGCCTTGGGAAAGCCCATGAATAAGAGAAGCCTGGCGGGCTACTGTCTACGGGGTCGCAAGTTGGGCCACAACCTAGCAAGTAAACAAGTATGCCCTCAGTATTGCAGCTGTTATGTGGAACATATTATAGTAAAAATTATTCTTTATCTGAAATTCCTGTTTTTCTGGGCATCCTGCATGTTCTTTGGCAGCCTTAACCCTCCTTGGTCTCTACCACAGCATCTCATTTTCTCATCTTGGTGGCAGTTGCTAGGATACAAAATTGCTGATTTGGTATCTGAATTTCCCTGAAGGCCCCCCAGCACAGGTACAGAGGCGGGGATGGGAGCTTTGGGGAAATGCAGGTCTGGCCTCCAGGTGTTGTCAGAGCCAGGCAGAGGTGCAAGTGACATCACTGTTGTCACATGACATACAACACTCTCTCTCCTTGGAAGAAAAGTTATGAGCAACCTAGACAGCATATTCAAAAGCAGAGACATTACTTTGCCAACAAAGGTCCACCTAGTCAAAGCTATGGTTTTTCCAGTGGTCATGTATGGATGTGAGAGTCGAACCATAAAGAAAGCTGAGAGCCGAAGAATGGATGCTTTGACCTGTGGTGTTGGAGAAGACTCTTGAGAGTCCCTTGGATTGCAAGGAGATCCAACCAGTCCATCCTAAAGGAGATCAGTCCTGGGTGTTCATTGGAAGGACTGATGCTGAAGCTGAAACTCCAATACTTTGGCCACCTGATAGAAGAGCTGACTCATTGGAAAAGACCCTGATGCTGGGAAAGATTGAAGGCAGGAGGAGAAGAGGCCGACAGAGGATGAGATGGCTGGATGGCATCACCGACTCAATGGACATGAGTTTGAGTAAACTCCGGGAACTGGTGATGGACAGGGAGGCCTGGCATGCTGCAGTCCATGGGGTCACAGAGAGTTGAACTCGACTGGGCGACTGAACTGAACCTGCGACACCACTTGTAGCAGCGCTTTATCCTTGTTACCGGATGCTGCTGGACCGCGGAGAGCAGGCTGTGCCACTGGCCGGGGTGGGGACAGTGGCCGGGTGACAGCGGCCCGCAGGACCGGGCGTCCGCTCCGCGCCCGCAGCTCCCGGATCCAGCCGCCCAGCGCCCCCTGGCGGCCGCCTGCCGTGCGCCCCGCTGGCCCGGCCTCGGTGCTACACCAACGGCGGTCCCCTCGCTCCCCTTCCGGCGCTCGCCTTTCTCGGCCCCGGGCCGGCCCTCAGAGACATTCCGGGCTTCTTCCAACCCGACCCGGGGCCTCCAGCCGCGTACGCTGCTCACCAGGGCGGCGGCCCTTCTCCTTAGCAGTCGAGGAGGCCCGCCCTGCTCCCGGCTCTGCGGAACCAGAGGCGAAGGCCCGGTTTCCAGCCCGGCTGGGTAAAGAGCGAGCACTTCCTGGAAACCGGCGCCCACGGGAGGGGGACGCGTGCCGGGCGGCTTCCGGGGTCCAGGCGGGCAGAACCAGGCTCGGGGGCCGGGATGGTGAAGGCGCGGCGGCCGGCCGCCGCGCGCGCCCCGCGTGCCCCGCGTGCCCCAGCGCCTGAAGCCGGGCCCGTCAGGAAGCCGAGGCGGAAGAAGAGAGTCTGGAGGAACAAAGCGCGAGAAGCCGGCGGGACGCCGGGGGACGACCCCGGAGTGGTCGCGGTGCGACCCCCAAAGGCCCCGGAGGACTTTTCCCCAAACTGGAAGGCGTTGCAGGAGGCAAGGCCGCGAGGGCCCTGCGGGCGGAGAGGGGGGCAGTGTATATGGGTCCCGGGGGGCGCGGGCTGGAGTGGACGCGGGGAGCAGAGCCGCTCGCAGGGGCCGGAGTGCGTGGGGTGCGGAACAGCAGAGGCTCTATGCACAGGGTCCTGCTGACAGTTCAGTTCAGTCGTTCAGTCGTGCCCGACTCTTCGCGACCCCGTGGACTGCAGCACACCGGGCCTCCCTGTCTGTCACCAACTCCCAGAGTTCACTCAAACTCATGTCCATCCCGTGGGTGATGCCATGCAGCCATCTCATCCACTTTCGTCCCCTTCTCCTCCAGCCTTCAATCCCTCCCAGCATCAGGGTCTTTTCCAACGACTCAAGTCTTCGCATGAGGTAGCCAAAGTATTGGAGCTTCAGCTTCAGCATCAGTCCTTCCAATGAACACCCAGGACTGATCTCCTTTAGGACGGACTGGTTGGATCTCCTTGCAGTCCAAGGGACTCTCAAGAGTCTTCTCCAACACCACAGTTCAGAAGCATCCATTTTTCAGCGCTCAGCTTTCTTTGTGGTTCAACTCTCACATCCACATATACTGGAAAAACCATAGCTTTGACCCTATGGACATTTGTAGGCAAAGTAACATCTCTACTCTTTAATATGCTGTCTAGGTTTGTCATATCTTTCCTTCCAAGGAGTAAGTGTCTTTTAATTTTGTGTCTGCAGTCACCATCTGCAGTGATTTTGGAGCTCCAAAAAATAGTCTGTCACTGTTTCCACTATTACCCTATCTATTTGCCATGAAATTCTGGTTAACACTGGGCCCTTAATCCGTGGCCACTGCCGCTGATCACTGAGCGCTTCAAATGTGCTTCAGACACTGTTGGATGAGATGAGCTGTATGTGTTCATATTTAACCTGAGAACAACTCAGATCTTTTATCATCTGCATTTTACAGATGAGGAAATGGGTCTGAAAGGTTAAGTAGGTTGCAGCCAGGTCAGCAGAACCAGGAGTCAGACCCCACACCCCAACCCCCGACCAACTCCCTGCTTGTAATGTCACGTTATACTTCCTTGCCTTTCTGGGCCATCAGTGGGCCAAGACTTACTTGCAGTTTACTTACCGGTCAGTATCTCCTGAGTGCTGTTTGTCGGCTGTGCTTCGCTTGTAAATTGTCTCCGCCTCTGCCGGACTTGGCTGCTGCTGTTTCTGCTGCTTTCTGGGCGAGGAGACTGGGAGGGGTCAAGGGACGGGGCCCAGGGTCACACAGCCGGCTCCTGGGCCGCGGTTGCACAGGGCTGGGCGGGCGTTGGCGCTGTTTGCTGCTGCTGAGCCTCACCGTGTCTCTGCAGCCGCTCCTGAGAGCTCTCCCGGAACCTCAGAGTGGGTGCGGGGGACAGCAGAGACGGGCTCTGAGACTGTTAACCTGCGCCTTAGGGGGGGAGTCCAGATCATCCTCCCGCCCTGACACACAGACCGCGGAATTCCCTCGGGCAGGCCCAGGGGTCTCGGACATGCTGAGCTGTGACTCCCCCCTTTCTCACAAGAAAGTAAAGCAAAAAGAAGCGAGCAGAGGGGTGGACATTTATTGTGGGAAAAAACTCCACGTTTTCTCTAATTTGTACAAGAAAGGCAGTTCTCCTGCTCTTTAAACATTACGGGAGCAGGTGGGTAGGAGCCGCCTCCTCGCTCAGCTGGTTGCCACATAGCAGGGTCTTAACTGACGGCGCAGGGCTGGGAGACGTCAGCCCTCCCTGCAGGGGAGCAGGGGCATGGCTGTCCACCCTGTGTCATTGGACATGACTGTCTCTTCCTGAGACCCTCACAGCAGGAGCAAACGAAGAAATCTGACCGAGGAAGTGGCCCCCGTGCGCCAGCTCTGAAGCAGTTAACACTAAAATAACTGTGAATGTGGGAACAAGTTGCTTTTAGACACATACACGCTTTTTTTCAGTCTTCAGTGTGTGATTTCCAAATTACAATGTTATGTATTTTGTTTTGGGTTCTCTTAGCTGCTGAAACAAAGATCACAGACCCCACAAGAGCCTCTACTTCCCTCTCAAACGGATTCCAGAAAGCAGCCCCAGCGTGTCCAACAGAACAGAAACTGGATTTCAGATAAAGCAAAGAGAGAGGCGATGGGGATGGAAAACACAGACCCCGAGGCCAAAGGGGCCTCCGGGCCCTCGGGGTTGCTAACGAGCAGGAAGGCAGCGGTGCAGCCCGAGGAGAAAGGGGCCAGGAAGAGGACCAGTGCTGACGTGTCTCCGCAGCAAGGCGGCATCAAGCAGAAGAAGCGGAAAGCTAGGGAGCCGACTGCCCCGCTGCCTCCAGCCCCCCCCACCGAGTACGTACCGCGCGATGTGGTGATGGACACGGCCTCCCCGGCCACCCTGTGCCTAAGCTGGGCTCAGCCTCCTCCCCAGTCATGGCGACTGAGGCCTCTCTCCCTAAGGAGGCTGAGGCTGGGGACTCCTCTGTCACCTTCCCTGGGGCTGTGGGTTTCTTTGTGGGTAATTCAGGTAATTTAGAATTAACCTAGGGTAAGTCTATTCCCCTAGAAGGTAGGCATAGCGGAGGCTGACCCTGTCCCATAGCTGCTGTATTTCCAGGGCCCAGAAAAGGGCTTGGCACCTCATGGGCCCCCAGGAAAGACATGTGGAATGAATGAACACCAAAGCCAGAAAGACTTGAGTTCAAAACCGATGCCCGTGTCTTGCCAGTTGGGTGGTTTGGGGCAGGTTCCTGAGGCGCCCTGAGCCGCAGTGTGGTCACCTGCGCTGGGTCTGGGATTCTCCCGTGCCGCCCTGGTGCCAGGCACTTAGCAAAGCCTGGGTGTCGCCCACACAGGAGCCCAGTCAGCAGCTGCCTCTCAGTGGCTGGGCAGGTCGTGGCGTGTCTGTAAGTCCGCCTGGCTGCATGTCACCGGGGGTTGAGGACACAGTGGCTGAAGGTTTCAGGAAGCAGCGTTTGAGGGCCTGCCGTATGTCCCAGTGCCAGGCACCCTCTTAGGAAAGAGCGGTCCCCGCTGGGCCCTCCATCGAGAAGGGGCAACCGAGGGGAGGGGACAGACAATGCACTGAAGTTGTTTCCGTGATTCCTGCCGTGTGGTCGGGATCAGTCCCGCGAGGGCGGAGCCTGTTGGGGCAGAGGCCAGAGGGCCTTCCGGTCGGCCAGTGCGTCTCGGAGGAGAGGACTCAGCGGCTGTGCATCCCAGCCCGGGCGTCCCTGTCTGCGGGCTCGGCACGGGCACGCCGCGGGCACCAAGGGGTGTCTGAGTCTCCGTTTTCCTGGCAGCATGTTCATCCGTGGTTCCCAAATGCCTGGTAGCTGTTTTGTCATTGAGAAGAAAATGTTGGTAACCGTTACACCTGAGTAGGGTGGAGGTGTATTTCTGTTTCCTGTTCTTTGTGTTTCTCTGTGGTTCCAAAATTCTAGCTATAGAGTATATTTTTAATCAGACGTTGAAGTGCCAAGGTGATCACTGTGGCCAGCAGCCACTCACATGGGCCTGAGCGCCCTCAGAGCGGGCCACACTTGCCACTATGCTCAGCCCGTTCTCCCCTCTGTCTTTTAGAGATGACATCTGGTTTGACGATGTTGATCCAGCGGACATCGAAGCGGCCATTGGCCCGGAGGCAGCCAGCATAGCGAGGAAGCAGCTGGGTCAGAGCGAGAGCAGTGTCACGCTGGTGAAGGAGCGGGCCTTCGGCGGGTACGCAGGCCCCATGGGGTGCGCTCAGCCTTGGGGGGCCGGCGGGGTCTTCAGGGCAGGCGCCTCGGTGTCTGGCTGAGCCCGGTCCTCGGCATGTTGCTGAATGGCGGGGCTGGGTCCCAGGTCCCGCGGGGTTAACCTGGAGCCTTGGTTCCCCCTAGGCTGACTAAAGCCTTAGCCATGGACTGCGAGATGGTGGGCGTGGGCCCCAAGGGGGAGGATAGCATCGTGGCCCGCGTGTCCCTGGTGAACCAGCACGGGAGGTGCGTGTACGACAAGCACGTGAAGCCAACCCAGCCCGTGACCGACTACAGGACCGCGGTCAGCGGGGTCCAGCCTGCGGACCTGGCGCAGGGTGGGTGGCTCAGCCGGGCACGCCCCGGGAGCCTGGCGGGCTGTATGTGGGCCTGGCTGCCTTTCGGTCACCTGACCTCCAGCCGGGCCAGTGTTCCCGAACTGCAGTGTCACTGGGCAGCAGGGATGGGGCGGGCGTCAGAGGAAGAAGGCCGCTGGGAGGTGCAGACGGGCCTGGGGAGGTGGGTCAGGCGGCAGGGGCTCCCGTGAAGGGGGGCGAGCAGCGGGAGGCCTGGCCTGGCCGGGGCGGGTTCTCGCAGGTTCCCTCAGGTTCCCTACAGCCGCAGCTTTGGGGGGGTGGGCAGTGGTGAGCCGGAGGTGTCCCATCTTGGGACACACCCAGGGGGCTGGTCTGTAGAGTCTGCCCTTGGACGAGCTGTGCTCAGGGGCCCTGAGATCGGGCCTGGAGGGATCCTGAGGACAGGAGCTCGAGGCAGCAGCCCCCCCACCTCCTCTGGGCATGTGGTCTCTGCCATCCACGCCTCTTGGGTCCTTGAGGACGGCCCACGAGGCCGCCTGGCCGCTCCTCGGCCGCAGGCTCTGCCAGTGCTGCCTGGGCCGGGTGGGCAGCCCCAGGGCACGAGCAGGGTTGGCACCCCCTTCTGAGAGCCTGACCCACCCAGGACCCCGGGTCTGACGGGGCAGGAGTGCTCGCTCTCAGCACGACACTGAAACCCCTTCTGTGTGTTGGTCCAGGAGAAGAGTTTGAAGTTGTTCAGAGGGAAGTCGCGGACCTGCTCAAGGGCCGGATTCTGGTCGGACATGCGCTGCACAACGACCTCAAGGTGTTGGCCTGTGCCTACGCCGCGCGCAGTGAGAGCCGGGGCAATGCTGCCGCCCCGCTCAGGGACAGCCCCCGCTCCTCAGGGCAGAGCCCCTACCCGGGCAGGGGCACCCTGATCCCTGTTCCCTTGAGACCCCAGGCAGCCCCTGTCTCACAGGCTGGCCTCTGACAGCCAGCATGGTGGGCGGCAGGCCAGCTCCCAGGGCCCCTTCCTGCCCCCGAGGGTGGGGCTCGGCCTGTGCCCAGCAGGTCTCTGCTGCGGGCCCACAGTGGCCTGCTCGTTGGGATGGGAAGCTTGGGGCAGCAAGTGCTCTCAGCTCAGAGGCCCCAGGGCTCAGGCTCCCCCTTCAGCCCCTGCGCCCTCCCCGCCCTGGTAACCTGAGCAGACTTGCCCTCCACCCTCTCCTGGGCCTGTCTCAAGGTCGTGGGGGGACCCGTTTCATCCCTGACACCGTGTGTGTATGTGAGACAAACTCAAATACAGGACAAACGGTCACAGGTTCCTTGGTGACTGAGTCTCTGCTTTCCCCACCTTCAAGGCTGTGTCTCCGTCCGTGCGTTCTCTCTGCTGAGCATCCCCTGTCCCGCGACAGTCGCCCCCAGGAGCTCAGGCTCGCATCAGTGCCTCGTCCTGTCTGTGTGTGTGAGGTGTGGGATTCTGAGAAAGGGGCACCTTTCTGCAGACAGACACCAAAACGCCTGTCACACCTTCCTCCTCCAGGCACTGTTTCTGGGCCACCCGAAGAGGAAGATCCGGGACACTCAGAAGTACAGGCCTTTCAGGACCCAAGTGAAGGTACCTGAGACCATGTGGCTCTGAAAGCCTGGTTCACCTGGTCATGGGTTCTGGTCCCTGGAGGCTGGCTTCCTGGTTAAAGGTGTTTGGGTTTGGTTTGGTTTGGTTTTCCCTTTTAACCTTTAAAACTAAGAGGAGGGACTTTCCTACTTGTCCAGTGGTTGGGACGTGGCGCTTCCATTGCTGGGGGTCCAGGTTCAGTCCCTGGTCAGGAAATTGAGATCCTGCATGCTGCATGGTTCAGCCAAAAAAAAAAACCAGTGAAAAAATAAACGAGAGTCACAAGGAGAATTAGACGTTTAGAAAGGAAAAGTAACCTTAGAGAAAAAAGACTTGGCCAACCCAAAGTTCGTGCTGCTGAGGGCAGTGAGTCCACTCTCCTCTGATCACACCCCCAGCTGTGGGTCGGAAGGCACATGTGTGTTCCAGAGGCAGAGGCCCCCGGCGCCCGGGGCCAATGATGCACAGTCCCTCCTGGGTCCTCGGTGGGCCACCCCCCTGCCCAGGCCCCACTCAAATGTGATGACGTGCTCCCCTCTCCCTGGCAGAGCGGACGGCCATCTCTGAAGCTGCTTGCAGAGAGAATCCTGGGGATTCAGGTGCAGCAGGCGGAGCACTGTTCCGTAAGTGCATCCTGGGTGACAGGCCTCCAGATGCCGGGTGGGTGACGGGTGATGGGTGGGTGACGGGTGATGGGCCTCCGGGTTGGGGGCCATGCTGAGCTCGTGGGCACGGCGCAGCGCCACCCGATGTTGGCACACGCACTTTACACCGGATGCTCCTGGTGCGCTGTAGTTGGAGAGGAAGGCCCGTCTAGATCACAGGCCCCCAAGGGCTGAGGGTGAGGCTCTGGGCCCAAAGAGCCTGGCCCTCTGGGCGTCAGTCAGGGCCCGCGGCCCTCCCATCTGCCTTCCAAGTCGTGTGGCGTCCGGGGCCCCTCGTGAGCCAGCACGCCTGTCCCTCCCCGTCTGTGGGGTCCTTCCCCCCCGCCCGAGTGGGCGCTGCATCCCTGGACCCCTCTTTCATCTGTGGTCACTGTCACCCCACGTCTGGCAGCAGCACTCAGGAGCTGCGGGATGGGGGGGTGGCCGCACCAGCCACCGGCAGGATGGCCGTGGTGATGCCCCACGTTCCCCCAGGTCCAGGATGCACAGGCGGCAATGAGGCTGTATGTCCTGGTGAAGAGGGACTGGGAGAGCCTCTCCGGGGACAGGCGGCCCCCCGCCCCCGAGGCCGGCAGCCAGGACACCTAGCAGGACCCCGCCCCGAGCCACCCTTGCGCCGGCGGGAGCTGCGACCACGCCAGACGACGGATGGAGCTGCTAGAGCCGCGGGCGGTTTTCAGAAACAGTGGCGCATAGCGTGCATGCTGCTGAGCTGAGCGTCTCGTCTGGTTGTGGCGTCCGAGCCTCTCCTGCACAAGGGGCTGGGCGGCTGTCCCTGGGGCTCCCCAGGCCAGGGTGCTAAGCGCCCGGTTGTCTGCCGGGTCTTTGTCACCTGTCTGAGGGGGGCCTTTCCCCTCACTGCCGTGGCAACGGAAAGAAAGGGACTCCGCGGACTTGAGCATGGACCACGCGGTTGCCCCAGCGCAGCCTCGTTAAGCGGTTTTCTCTGCCACCCGGACACTTGGAGGGATCTCCTGAGGCTGGGGTTCCGCTCACCCCACCTGTGCATACCTGCTATATTTAAATGCCAGGTTAGAGCCCGCAGCAGGCAGGGGGGCTCGGGCTGCCCAGTGCGGTTTTCCCAGAGGTGGGTGCCCCCCGACCCGGACGGACATGTGAGCTCAGGCGCCTGCAGCGCTCCGCCCGGCGCGGGGTGCGGGATCGCTGAGGGGAGCGTGCTGAGCCCCTGCCAGCTGTAGGAAAAGTCTGAAGCCACCACGAAGGTTGTGTGACATAAACGCATGTTTTTATTTGAGCTGCACCTTGTGGAGGCCCGTGTCTGAGAGGACGGCTGGGTCCCACCTCTTCTGACCCCGCTCCCCCAGGAGACGCCTGTGGCACTGGGCGCCCCGTCAGGTACAGGTCGAGGAGGAGAGGAGGGCAGGGTGGTGCCTACCGGCCGCCCTCAAAGCTGGACTGGGCGGCCGCCTCCAGTCTGCGGAGCACGCTGGCTGCGTAAGAAACGAGCTCCTGCAAGAAGGCGGCGGTCGGCTGCTGTGGACAGTCTCTGGGCTTGCGCTGAGGGCACCGCCCCTGCCCCGTGGGGTGTCCTGCAGCCCCGGCGGGGCCGTGTGCTGAGGCAGGGAGGGCCCACCAGCACTCACCAGGCTGGAGGTGAAGCGTCCGTGGATCTCCGCAACCAGGGGCTGGATGCCGCTGGACGCCAGCTCGGACAGGATCTCCTCTGCGGGCAGAGGGGGTCCTGAGGCCGGCTCGACAGGCCCAGGCCCCCACCCTTCGGGGCTCAGTGAGATCCCTGGGACTCGGGAGCTCCGTGCTTGGCCCAGCGTGTTCCTGCCCTCCCCTCCCCACCCCCGCCAGGTGGCCGCGAGCCGGGGCCCTCACTGTGCGCGGCCAGGTGGGCCAGCAGCAGGCACACGCTCTCCACCACCTCCGGGTCGTCGCGGTGCAGCCGGTACGTCTGCAGGATGAGGTCCAGGCCGCTGCCGCTCTCCCTGGGCATCACCACCTGCAGGGCTGCCAGCTCTGAGGGAGGGCAGGGGTCATTCCCTGATAGGCGGGCCTGAGGGTCCTCCAGCAGATGGGGGATGGCCATGCTGAGTTTGTGGGGTTGTTGAGAGCCCAGAGCGCTGTGGGTGGCAAGTGTCGGCCAGCTGAGGACACCACGGTGGCCTCGGGGACTTCAGCAGGCAGGCCTTGACCACTCTGCACCTCTGGGGTGTTCTTCGGCAGAGGGCACCGGTCTCTCCACCCCTGCCGTCTCCCAGGCTGGAGGAGGGAGTGTGCCCCCACGCGAGGAGGCCCGTCAAGGCAGGTTAGACCCAGCTCCTGATGCCATGTGGTCATCAGGTCCCCTGGAGTTCTGAGGGAGGTGGACACCCCAAGGCATCAATAGATCCTCGAAGGCAGCAAAGCCAAGGCTCTCCCCAGGACTCTGACTCGCGTCTGGCTCACTGGGTGCTGACGACCCAGCTCCTGTGTGCTGAGCCTCGAGCCTTTTGCTCTCAGGGCTCCAGGCCCTATCTCCTCCCGGTTTGACGGGATCCCAGAGGGAGTGGGGGCAGGCCTGCAGCCTAGGTTGTCTCCATCAGAAAGGGAAGACCCTGCCCCACTCCAGAGCTTCTCCAGGAGTGAGGGTCACCCCCTCTAGCCTATGCACCCCAGGGGCCTGGACCTCACAGGCTGAACCACCCTGATGCAGCGGGCAGCCTTGGCCGGACTCCAGGCCCCAAAGAGTCTCTAGAGGGCTGTGGCCCCGGGTCGGGCGCAGAGCCTGGCCAGGGGCTGAGTGACAGGTGGGGTTCAGGCCCTGTCAGCCCTGCTGACTTCAGAGCCGCAGCTGGAAGAGCACCTCTGCTCACACCAAGCGTGTTGGGCAGGGGAGGTGGTCACGACACAGGGTCACACCGGCGAGTGTGACGTGGGTGCAGAGGACGCCTGCATGCTGGGACTGGGTGTTTCCCTGCTTTGTGAGTGTGCATGGTTTCGGTCTGTGGGCCATCAGCAGGCTTCGCTGGGAAGCCCGCCCCCCACCTCTGAGCAGCAGCCCCTTGGGCCCAGGCTCACCGGACACCTTGGCGAGGCTGGCCAGCCCGCGGTAGGCGTTGTTCAGCAGCAGGACTCGGTCCTGGCACAGCTGCACGCTCTGCAGGAGCAGGTCCGCCACCTCCGCACACTCCTGCTCCTGGATGCAGCCTGGGGAGGGGCCGGCACGCCTGTGTCCAGGGGCCTGGCCAGCCCTCCAGCCCTGGGCCCCCAGCTGCTCACCCAGCAAGGACAGCAGCCACAGAACCGAACAGCCGGCTTCGGCCATCTCTGCATCCTTGGGGAAGGTGGCCAGCACCTCAGCGACAAGAGCCGGGGCTCTCTCCAAGGGGGCCTTGTTCACGATGACAGCTGCAACGGGACGAAGTGAGGAGGGGTCGCCTGTGTCCCTGCGTGGGGAGAAGTACCTGCTATGTGTGTGGCCCCCGCCCCCGCCTGCCACGGGGACAGCAAGAGCTGCAGGGTTCGAGGCCTGCCGTCCGAGATGGGGAGATGGGAGGGCCGCCTGCCACGGGGACAGCAAGAGCCGCGGGGTTCGAGGCCTGCCGTCCGAGGTGGGGAGATGGGAGGGCTGACTCCAGCCTGCTGAGCAAGTCTGGACAGGCATCGGACCCCAAGGGGAGGCTTGGGGCATCTTGCACCCAGCTGTGCTCAGGGCCTCCAAGGCTAGGAGATCTCTTCTCCTTGGGAAAATGACTGTCCAGGTGCTGGAGGGCTGGGACCTGGAGAGGGAGCCATTCAGCTGACGGGGGGTCCCCATTTCTGAATCAAAAGTCAAAGAGAGGTCGCCCGGTGCTAGAGCCAGTGTGTGAGACCAGGGCGGCCCCGGGTGGGTGGGCAGAGGGCCTCCCGGGTGGGCGGGTGGGGGCCCAGGGTCGGGGTCTGCCCCTTCCCTTCTCCCAGCTCGGGTGGTCGGGGGCAGTGGGGGGGGTGGGCTCACTCACCGCCCACCAGCAGGGCCCAGAGCAGGCCCAGGCCGTGGATGCAGATGTCCCTGCTCCTGGGGACGCCCTCCAGGTGCTGCAGGATGTCCTCGAACAGCCCTGCCCTCTGCAGCTCGTCTGTGACCAGTCCTGTGGGTGGGCCTCGGAGTGAGGCCACGGGGAGCCCCTCCTCAAGCGGCCTTCCCTGAGGGCCCCTCCCTTCTCTCCTGACCTCGGGCACGGTGATCTCAACGCATGCTTAGTTACTAGAGCCTGCTCTGGGCCAGCCTCACGCCCAGCGTGGGACTCGGAAACGAAAGGGTACTGTTGGACCACCCCTGGGCCACTGTTCCAGCAGCTGGCGTCCCATTACTGGGCTCGGACCAGCCTCGGGGCCTCTCTTCCAAGGTGCTTTCGCTCGGGTGGTGAGCAGACGTGGCCAAGTGGCCCTGACTTAGACCTGTCGTCCCAGCGTGAGGGCGCCTGGCAGCCCTTTCCACTCTCTGCCGTGGGGTCAGTGGACTGTGGTGGGCTGGTTAGTGCGGGCAGGCTCCAGGTGAGGGCCCTGGGCTCTCTGGGGCCCCAGCTTCCTATTGCAGAGGTGAGTGGTTGGACAGGAGTCAACTCAGGTAAGGCCCTGGGGGATGACCCTCTCCCGCACGCCACCCCTCGGCCAGGACTCGCAGGTGGCCATTGTGATCGGCGGAGGGGCCGGAGGGGCAGCAAGGGCAGGAACCTGAAGCCCACAGCGGTGCCACTGCCTGGCAGGGCCCGTGTCCATGGGCAGAGGGACGCACGTGGGCGTGGGGCAGCCGGAAGCAATGTCTGTGCCCCCGTGGAGGGGCTGGGTGCCCCCCCCGCCGTGTGCCCAGTGCCCGAGAGTGGCACCCACCTTGGCTGGCCACGACGGTGAGCAGGCTGTAGACCACGACCAGGAGCTGCTCCTCCGCGGGGTGGCTCTGCAGGACGCTCAGCAGCACAGGGATGATGGTGCTGGTGTTCGCTACTGCGGCCGCCGGGTCCCGGGCCAGCGCTGCGTGGGCCACAGGAGAGCAGGGTTTACCCCGGGCTGGAGGCAGGGCTCCGTGGTTGTGGGGAGGATGCTGAGGGAGGGGTGCAGAGCGGGTCCCCACAAGTGCTTGTGTGACCAAGTCAAGGACCGAGGGGCTGGGGGCCCTGCCAGGGTAGACATTTATCACGGAGTGGACATGCAAAGCGTTATGTGGGAATTCAACCTAAATAGTAAAGTTCAGAGTAGTAGTGAAATACTTCCAGTTTAAAAGCCAGGTATTTAAAGCTTTCTTTAAAGACTCCAGGAGGAGCCCAGACTGTCGGCACCAGCCTCTCTCACTGCTCCCTCAGCTGACCCCCTGGACACCCACACCTAGGACCCTGCCCAGCCTGCCTGGGGGGTGGGTGGTCACACCACAGAGCCCCTCCACCCCATCCAGCTCCTCCTCTCTTGCTTGGAGACCAGCCAGAGCAGGGAGGAGCCGGCCCAGGGCCCCAGAGCAGGTCACAGGCAGGCCCCGGGTGCTGCCCCAGTCTCCTGGCCACGCCGTGCCATCCTGGGGTGGGGTTGGGTGGCAGCACGCCCAGAGGGTCGGATGCCAAGCCCAGACCTGGCTGGGGGGAGGGAGCCAACCCGGGCCCAGGGTGGGCGTGGGGGGCGGGGAGAGCCCACCCGGGCCCAGGGTGGGTGTGGGGGGAGCCCACCTAGGCCCAGGGTGGGTGGGTGGGGCTGGGGGAGCCCACCTTGGCCCAGGGTGCGCAGCAGCAGGGCGCAGGCACACAGCTGTATGTCCAGAATCCTCTGGTGCTGCTTCATGGTGGTGAGCAACACCTCCACCAGCTCCGCCGGCCACGGTAGACCTGGGGGGGGAGGGGGGGAACAGGAGCAGGTGAGGGGAGGGGCGTGGGCCAGACCAGGGACCAGAACCTGCTGGGAGTCGGGGGCATCTCGTGTGGGCCCTGGGTGACCGAGCACCACCTGTCAGATATGCTGTAGCTGGCTTCCTATCCCAGCAGCTCTACAAGGTCAGCCCTCCTGCTGATGAGAACCCAGGTGGTGTGACTCCAGAGCGCCAGCGCCCTTGGCCGTGGCTGCCCTCAGAGGGGACATCTGCAGTGCCTTAGACTGTTGGCTCAGCGCCCGGGGACCTGTGCCGAGCACGGGGGTGGGGGGAGCAGGATGTGGCAGCAGGGTCCAGGCCCAGCTGTGCCCCTTCCCAGTGCTGTCCCCTCTCCTAGCCTGTGTCCTTGTGGTGAGAATGACAAGGTGGGAGGTGCTGGCGCCTGGGAGGCCGAGGGTCCCTTCAGAAGGGACCCAGCCCTGCCCTCCCCTTCCCCGGGAGCAGACTCTCCCTGCCCACGGACTCTGTCCTGGCCACAGCCCAGCTCGACGGGATCGCGGGGAGGGAGGAGGGAGGAGGGGGGAGGGAAGGGAAACGACCGAGGAGAGGTCCCCGCGGCCTCACGACCGGGCTGGGGCTTGGCCTCCACGATATCTGCAGCCCAGCCACTGGGACAGCCTGCTATAGAAGGATGGACAGTGGGTGGATGGAGGGGGATAACGGACAATGGATGGAGGGGACGGATGGTGGCTGGCTGGATGGATAATAGACAAATGGACGGTGGGTGGTGGGTGGATGAGTGCATGAATGTGATATTCAGGCTGGTGAGACAGGTTGAGTGCAGACACCATGTTTTTGCAGAATTAATGGTATTATTAATATTAATAATCGATGGAGATGCACTCTTGAGAGGTGGGTAGGTTGGTGCATCTATGCAGGCAGTGAGCAGCGTCTGTGAAAACATGAAGTACTCAGGCCTGCACATCTGGGGCCTTCCTGTGCAGAAACGGACAGAGCTCACAAACGCCCCGAGGTGGTCCGTGTGACCTCGGTTATGATACCGGGAAATCAGCAGCCACTCAGATGCCTGAGCAGAGGGACGGTGGAGAGGCGGGGTGTCTGTGTAGCGTCCATGAAAAGCAGGTGGAAAGAGGCCACAGGAGATGGTTCTGACCCCGAGCCACCCACCACCCTCGGCTCAGTAACAGAAGCCCAGGCGTCTGCTCCCAGCAGGTGGTGAAGCCGCGGATGCTGATGGGCCAGATGGCAGGGGCGTCCCGCGAGGCGCGCTGGAGGAGGCGGGGCTCCGCAGGGGCGGGGCTCCGCGGGGGCGGGGCTCCGCGGGGGCGGGGCTCCGCAGGGGCTGGGACGGGGTGGGGGCGTGGGAGCTCTACCCAGCTGGCCTTCAGTCATCCTCAGGAGCCTCCTCAGGGCCCTGTGCTGGACTTCGGGGCGGCTGGAGAAGTTCTGCATGACCTCTGCAGGGGACAGGGCAGCGCGGGGAGGCCTCGGCTCAAGGCCCATCTGTGAGCCCCCCCACCACACAGACACACGTGACCAGGTGTGGGGCCACGCCCTTATCCCCACCTCCTGGGCGGAGCCACCGAGCCAAAGTCCAGGGTCAGCCTCAGCGCCCACCCAGGAGGTTCAACTCTGGCGACTCCCTCCAGGCCACTCAGTCAGCGGGTGATGGGCTTCAACTGGACCCAGCTGTCCGCCTCCAAAGCCCATAACCACGAGACGGGGAGCCTGAGCAGCTAGGACCCAGGGGGTGCCCCTTCCCCAGAAAGGGAGGCACAGGTGGTCCACTGGGGGTGGGTGGGTGGGAGGGAGTCCCTTATCGTAGCCCAGGCGGGGGGCCACTGAAGGGGAGGAGGGGAGTGAATGGCCCACCCACACCAGGGGCAGGGGGTGGGAGGGCAGAGCCAGGCCTGAACTGAAGGTGACCTGCAGACCCACCGTCCACCCGAGAGCAGAGGCGTGGCCCCGGCCGGAGCAGGCGGAGGGGTCTATTCAGCAGGGCCACGCTCGGGAGGGACGAGGGGCAAGCCCACCGGCCGCATGGGAGGAGCAGTTCCGGGGAACCCCAGCTTTATAAAGAGGCTACGGGGCCCCCCTGCGCCGGCCTCTGGGGCCCCCATCGTCACCGAAGGTGCTGGCCACGTTGCTGTCGAGCAGCAAGTCGATGATGAACTCGGGCACTGCCTGCCGTTGTAGCACCAGGGCGATGCTGGAGGATCGGAAGTTGCTGCGCACGAAGGTGAAGTGAATCACGTCCCTGGGTAGGAGCAGAGAACCGCCGCCTGTGCCCGCGCCCTGCTCGCTGGCAGCTGCGGGACCCCCACTTTCTGTGGGCGCTCACTTTGCAAGCACCTCTCACAGCGGGCGCCCCAGCTCATCCCGTCCAGGAAGGACCCTGCACTCGCACCCACATGGACGCCTCCGTCCATAATGTAGACCAAAAAAACCCCCCACAGTTCCAGGCTAAGTTGAAATAAAGGTGATCGTTCAGAACGCAGGATGGATCATTTTGTCCTTCTGATTTTAAAATACCTTAGAATTCAAACATGCTCCTGTGCCTGGGGCCATGCCCCTGTCGGTCCAGGACTCAGAGACGTGGCCGCAGTTTGGGACAGCCCAGCTTGGAGGAGCCACTGTCCTCGGATGAAGCGCTTTGTAGCATTGAAACCCCAAGTGGCCGCTGAGAGACTTAAGAGGGGAAGATGGTGACAGCCAGAGCGAGATGGGACCCCAGAGCCTGAGCTCACCTGACGGTCACTCGCTCCGCCGGGTCGGCCTGAAGCATCAGAGGCAAGAGGGACTGGAAGGTTTCCGCGTCGGGGACCTTCCTCTCCTCCATGGTCCTCAGGACCCCTCTCAGGCTGTCGGGGGAGCTCCGGATGTTCTTCCGCAGGTGCATGGCCTCCAGCGTCTAGGAGGAGAGAGGGCTGCTGTGTACTCTCCCAGCGGGAAGGAGGAGGCCTGGCCCCAGGCAGAGGGAGCTGAGATGGCCACCGCTGTCAGGAAGGCATGGAGGCCACCTGTGCCCTGGAGTTCTGGTCCAAAGAAGAAATGCAGGTTTGGAGAAAAGCCCGTGGCCATCTCACTGGCCAGAGGGAGTCGGGGACAACCCCCCACCACGGCCGGGACCCCACGGCGGGCCGGTCAGCGCACCTGAGCTCGGTGGATCTTGTCCCCGAGGGGCTGCCATGGGGGGTGGGTTGGCATGTTACCAGCATCGCCCCCATACAAGGGCCCAGCGGGGCGGAGTGCGCGGGGCTTCACACGGGGCACACCCATGGCAGGAGGATGCCATGGGGGGGGGTGTGCCCCTCTCAGGGCCAAGGTGGGCTCCTAGGGGCTGAGGGGCGAGGGCAGGTGGGAGGCCCTCACGTCCAGGAAGGAGCAGCTGGCCATGTCCAAGACGATGCAGCCCAGGGACCAGATGTCGGATTTCTGGCTGAAGGAGAAGCTGAGGGCTTCGGGGGCCATCCAGGACTTCTGGAAGGGGTCTGTTGGCAGGAACGAGGCGGGGCATGTATGAGTCCTGGGCTCCCCGGGGAAGCAAGCAACTTGAAAATGGGCCCTTGGTCACTCTCCTTGGAGGAGGGAGAGACATGCTGTCTGAGGCCCCGGGTTAGTAAGATCCTGGCCTGCGAGGCTGGGGCCCACCAGGCCAGCCGTGTGCGCCCCTGAGTCTCACAGTGGCTGCGGGAACAGGCGGACGGGGCATTTTCAGGAAGGCTGAGACCCACGTGCCCGTTCAGCATCTTGCCTCTACGTGTCCGGACCTCGAGGCAAAGCTCTAGGTGCCCTGCCCCAGTTTCTCAACTTGCAGCCCAAAGGGGGAGCCAGAAGAGCAGGATCCCTGTTCAGCTCTCAGAGCCGGACCCGCCTCAGGCACGCCTCCCTTTCTGGACCCCCACTGCCCAGACAGGGGTGGCTCCAAGGACCCCTGCCATTTACGCCGCCAGCAGACCCGCCCATTCACACACCTGCCCACCCACCCGTCCCTTCGTCCACCTGGATTGTTCACCCACTGATCTGTCGGCCCGTCCATCCATCCATCTGTCCGCCTGTCTGCATGTCCATCTGCCCACCCACTCCCCGACCCACTCATCTGTCGGCCCGTCCGTCCATCCGCCTCCGCGTCTGTCTGCATGTCCATCTGCCTGCCCACTCCCCGACCCACTCATCTGTCGGCCCGTCTGTCCATCCGCCTGCGCGTCTGTCTGCATGTCCATCTGCCTGCCCACTCCCCGACCCACTCATCTGTCGGCCCGTCTGTCCATCCGCCTGCGCGTCTGTCTGCATGTCCCTCTGCCCGCCCACTCCCCGGCCCACTCATCTGTCGGCCCGTCCGTCCATCCATCCATCTGCCCACCCACTCCCCGACCCACTCATCTGTCGGCCCGTCCGTCCATCCATCCATCTGTCCACCTGTCTGCATGTCCCTCTGCCCGCCCACTCCCCGGCCCACTCATCTGTCGGCCCGTCCGTCCATCCGCCTGCGCGTCTGTCTGCAGGTCATGTCCGTCTACCACCCACCTGCCAGCCTTCCCGAAGGGCAGCTTGCCGCCAGGGCCCTGCCGTGTCCCGGCCAGAGCCGCCCTCTCCTCGCCCGCCCTGCTGGCTGTTGGGCTTGGAGCCCAGCTCCCTTTGCCCTGTGCTCCTTTCAGAGGATGCACACGTCTCGCTGACTCCTCACCTCTACCATCTCCCGGGCTATTCTGAGGCTCAGTAAAGAAATCCAGCCCGAGGGGCTTCCCTGGTGGTGCAGTGGATAAGAACTAGCCTGCCAGTGCTGGGGATACCGGTTCAATTTCTGGTCCGGGAAGACCCCACAGGCTGTGGAGCAACCAAGCCTGGGTACCACCACTGCAGAGCCCGAGTTCTGGAGCCTGCGAGTCGCAGCTCATGCAGCCTGCATGCTCCAGGGCCCGCAGGCCAAAGCTACTGAAGCCCGTGTACCTAGAGCCTGTGCTCTGCAACCAGAAGCCCCCGCAGTGCGAGGCCAGCACGCCGCAACTGGAGAGCAGCCCCCGCTGCCCGGAACTAGAGAAAGCCGGTGCAGTGGAGAAGACCCGCACAGCCACATAGAAATCAGGAAACGCAGCCAAGCTAGTGCCCAGCGCCCACCAGCCCTCCCCCCCGCGCCTCCCTCCGCTTCCTTCCTGCAGAGACCTCCCTTCCCCCTCCATGAAGGTGAGCATTTTCTGAGTGTCTTCGGGACCCTGCGTGTGCCCCCACCTTGGTTGTACTCCGCTCGGCTACAGCCCAGGCAAGGGGGTCTCTGTGGAGTCCACAGGAGCCTGGGGTGGGGGGCGGTCTCTGGGGCCCTTCTGAGCAAAGAGAGGTTGCTGTTGCCTTGTTTCAGCTTCTAGAGTGGCCCCTGCCCGTGGACCCCCCCTTGAGGGAATGGCCCCGCTGCTCCCAGCCACCTTCCTCCGCCCGGACGTCCCACTTGGCCTTGTCGGTCATGAGCGTGTTGGAGCTCAGATCCTGCAGTCTGCAGTGGTCGTTGCTGACGAGGGCAATGTTGGAGGGCTTGAGGTTCCTGCAACCGAGAGGCATGCTCTTCCACCCGCGGCCCGGCAGGGCCACTTCTGCAGACCCTCCATTCCGTTCACACCTACGGCCCCCACCCCTTCTCCCCCCGCCTCAGTAAATGCCCTATTGGGACCACTTTAAAAATACCGCTTCCTGTAAGCTAAGTACACTGTCACTTCAAACAGGGAAAACGAAGCAACCTCAAGCAGGGACCCTGGCGATCGGCCTGCGGTCCCTCCACCGACAACCTTCCAGATCTCAGCCAAGAGCTCGTTTGGGGCCCGGCGTCCCATCAGTGACCTTAACAGGATCGCGAGCGCTCCCTTCCTACGTCGGTTCACACGGTTTTCTCTCCTTCCGACGGTGGCTCTACGGCGTGCAGCTGCACTGCTTCTGCAACGCCCAGGGTCAGCAGCTCGGCCTGGGCATGCCCAGAGGCCGCGGGTGCTGTCTGCTTCTTTCCTTGCACTTTAGAACCTCCCACCCGGGGTGTGCCTGGGGAGGGTCGTGGGGGGGTGGCACTCCCTCTGAGTCTGGGAGGTGCTCCTGGAGGAGCAGGGCCCGCCCTCGTCCGGCTGCCCCTCCTTCCCGTGGGCCTGCCCCCGCCGCGGACGCTGCCCTGGGAGGCGCCGCCCCCAGGAGGGGCCTGGCCACCCGCTAACCTGTGGATGATGCCCAAGTGGTGCAGGTAATCCAGTGCGTCCAGCACCTGGCCCAGCGTGTTCTGCAGCCACTGGGGAGGAAGAGACGCCAGGATGGGGGCCAGAAAGCACCTGCCCTTCACAGGCAGCTCGGGGCCGCTCAGTGTAGCCCATGGGGTCAGGCCCATTCCCCCCCCGTGGGTCCAGATGGGCCTGAAGCCAGTGGCCGACAGCTCAGAGCCAGTGCGGAACTTCTGCTACAGGCTGCATGGGGGCCCTCAGGACAGCAAGACCTTGCCAGTTGCAAGGCCCTGGGTTCCAGCTCTACCTGCACCCCGCCCCTCGAGGGTACCAGAGATGCTGAGTGTTCAGCTCTCACTTGGGACTTCCCTGCCCAGGTCATTAGCATGAAAAGAGCCCTGAGAACATTCTGGAAGCAGTTTGTGTCAGCAACAAGATCCATGTAGTTTCCAGGGCAGTGAGTTTCACACCATGTTCCTTGAGAGACCCCACCCAGGGTGCCGGAGAGGGGCTGAGGGGGCAGGACCTTGGGCTTCCTCCTCCCACTGACCCCAGGCCCCTGAGTAGAGTGCCTCTGCTTTCCTTACTGGGGTTCTGAGAACATCCTGTGCTTGACAGGGTTCTCCTACAAACAGAAAGTTTGAAACCCACTCTGAGCCTGTCTCCAGGCCCACCTTGGGAGAGGAGCCGGCTGCCCCTCAGAACACCGCACCACCACCCACCCACCGCCAGCGGGGAGATGGTTCCCAGAAGCCCGCAGAACAGAGGTGTGTTCAGAGCAAAAGTCACGTGGTGTGGGTCACAGGCCTAAATGTGAAAGCGAGATAGATCCAGTCTGAGGACGACAGAGCAAAATATTGTCCTAATCCTGGGCCAAGAACAGCTTCCCCGAAGGCTCAGAAGGCACCAACCAGAGGAAACACTGATGAGCCGCAGCTCGTGACAACTGAGAAAGTGAGCCGGCAGCCGCAGACTAGGAGACGTTTGGACACCGTGTCCAGAACACAGACACAGCTCGTGTGAATCAACAAGACGGACGACCTCGCGTTTAAACGGGGAGGGGCCTGAACAGACACCACAGAAGATACCCGAACGGCCAAAAAGTGCTCACCGTGACCACGCTCGAAATCAGTGAACTGAAATGTGATGTTTAATTAAAACTAACAAGTCTGGGATGTCCCTGGCAGTCCTGTGGTTAGGACCCTGTGCGCCCAGCACTGGGGGTGTGGGTTTGATCCCTGGTCGGGAATGAGCTCCCATATGCCACAACTAAAGATCCCGAGTGCCGCAGTGAAGACTGAAGACCCCGCGTGCTGCCATGAAGACCCAGCACAGCCATGTGAAGAAACACTAACAGGAGGAGGACTGACATGCTGCAGCGCCGGCCGGATGAGCAGCCCGAGGGCCACCGCTTGAGGGTCAGCACTGAGTTGACTAACCATCCCGGAAGCCCAGGGGGATGCTGGCCACAGCAGTGCACGCAGCCACGCTGTGACCCGGCGGCTCCACGCCGAGGGACTCCCCCAGGAAACGGATGTTTCGGTCCATCAGACACATGCCCCGCAGTGTTCATGGTGGCCCTTGGTCACAACAGCCCCAAACTGGAAGCAATCCAAATGCTCACTGCCCTGGACCAGGTGCGCAATGGAGGTGCGGCCATCCGATGGAGCGGCACCTGGCTGTGGACAGGCACGCTCTCCTGACACACCCAGTTCAGTTCAGCTGCAAAGTCGTGTCCGACTCTCTGCGACCCAGTGGACCGCAGCATGCCAGGCCTCCCTGTCCATCACCAGCTCCTGGAGCTTGCTCAAAGTCATGTCCATCCAGTCGGTAATGCCATCCAACCATCTCATCCTCTGTTGTCCCCTTCTCCTCCTGCCTTCAATCTTTCCCAGCATCAGGTCAGTTCTTCGCATCAGGTGGCCGAAGTATTGGAGCTTCAGCTTCAGCATCAGTCCTTCCAATAAATATTCAGCACTGATTTTATTGGAGCTTCAGCTTCAGCATCAGTCCTTCCAATAAATATTCAGCACTGATTTTATTGGAGCTTCAGCTTCAGCATCAGTCCTTCCAATGAACAGTCAGGACTGATTTCCTTAAGGATTGACTGGTTTGATCTCCAAGGGACTCTCCAGTCTTCTCCAGCACCACAGTTCAAAAGCATCACCTGGTGTGAGTCAGGCGCGAGTCCCCTGACACACTCACAGGTGAGCAGATCTCAAAGCACCGGGATGAACAGGCAAAACCAGACACAGGCGAACGTCACGCTGTCCGAGCCCGTCTGCCGGAGCTTCAGGGACACGCAGGGGATCTCCGGAGGCGGCAGTCGAGCCTGGGCACTGGCTGGGGGCGTCTGGAGGGCCCGGAGCACTCTGACCTCACGGGAGGCGGGGACAGAGTGTCCGCCCATGCAAAATGCAGCCCGCTCTACAGAAAGATCTATGCACGTTACGGTAGGCAAATACCTTCATTCCTAAGCGTCAGAAGAACTGAGCCCAGGCCCCAGTGGTGCCAGCCCCCACCACAGGTGCCCCTCTGCCCCCCGCTGTGGGGCCTCCCATGGTCCAGGTGGGCCCCAGGCCTGGCATCCCTGACAGTCTGTCTTACCTCAGAGTCCATGGCTGTCTTTGCCGCCCTGTTCTTCTCAATGACATTCTGGAAGCTTTCCTTGTGGTACTCCATCACCAGGCAGAGGAACAGAGAGGAGATCTGCTGGGGACACAGCCCCTTAGCTGGGTCCCACCTGGACCCCTTCGCCAGGTGCCGAGTTCGGGCCCCTGGCAGCCCAGGCCTGGGACCTCCTGGGCCATCACTGCTCCAGGACCTTCATCCCCCGGGCCACCACCGGCGGTGGCTACAGCAGCACTGCCCCCATCCCCCAGGGCGGGCACGGCCCATCACGAGTGGCTCCCCGCTCCTGCCCCACCCCTGTCTACACAAAGCCCCTTGGGCTTTTCTTAAAGGTGCGTGCGTCCACCACGGCACATGCAAGCCACAGCGCCTGGGGCCCTGGCACCTTCGTCCCTTAGGGCTCAGCTGAGACACACTCCTCCCTGAGGGGCCTTGCCTGACGGGACCCAGCAGCCCCAGCTCAACCCCGTCTGGGGTAACTGGCAGGCGGGCCTCGGGGGCTCTGGAAAGACGAGGAGTCCGGCGGCCGCTGGGACCCGGTGCAGGGCTTAGGGGCTGCCAGGCCCAGACCTCAGAGACACTGGGTTGCTGCCAGCTGGTCTCTCCCAGCCTTCTCTTGGAAAGTGGGAAAAGGAGCCCCATGCAGAGGCTGTAGGGTCCCAGGTGAGATGCCACCCAGAAGCCCCTGCATGGCCCGGAGGGTGCAGAGCCAGGGGGAGCCTCGCAGAGGTCCTGCCATTGGTGCTCACGGGGTTACAATCAGCCAGGTGGGGGGCCCTCTGTGCCCACTGAGTCCGCTGGTAGGCTCTGACCCACCTCACTGTTCCACGTGATGAAGAGCTCCTGGTAGATGGAGATATGGGCATGCTGAAGCTTCAGCAGCGGCATCAGCTGTGGACAAGGGCAGAGGAGGTGGTGGTGTGGGGAAGACCGCATCTCAGCCATGCTCCTCTGTCCAGGGCAGGGGAGGGGGTCCCGGGAGGGCGGGCGGCCTGGAGGTTAGGAGCCAGATGGCCCAGGGTAAGTCCTGTTTCCGGATGTGCTGGCTGTGCTGTATAACAGAGGGCAGGCTCCTCCACCTCTCAGCCGCCCAGCCCCATCTGGAAAGAGCAGTAGCCATGGTGTCTGCCTCGTGGGGTGTGGGGAGGACCAGGTGGGCCGACGCAGGCAAAATGCCTGGCGCGTCGGAAACAAGCAGAGTCCGGGATGTCTGGAGAAGGGGGTGTGGCCAAAGGGGAGGGCACTGCTGTGCCTGGGCCCCCTGGCCCCCTGGCCCCCTGGCTGTGGGCACTAGAGGCCCCATGGGCACTAGAGGTCCCAGGCCCCTGCCCTCAGCTCCAAGTGCTTTGAAAACAAGCACAGTTAGGCGGCAGAAGTGGCTCCCTTAGCAACTTGGAGCCTGATGGACAGCTGCTCATGCTGGTGGGTTGGGTGTGAAAGGCAGTGGCCTAGCAGGATGTGGGAGAGAGTTGGGGGCAGTATGATGCTTGGGGGGTACAGGATGGCCCCCCACTTCTTTCTTCCATGAATGTGGCCTGGGTCCATCAGCGTGCCTCAGACACTCTGTGACAGAATAGCTGCTGGTAAAGCTAAAAAGCTCGTGATTCCAGAAAGAAGAGCTACGGGTGGCCATTAGATGGGAGGGGAGACATTTAGTTTCGTGTAAAATTCAAGAGGAGCAGAGAAAACAACTCAGAGCCTTTGCCCAGCAAACTGCAGTACACGCAGCAGTCTCTGCTCTTATAAATCAGGATGTTACCGTCAGTGCCCACTGGCAGACCTAAGGAATGTAAGAGTTTATGTTTTCTTTGTTAAACAATTCTCTATTTCCCAAACTTTCTGTTGTAACTGATACTTTCACAACTGAAGAAAAAGACCTTTTAAAAGATGGTTATTGGTAGAAGAGCCTAGGGACCTAGCCAACATTTAAAGATAGTCTTCTTTGAGAACGTATATTCTAAGTTGTCGGTACCTGGATTTAGAAATAAATGTTTGGAGCACAGACTCCCTTCATGACCTGGGGCATCTGGCTCCACGGCACCAGCCAAGAGCTGGTCCTGACTCTCCAAGCCCCCAGCAGCTCCCACCCTTCACTCCACAGGCGGGTACAGAACAGGGTCTGTGTGTCCTGTATCACGTCCTCTGGAGAGGTGGTCCCCCAGAGAGTTACCTCCTCCAGGGCCTTGTTGGCCTGATGCTCATCAATGCACTCCACCTAGAGGAGCAGAGGAGAGCTCGGTCAATCAAGACGCAGTGAACACCCCCATCAGGATGACAACCAGCGCCATCACCACCACCACCACCAAGATCCCAGTCACTACCATCATCATCACCACCACTATAACCACCACCATCACCACCATCAAGACCCCAGTCACTACCGTCATCATCACCACCACTATAACCACCACCATCACCACCACCAAGATCCCAGTCACTACCGTCATCATCACCACTATAACCACCACCATCACCACCACCAAGACCCCAGTCACTACCGTCATCATCACCACCACTATAACCACCACAATCAACACCACTAAGATCCCAGTCACTACCGTCATCATCACCACCACTGTAACCACCACCATCACCACCATCAAGACCCCAGTCACTACCGTCATCACCACCACTATAACCACCACCATCACCACCACCAAGACCCCAGTCACTACTGTCATCATCACCACCACTATAACCACCACCATCACCACCACCAAGACCCCAGTCACTACTGTCATCACCACCACTATAACCACCACCATCACCACCACTAAGATCCCAGTCACTAACGTCATCATCACCACTGTAACCACCACCATCACCACCACCAAGACCCCAGTCACTACTGTCATCATCACCACCACTATAACCACCACCATCACCACCACTAAGATCCCAGTCACTACTGTCATCACCACCACTATAACCACCACCATCACCACCATCAAGACCCCAGTCACTACCGTCATCATCACCACCACTGTAACCACCACCATCACCACCACCAAGACCCCAGTCACTACCGTCATCACCACCACCACTATAACCACCACCATCACCACCACCAAGACCCCAGTCACTACTGTCATCATCACCACCACTATAACCACCACAATCAACACCACTAAGATCCCAGTCACTACTGTCATCACCACCACTATAACCACCACCATCACCACCATCAAGACCCCAGTCACTACCGTCATCACCACCACTATAACCACCACCATCACCACCACCAAGATCCCAGTCACTACCGTCATCATCACCACCACTATAACCACCACCATCACCACCATCAAGACCCCAGTCACTACCGTCATCACCACCACTATAACCACCACCATCACCACCACTAAGATCCCAGTCACTACCGTCATCATCACCACCACTATAACCACCACAATCAACACCACTAAGATCCCAGTCACTACCGTCATCATCACCACCACTATAACCACCACCATCACCACCACCAAGATCCCAGTCACTACTGTCATCACCACCACTATAACCACCACCATCACCACCATCAAGACCCCAGTCACTACTGTCATCACCACCACTATAACCACCACCATCACCACCAAGACCCCAGTCACTACCATCATCATCACCACCGCTATAACCACCACCATCACCACCAAGACCCCAGTCACTACCGTCATCATCACCACCACTATAACCACCACCATCACCACCACCAAGACCCCAGTCACTACCGTCATCATCACCACCACTATAACCACCACAATCAACACCACTAAGATCCCAGTCACTACCGTCATCATCACCACCACTGTAACCACCACCATCACCACCATCAAGACCCCAGTCACTACCGTCATCACCACCACTATAACCACCACCATCACCACCACCAAGACCCCAGTCACTACTGTCATCATCACCACCACTATAACCACCACCATCACCACCACCAAGACCCCAGTCACTACTGTCATCACCACCACTATAACCACCACCATCACCACCACTAAGATCCCAGTCACTAACGTCATCATCACCACTGTAACCACCACCATCACCACCACCAAGACCCCAGTCACTACTGTCATCATCACCACCACTATAACCACCACCATCACCACCATCAAGACCCCAGTCACTACCGTCATCATCACCACCACTATAACCACCACCATCACCACCATCAAGACCCCAGTCACTACCGTCATCATCACCACCACTATAACCACCACCATCACCACCATCAAGATCCCAGTCACTACCGTCATCACCACCACCACTATAACCACCACCATCACCACCACTAAGATCCCAGTCACTACTGTCATCACCACCACTATAACCACCACCATCACCACCACCAAGACCCCAGTCACTACCGTCATCATCACCACTATAACCACCACCATCACCACCACTAAGATCCCAGTCACTACCGTCATCATCACCACCACTATAACCACCACCATCACCACCATCAAGACCCCAGTCACTACCGTCATCACCACCACTATAACCACCACCATCACCACCACTAAGATCCCAGTCACTACCGTCATCATCACCACCACTGTAACCACCACCATCACCACCACCAAGACCCCAGTCACTACTGTCATCATCACCACCACTATAACCACCACCATCACCACCACTAAGATCCCAGTCACTACTGTCATCACCAGCACTATAACCACCACCATCACCACCATCAAGACCCCAGTCACTACCGTCATCATCACCACTATAACCACCACCATCACCACCACTAAGATCCAAGTCACTACCGTCATCATCACCACCACTATAACCACCACCATCACCACCACCAAGACCCCAGTCACTACTGTCATCACCACCACTATAACCACCACCATCACCACCATCAAGACCCCAGTCACTACCGTCATCATCACCACCACTATAACCACCACCATCACCACCATCAAGATCCCAGTCACTACTGTCATCACCACCACTATAACCACCACCATCACCACCACCAAGACCCCAGTCACTACCGTCATCATCACCACCACTATAACCACCACCATCACCACCATCAAGACCCCAGTCACTACCGTCATCACCACCACCACTATAACCACCACCATCACCACCACCAAGACCCCAGTCACTACTGTCATCACCACCACTATAACCACCACCATCACCACCACCAAGACCCCAGTCACTACCGTCATCATCACCACCACTATAACCACCACCATCACCACCAAGACCCCAGTCACTACCATCATCATCACCACCGCTATAACCACCACCATCACCACCATCAAGATCCCAGTCACTACCGTCATCATCACCACCACTATTACCACCACCATCACCACCAAGACCCCAGTCACTACCATCATCATCACCACCGCTATAACCACCACCATCACCACCATCAAGATCCCAGTCACTACCGTCATCATCACCACCACTATAACCACCACCATCACCACCATCAAGACCCCAGTCACTACTGTCATCACCACCACCACTATAACCACCACCATCACCACCAAGACCCCAGACACTACCATCATCATCACCACCGCTATAACCACCACCATCACCACCATCAAGATCCCAGTCACTACCGTCATCATCACCACCACTATAACCACCACCATCACCACCAAGACCCCAGTCACTACCGTCATCATCACCACCACTATAACCACCACCATCACCACCACTAAGATCCCAGTCACTACTGTCATCACCACCACTATAACCACCACCATCACCACCATCAAGACCCCAGTCACTACCGTCATCACCACCACTATAACCACCACCATCACCACCACCAAGACCCCAGTCACTACCGTCATCATCACCACTATAACCACCACCATCACCACCACTAAGATCCCAGTCACTACCGTCATCATCACCACCACTATAACCACCACCATCACCACCACCAAGACCCCAGTCACTACTGTCATCACCACCACTATAACCACCACCATCACCACCACCAAGACCCCAGTCACTACTGTCATCACCACCACTATAACCACCACCATCACCACCATCAAGACCCCAGTCACTACCGTCATCATCACCACCACTATAACCACCACCATCACCACCATCAAGATCCCAGTCACTACTGTCATCATCACCACCACTATAACCACCACCATCACCACCATCAAGACCCCAGTCACTACTGTCATCACCACCACCACTATAACCACCACCATCACCACCAAGACCCCAGTCACTACCGTCATCATCACCACCACTATAACCACCACCATCACCACCATCAAGACCCCAGTCACTACCGTCATCATCACCACCACTATAACCACCACCATCACCACCACTAAGATCCCAGTCACTACCGTCATCATCACCACCACTATAACCACCACCATCACCACCACCAAGACCCCAGTCACTACCGTCATCATCACCACCACTATAACCACCACCATCACCACCATCAAGACCCCAGTCACTACCGTCATCATCACCACCACTATAACCACCACCATCACCACCACCAAGACCCCAGTCACTACTGTCATCACCACCACTATAACCACCACCATCACCACCATCGAGACCCCAGTCACTACCGTCATCATCACCACCACTATAACCACCACCATCACCACCATCAAGATCCCAGTCACTACTGTCATCATCACCACCACTATAACCACCACCATCACCACCATCAAGACCCCAGTCACTACTGTCATCACCACCACTATAACCACCACCATCACCACCAAGACCCCAGTCACTACCGTCATCATCACCACCACTATAACCACCACCATCACCACCACCAAGACCCCAGTCACTACCGTCATCATCACCACCACTATAACCACCACCATCACCACCACCAAGACCCCAGTCACTACCGTCATCATCACCACCACTATAACCACCACCATCACCACCACCAAGACCCCAGTCACTACCGTCATCATCACCACCACTATAACCACCACCATCACCACCACCAAGACCCCAGTCACTACCGTCATCATCACCACCACTATAACCACCACCATCACCACCATCAAGACCCCAGTCACTACTGTCATCACCACCACTATAACCACCACCATCACCACCACCAAGATCCCAGTCACTACCATCATCATCACCACCACTATAACCACCACCATCACCACCAAGACCCCAGTCACTACCGTCATCATCACCACCACCATAACCACC